CACAAGACAATAATCATCAAGTTCTATCGCAACTCAGTTCACCCATGAAAACATCGTGAATCTGACAATTAAGAGTCTCACGGCCTTTACCAATGGCACAACAAACTCAGCCCAGCGCGGTGTTAACGCTGCGGGATCACACAGACTTCACAAACTGGATGACGCAACTCGAAGCGCGATGTGTCGCGTACAACATCTGGAGCAAAATTGATCCATCATCCACTGAGATCCCACTACGCGAACCGATAAAACCTGTCCTACCAAAAGCCGCCGACTACACTCCAGCCGCGAACGTCGAGATACCCCAACGACCATCCGACCTCTCCGCAGGGGCCAGAGGGCGTATAAGGAGGACGTCGAATACTACAAACTACAAAGCGAGGAATACAAGAGCGATCAACGGCTCTACGATAAAGAACAAGCGGCATGGCAACATATCGTCGCGTTCATACAGTCCACGGTGTCACCGCATCTCGCGAGCACCTGCTGCCTCCCCAAACTACCGCTACGACAATGGATAATCAACCTCCAAGCAACGGTCGGAAGCGATGATCAAATCGAACAAGACAGAGCGCGCGAGCGTTACCTCGCTGCCCTCAAACCAATGAGGAATCCCTCTAATTGGGACCTTTGGATAGCTGAATACGATCAAGCAGCAACCAAAGCGGAAAGATACCTGGTCCCGGAGATAACACAGCTGGGATCAACTACAAAAGATTTTATCAAAGCGGTAAACAACGCTGCGCCCATATGGGCTTCAAACTTCCAGGATACAGGGCGAAACGAACCCGGTATGACTAGGAAAGAGATGATGAAACGATTCCGAGAACATATGATGACCAATCATCCTGTCAAAACGAGACACAGAGCTGCGTTTGTAGCCGAGGAGGCATCACATGGATCATTTCTCGCCGAAGGTGGTTTCGCCACCCGGGGCAATGGAGGGGACGCCCAACATGCCGAAAGCGCGCCATCTAGAAACCGGGGAAGACCCCGTCATCAACGTGGAGGCAAAAATAACTCCAACAAAAGGCCATCAGATCATGAGCCAGCCCAAGCTGGGGGCGCAAAATGCCCTGCTTGTGGACAACACCACGGAGTGAGGGAGTGCTTCTATGTGCACCCTGATCAAGCACCCGAATGGTGGAAACCAAATGAGGCAATAAAAGATCTCATTGACTTCAAGCGTAAGAACGACGCAAATTTTCAAGGAATACTAAGAGGACAAAGCAGGTTCCGATCATCAAGTACTCCAAATATCAAGAACTCACATACTCCGACACCAGAGGTGATCGAGACAGAGTGACTAGAAGGGAGAAGAGTGACAGAAATCAAGTCTACCTTCATCCCCGCAACATTCAAAGTATCATTCAGGGAGTATCCTCTGAAACGCTCATTTATCTTAGACTCAGGCTCAACCTGCCATATCACCAATGATCCCGATCGTATCCAAAACTTCTCTCCGCCCACACAAGGAGACTTCATATGGGCCGGAAACACAAAAATCTGGGTGAAGGGATATGGCACGATCAGACTCCGACTGAAGAACACGAGAGGCATCACCAAACTAGTCCTGCACAACGTGGCCATCTGCCCGGACCTCCTGTGCAACTTAGTATCGTTTCGATTGCTTCGACAACAAGGGATTTGGTGGGAAACACAACAAGACCCAACCACCTTAAGAACCTCAGATGGCACAATCATCGGAGAGCTATCAGAACACCATGGACAGTGGGTCATAGAACATCAACCTACTGATGAGGCATCGTTCGCCTCACACAAAGTAAATTCTCGAACAAAGAGACCATCACAAATTGCACCGGCGGCGGTTTGGCACAAGCGCCTTGGCCATCCTGGACCGTCCGCTGTTCAGCACCTCGTGCAACAAACTCAAGGGGTGCGGATCAAAGGACTCACTACGGTCCAGTGCGACGCCTGTGGGCGCGCAAAGATTAGAAGACAAATTCGTCGCGCACCGCGTATCAACGAGGAAGGACCAGGAGAAAGACTGGCTATTGACTTCCATACATACGAGGAACAAAGCTACACGAAAGAAAAGAGCCAAATGTTAATCACGGACAGATTCTCCGGGATGCAATAGGATCTCTACTTCACAGATAATCGATCGGCAGCGACGATCATAAGCAAATTGAAGAATTTCTTCCTCTTCCTCAAGAACCACTATAATATCACAGTCAAGGTGATAGAAGCGGACAACGAGATCACGACTGTCAAGTCGCAAGTCGAGCGCTGGCTAGTAACGCAGGGCGTTACAGTTGAGCCTTCCGCCCCAGATACTCAAGCCCAGAATGGGGGTGCAGAACGCTCAGGGGGCGTAAACAAAGAAAAATCGCGCGCCATGCGACTCGACGCCAACCTCTCATGGGAGTTATGGCCAGAAATAACAAGAGCGGGCGTGTACCTGTACAATCGAACGCCAAATTACTCGAACAACTGGAAGACTCCGTATGAGATATTCTTCACGCGCGTCGCCTTCAACAACGGCATCGTAACATCACTTCGAAAACCAAATCTAGCCCACTTAAAGGCGTATGGATGTAAGGCATTCGCCATGACGCCAGACACACACCGGGGATCCTCCCGGTTGCAGCGTCTTGATCCCAAGGGATGGATTGGATACCTGGTCGGATACAGATCATCAAACATATACCGTATCTGGATACCATCTCTCGCGAAAGTTATCAGTACACGCGATGTCATGTTTGACGAAAATACCATATTTGATGGCAACGTTGAGGACTTAATGGATAGCCTCATGCATAGCACGCTGGAAGAGATAGCCGCGTTCGTGCGAACGATCGAGCTACCAGCACCAATTGTACAACCAGAAACTGAATCGTTCTATGAAGACGAAACCATCGAGGACCAATCGAATCCAGATGGCGAGGTAGACCCACCGGGCTACTATCAAGGTAGGAAAATTCGGGATAATTACCCAACACCACCATCAACGCCCCCACCTGCTGCATTGCTAGCAGGGCTAATGGCTGGCCAATCAAATAAGACAGTACCACACGGACTGGCTGAAGCGCTGACACCACACGGGTCATTCGCTGGACTGACACCACACGGGTCATCCAAAACCATCCCCTGGGCAGCTGCCTTTCTGGCAGGCACCCAGGCAGGTAACGTCGGAAAATATGAAGGGGAAACAATGGATAAGGCCAAGATGAAAAGAATGCTCGCCAAAGGCTTGAAGCTCCATCGCAGCCAACTTCCACCCTTACCGACGCACCGAACAAGGCTTGAAGATCATCCAATGGGAGAACTGTTCAAACAAGCAGAACAAGCCCACTTGGCAAGTCATAATCAAATGAGATCATGGACAGAAGTCCCCATGAAGTCTGTCAAGACAACAGGCCAGCAGATTCTGGACTGCATGTGGGTATATACCTATAAGCTAAACAAGCACCACCAGTTTATCAAGTGTAAGGCACGACTAGTGGTCCGCGGAGATCAACAAAGAAACATCACTTCGCAAGACACGTACGCAGCAACCCTAGCAAGTCGGTCATTTCGAATGCTAATGGCAATTGCGGCTAACCTGGATCTTGAACTGAAACAATATGATGTTACAAATGCGTTTGTCCATGCTACTATGGACCGAGAAATATACATGCGAATGCCAAAAGGCTACGCTAAAAAGGGCACAATCCTTAAAGTCCAGAAAGCACTTTACGGGTTACGAATATCCCCACTGCTCTGGCAGAAAGAGTTCACATCAACTCTCAAGACTCTGGGTTTCCAATCGGTACCCCACGAGCCATGCTGCATGATCAAGAACGGCATTATTATCTTCTTCTATGTAGACGATATCATCGCTGCATATCATCAGTCACAACACGATGAGGCAGAAAGGGCAATCAAGCTCTTGCAGGATAAGTATACCATGACTGGAGGAAACGATCTTCAGTGGTTCTTAGGTGTAGAAGTAACCCGAGACCGAGAAAATCGACAAATCCAGCTTTCCCAAGCTGCCTATATCGACAAGATCTACTGTCTAGCAGAGAGACAGGACATACGCCACGATACACCGATGGCAAGCGTTGAGCTTAAGCCTCATCAGGGACTAGCAACGCTATCGGAGATCAACAAATATCAACGCAAAATAGGCTCGCTACTATTTGCAGCAGTCACCACTCGACCTGATATAGCGTTCGCAACGTCAAGACTAGCACGCTTCTTATCAAACCCCAGCCCAGACCATCACCAGGCTGCGGATCGAGTATTGGTGTACCTGAATGGCACAAAGCAACAAGTCTTACAACTCGGAGGAGGCAACCATCTTCAGATTGCCAGCGATGCATCATTCGCAGACAATACCATTGACAGAAAGAGCTCTCAAGGTTATGCGATCAAACTCTTCAACGGATTAATTGCGTGGAGAGCAAGCAAACAAGATACCGTAACAACATCGACCACGGAAGCCGAACTCCTCGCCCTATCACAAGTGGCCAAAGAGGCAATCTTTATCAAACGACTACTAGGAGAACTACAAGTTTCCTTACCATCGAACGAGATCGTAATTCAGTGCGATAACACTCAAACCATTCGACTAGTCACGGAAGAAATATCAAAGCTTCAAACCAAACTTCGACATGTCGACATACACAATCACTGGCTTCGTCAGGAGGTTTCCTCTGGACGCATTAGAGTAGAACACGTGGCTTCAGCCGATATGATCGCTGACGGCTTTACGAAAATATTACCGGGAAACAAGTGGAAAGGTTTTCTCCACCAGCTCGGTCTCGTTCACGTTAGAACAAGGGAGGTAGCAAATGAAGCACCTCTTGAGGAAATTCAGCAACACCTAGACAACCTCACGCTAGCACAATGAGCTTTAATGGAGAACCAGCTTGCCAATCGTACAAGCTGAAGGGGTGTGTCAGATAAAAGCAAGTGCTGCAGGTGAGGTCCGAATAATCAAGCGGGTACCTGGCACGTGACGCCCTTAAATATTAAATAGCTCCATTGCGTCTTAGATCAGACGAAACACACAAGACAATAATCATCAAGTTCTATCGCAACTCAGTTCACCCATGAAAACATCGTGAATCTGACACCTCCTGTCCCCATAGGTCCTCCTCGTAGGATTCCTCGTCGCCCTCCGGCCACTCAGAATCGTCACTGTTCGGTTCATCCGTAACAATTAGTATAGAATAAAAATATAGTAGTCTCTAGCTATTAAAATATTAAATATCCTAATATCTCTTCTAGTATCTTCTTAAAAAAGATATTAGGTAGTATAGGTTATAGCTAGTTATAGGTAGTCTTAATTTTATACTAGACCTCTCCTAATTTAGACTTATGTAGACTTTCAGACTATCCAATATCCAATATCGGTTCCGGCATGCTCTCTAATGCCCTGCCTTGCCGCGGCTTTTGCAGCGTCGTTCTGTGCTGTCCCTGCCCACTAACGTAGCACCCTTAGCAGCGGCTAACTGTAACTCTTCCCCTACTGTTAGCGTAAGTCATCCAAGCGCAAATCAGCCTCTCTGCGAAGGGAAGGAGTTGACAAGAACGCTCTTTAGTAAGCCCGACGGGCAAGGAGTTGTAGAATCTGGTATTAAGCTGTACATTTGATGACGACAATAGCAGCTCGCAACGATCTAAATCTTAGTTTGTATGGGTTAGAATGTCTGATCAAACGCCCACCAGGAATTAATACACGCTGAAGTAAATTCAAGAATTCATTTCTACTGTTTAAAAACCTCATTGGAGAAGTACTCCAAAAGGATCAAAAATGATGTTTTGGCATAGTAGTTAGCTAACAAGATTGGGCCCGAAAGGTACAAAAGGGACACGTCCAGCCTTTATAGTCTCTGATAAACTGGCAGCTGGTCGACCAAGTATTTCTAGAACTGAGTCCGTAGTCCGGTCGTAATCTCCAGCTGCATGAAGCTTGGCCATCGTGGCGATGTGTCGGTAGACGTGTTCGGGAATCTGAACTTCCTTGGACGATTCCAGTGCTTTCTTCCAATCGTCCAAGGGAACCTCGACGTAACGAACAGGACGACCCAGTGCAGCAGAATACTCCTCGGCGAGGTCGTACACGCTGGCGGCACGCGGCCCAGTCAAATCTATTGCCTTTCCGACGTATTTGGAAGGTTCGAGGAGCATCGCGGCCCCGACTTCTGCAACGTCGTTCGCGGATACTGGGTTTGTGCGGCTTTTTCCAAAAGGCAATCGGATTGTTCCGGTCTCTTCAATGGACTTGGCGGCCAGTCCCCAAAAGAACGGGCTCTCCTGGAACACTGTAGGACGTAGATGTGCCACAGGGACGCCAGACCAATTGAGCACCTGTTCGGCCAACCAGTGAACCCTATGTTGCGGTGATTCGGTGACATGGGTAAGATCCATGCTCGAGACGGTCATCTGGGATAGATTGACTAGGATTTCGAGGTTGGGGTTGGTTCTCGCGGCTGCGGCCATGACCACCGAGGCCTCCAGAAAGTCAGACGCAACACTGGTACTGAAGAACACGAGCCGACAGCCTTGGACGGCTGGTAGGACCTCTTCTGTTTTCGTAAGATCGGCGACAATGACTTCAGCGCCCAGGTCGCGAAGACGCTGAGCGCGTTCATCCTCCCGACGGACCAGCGCGAGCACCGGCAAGCCAGACGCTCGCAGGACTTCCACGACACGCCTTCCAACACTGCCGACTCGACCCGCTGCCCCAGTGACCAATACTGGAGCTTGACTTGTCGACATTGTAATTTCTTGTGGAGAGTGTGCTAATAGCTAGGAAGCCGTGTGACAAAACGTAAGCCGTGTGACAAAATGGAAATTGAATCCTGTGATCTGGGTGTTAGAGCTCTCTCGGCTTGTCTGTCTTCTCAACGCAGGCTAAATAGGGCTTTGAAGCGTAGAAGATATAGCATAGAGTAGTACCTGTAGACTAGGGCGGAAAGTGAAATGGGAGATCATGGACTTACTAAACAAGCCTGCGCCGTAGTTACCGACCAGTGTTGACAGCTACTTAGCAACGTTACGAGATTCTGAGGCCCATTACTAACCATGATCGTCCCGAGGTCTCCTGCATGGGTTCCAAGTTATAAGAGTTTCGTACGTAACGAATTATTGATTACTGATCAGTATGCTAGCACTCAGGCTGGTACCGACCTCGACAGCTTCTGATTAGTGAACTGATAATTCCCGCTAGCTGGCGAGCTTTATTCCCGGATTTTTGTTCGCAGTGGGGAGAACGCGACTAGAGAGAGAAAATTGATGCAGTACACAGTTGGTCTGGTGAAATTATTCAACTTACACGCAGCAAGTAGCGAGCTGCTTGGAAACCTCATCACCAACACTACAATACAATTACAAGTTCTCTTGCCGCGCCACATAGTGGTCCCCATACCCTCTTCAAGCAAACGCCGCTGTTTCCTTCTCACAATAAGCCAAAAACCTTTCCGCATAACCTGTGCCTCCCTCCTCTTTGCTCATTGTACCAGCCTGGATGTCCTTCCTGGCTGGGTATATGCGGCCCCAAGGCGCGATATATGCACCCTTGTGGCTCGCTGTGATGGCCGGGGACCAGCCAGCCCATGGTTCTGTGTATCCACCAAATCGAGCGGGGTGCGTTACGAAACTCATTATAAACTTTTGAATCCAGTTCGCATGACTTTGGAGATCAGTTTCGAGATTTCCCGGGTTCCATGACACGCTGATTATCCCGTCCTTTGCATAAAGACGGGCAAATTGGGAAGCCAGATAGAAATTTGCCGCCTCGCTGACCGTGTAGTCCACTTGAGGACTTGATCCTTGCTCGAGATTTCCATCCGCATCAAAAATCATGCCGTTCTCTGGAGACGTAGTGGCGACGCCTGAGGATCCCCATGTGATACGTACGGATCCGGCTGGCGCTTTTGCCACAGTGCTTTTCACGATGGGGACAAGAAGTTTCGTGAAAAGATATGGTCCAAGCATATTGGTTCCGATCTGGAGTTCATGACCATGTTTGTCCTTCGAACCGAGTGGAGGGATCATAACACCCGCGTTGTTGGTTAGGACGTCAAGTCGTGTCTCCTTAGACAAGAACTCCTCCGCTTCCGGTTCAATCGTGGAAAAGTCCGAGAAATCAACTTTGAGGAATGATAGCGACCCTGTTGAATTTGGGAATTCCGACTTTAACTTCGAAATCGCCGCCTCTGCTTTCTCCGGACTTCGACCAGCAACGTAGATGCTGGTAAAGATCTTTAACTAGCTCATATCCACAACCTGCATAGCCTCCTGTCACGATGAAAACCTTTCTTAATACGAAGTCAGCAATAAAATTCAAGATATGGATGCGAAACTACCCAGATTGATCGGGGAGATTTTCCTTGGTCAATGTTGGCTTCGGGATAAAGTACGACTGTATAAAGAAGTCGAGGACACCCATGGCTTGGTAGGGCGTCAGAAAACTGGCAGATGGCAATAATCCATTTGTGAATGAAGAGAAGTACAATTCATACGCAGTGGACGTTGGTGTTAGCTGAAACTTTGAAACTGACATTTTCATGCCCGCCTTCCAGCGAAAATCGAAAAATGGGTTGAGCGCACACGATTGAACTAACGGCCGCACCGGACGGAATGTTGCTCCGTGCTACAACGATCCTTGGCACTTGGCACTAGATATAGCATAATAGCACACTGCACCTGATTACTTGATCTTGAATATGTCTTTCGCAATGATTTGCTGCTTAGAAATTGCAAGAGAAGCCCAATAATAACAACATTACTAATCAGACCTTTGATGAACAGAAACAGAAACAAATTTGCCAGGTATCAACGAATTCGAATCGCATACTGCGTTTATTTATACAAGCAGCATGGCACATCCCAAGAAAACCAGCTGCATGCATTACGGCTAGGTGTTTGACCAACAGGTCAACGAGACACAACAGTAGGGCGAGTTTCACAGTGCCTAATATGTTTTGGACTTCGTTTATTTTATGGGGTAAGTTGCGATGCGGGCACAAGAAATGACACGCTGACACTGTTGTAGCAACATGTTGCCAATCGTTGGCCTCTGCCCATGCTAAAATTCTACCTCCGGCAAACGGAGAAGAGATCTTCATCAACAACAACGGCGTCACGCTCCACTACCGCAAGTACGGCTGTGGCCCATATCTTGTACTGCAGCATGGCTTTCCAGATCGCGAAACAACGTTCGCCGATTTCCAAGTTCCTGCCTTCGCACAGTCGTATACCGTCCTAACGCCAACCCTGCGTGGATATCCTCCATCATCTGTGCCCCCTGAGGCCGCAGACTATGGTCCTGATTATTTGGTTTCGGACCTCGCTGCCATACTCGACCACGAGAATACCACGACAGCTACTGTTATCGGCCATGACTTTGGTGGCGCTGTCGTGCAATACTTCTCTCTCTACCACCCCGAACGTGTCGAAGCAATGGTTATGATGAATACCCCCCCATTTGCTACCTTTGTGCCACTCATCAACTTCGACAAAGAAGCGCAAGAATACGCACGCTACACCATCCCCTACTACACCTATAAACCGGGCCAACCGAAAAATATCTCGACTCTTGTAGAGAATATCCGGAACACCACGTATCGCGCGGAAATCGCCGCATATCTCGAGGCATCCCCTATCGATGGGATGTTGCACTACTACAGCGCAAATTATCCGGGACCACCATACGAACAGAATACTAGCGTAAGCGGGTACGTGCAGAAAGTGCCGAGTATGTTGCTTTGGGGCGTAGAAGATGTGTACTTTTCGCCTAAAATGCTGGATGGGTTGGAAGGGTTCTATAATAAGGGAATCAGATTGGTGACGGTGCCCGGAGCGGGACATTGGGTGTTTAGAGATGATTGGCAGAGGTCCAACGAAGAGATTTGGAGCTTTTTGAAGACTGTGCTGAGGCTGTAGACAAAGTGTATGAAAAGGAAGGAGCAAGGTTACAGGAAGTATTCCTCTGTCTTGCTCCACACATCAGCCTTGCCCACCTGTTTAATTATTAGGCGATGGAATAATCATTGCCCTTGCAGTTTCATAGCCATAACCCCTAATAAGATGAAAGGTACAAAGTATCACCTTGTATGACATACTCCTGCTGCTTCCCTACAGGACTCAGCTAACAATGCCACCTTCAAGCCAAGCCCCTTCTGCTAGATGGGATGAGCCATACGAATACTTGCTCCTCATTGTCGCCGTCTTGCATTTGGTTGGGTTCGTGCTCTGGGAGAAGTACGCGGCAAAAGACCCCATCTTACCCTTCGATATCTGGGAAGCACCCTCGTTCCCTGCCCTCATCCTCGTGTCTCTCATGGCGTTCATGTCATTTGGTGTCTTGTCATGGTACATCACTCTTTGGCTCTTGACCATTCGCGACTGGTCGCTCCTCTTGGCGTCGGCGGCCATCGTACCACAGTTTTCGGGGCGGTGGCTGCGATCCTGGCTGCATGGCTCATCCCGCGCCTGGCAGCCCAATACACACTGGCAATTGGGGCGATTTGCGTCGTCACGTCGTCTGTCCTGGTAGCAACGATGCCCGCATAGCAATCATACTGGCCGCAGCTGTTCCCCGCCACCCTCTTGATGGCTTTCTGTCCAGATTTCATATTCACGGCAGCTCAAATCATTGCCGCCAACTCTGTAAAAAGAGAACAGCAGGGCATTGCTGGCTCACTGATTGGCACTCTCGCGACTTACGGACAGAGCATTGGGCTCGGCTTTGCTGGGATGGTAGAAAAATACACGACAGAGGGGAGGACCGACCTGGTGCAGGGGTACCGCAATGCCTTGTATTTTGGAATTGGTCTTGGTGCCGCGGCTCTTATATTAGATCTTCTCTTTGTACGCGTGAAAGCTAACAAGAGAGAGGGTTGGGCGGAGGAAGAACAAGTGCCCGTAGAAGCTGGCAGGGTAGATGATTCCGAGAAGGAAGGACAAGATAACCCTGTTACTTAGTTCCCTACCGTACTGCACTATAGACGTATTTTGGATGGCGTTGTTATGCCTCAAGCTGGTGACGGCCATCGTTGCACCATCTCGGGTGGTGGTGGATCTTGGCTGACGGGGACCTACTCTAGATAGATAACTTAGGTTGGCAATCTGTGGCTACGACATCTACCACCTTTTTGGTGTTGTACCTCATTTTAGCATATCAGAATGAGCTGACGTAGTGTCCACATTCCAAGCGTTACGCTCATCCATCTTACCGACCTGCCTACGGAGGAGGAATTCAAAGGTATTATCAGTAACACAGAACAGTTACAGGGGTAATAAATGCCGCGTACATACAGTGTAACCTAGAGTAAGCAGCGTTAGAGTATAATACTCTTAGATTATATCTCTATAGCCTGTTAACCTGCTCTATCTACCCCCTATTATTGTCTAGCAGCTGTAGGTCACATGTGAACGCATGTACTATAATGTCGTGCTACAATACGTTACTAGCTCTACCCTAGTAGAGCCGTCTTGTGTTACTGACAATACCTTTGAATTCCTCCTCCGTACTTCACTTGGCATAATTCTTGCCCAACCACTCCTTGACAAGTCGTGCAATCTCTTCTGGCTTCTCATATGGCGTCCAATGCGCCGCATCCAACGCGGGCTTCTGATCCAACTGCGGCAACCACCCCTGCTGAATCGCCGGATACATGGTCTCGACACGGCACGCAGCATCGTCTTTCGCTCCAATATACAATACTGGAACATCGACCTTGTCTCTACCTTCAGGAAGGTCCTTATCGCACAAGTGCTGTTGGTCCTTGAAGGCGCGGTACCAGCACTGCGGTGCGTCGAAGCCATCTCGACGCATCCTGTCGATGAATTCCTGGCGGAACTTTGGATCCTGAGCATAAGGGCGGATTTCAGGGTCCGGATCGTTGCTATTGAAGTGCTGACGCAGAGCGCCCGGGACGCAGTAATAGCGCTTTTGCGCGTCGCCTACGGCATGGAGCAAAGGGTAGAGACGCTCAATGTTGTCATTGAGGATTTCCCCACCATTTGGAGCGGCAAAGACCTCCCTGATAATGTCAAAAATGGCCCTGTCGGGAGTAGACGGATAGAATTGCTTACCAGTAGTGGAGTGTTCCGTAGCCGAAAGCCTGCTCGGCCATCTTATTCATATCCGCGGGGTCGAAACGCTCGCGACTTGGGGGAGTGTAGGCGACATTGAGAAACACGCAGCCAACGACGCGTTCAGGGTAGTAGTTGTAGAGACGAGCGGCACATATGGATCCCCAGTCGTGTCCGACAGAGATTGCTTTGTCGGCCTTTTCGGTGTCCATGATATCAATGAGATCCTTGGTCATCGCGTCCCACTTATACTCCGCTGGATCGGTCGGTTTGTCGGTGCCGTCGTATCCAAGCATATCTGGAATGATCATGGGGAACTTGGTATCCATAAGACGCTCCGCGATACCCTTCCACATCTCGGCGTGGTCGGGCCAGCCATGGCAGAAGAGTAGGGTCGGAAGAGACCTGTCGCCTTCAGACGTGTAGTATGTGTAAGTGTAACCCCGCGAGATCTTCAGTGTCTTCTTTTCGAAAGCGTCCATTTTGAAGTTTTCGTGGCGTGCTTGGTGACTGCGAAGAGTTTCAAAGATTGTCAAGTAATGATCCCAGGAGCGTGGAGGGGCATAATGAGCAGGTATGTAACACCCTTCTTAAGTAGTAGATCGATACACGCGGTACCATTCCGAAGGTTTAGTAGGAATTTGTAAGACGTTATTGGGGTACACACGTACGGCAATACATATACTTAAGTAGCGCAAGTCATATTTCACCGGTACATGATTACCAATATCAGGGTTTGTCAAGTATTTATCGCGAACCAAACTATAAGAAGTGGTAGCAATTTCTACATTTAATTCATGAATGTAAGAGTATTTTGTTAGCCAACATGCTCTATTGTGAGTTCTACGTTTAGCAGCCATTACATGAGATGCAACGCGATAATTCCGCGATTGATTGATCAGTCGAGTGCCCTTCCTTTACATTACTCAGCTTGCTCTATAATACTAACATGTTTGATCAGTAACCAGGCTACTCTGGCAGGAGGTAGATTATCCATAAGAACGAACTAGTAGACCCTTAGGCGTACCTATTCAACCCTAGCCCTTTTGTTAAGATTGACATGTTAGTTTACCCTCTGTACTTTCAGGACTAATAGGACTAATTAATGATCGGCGTTCCTGCACCGCAACCCCTCTGTACGGCGATTTGTCGCCGAATCTTTACAGCATAAAGCCCCTCCAGAATTGAAACATCTTTTCAAGTAGATTCTTCCTGAAAAGCAGCCCTCCTTTGCTAGCTTTACACAATACTCATCAAAACATGGAAAAAATCGATGATAACGCCGTGCTTACTCCACTTGCACGTCAATTGCGCTTATCGGCTACGCTTGAAATCAACGAGTTAGTTCAGCAACGACTTCAACAAGAGCGTGAGGTGTTCCATCTTGGGTTTGGAGAGGCAACATTTCCTGTTCATCAAAGTGTTGCAGCAGCGCATCGAGATGCTTCCTTGACGACAGGTTATCTTCCCGTGGCTGGCTTGCAAACACTGCGAGAGGCAAGGTGTAGTCGGCTATTGATTGCAATACCATGCTAATAATTCTACAGTCCGTCGCGCGATTTCAGACACGTCGCCTCAGATCGAGTGTCAAGACTGACCAAGTCGTCGTTGCGCCAGGATCTAAACCGCTTCTGTTCGCACTGTTTGATGTGCTTCAGGGAGACGTCCTCTTACCCCGGCCATCGTGGGTCAGTTATGAGCCGCAGGTTCTCCACGCTGGAAAAAGGCTTTTCTGGGTCGAGACAAGCGAGCAGAATCGCCATGCCATCTCGGGTATGTTCCAGATCAGTAAAGCTTGCAATTAATCTGACAGCAGTGCCAGAACAGTCTCTTGTCTATACCTATGAACACGCACTGAGAAGCGGTGGTAAACCGCGCATTATGCTTATCAACAGTCCTTCTAATCCGACTGGCCAGGTATTCACCAAAGAAAATGTAGACACCATCGTGCGATTCTGCGAGGAACGTGGAATCATACTCATCAGTGATGAAATATACTCAGACATCTTCTTTGGAGACGAGCATCCTGCTAGCCCAGGCTCCCTTGGACGTCTGGATGAAAGCAAGCTGATTCTTACAGGCGGTTTGTCAAAGGTGAGCGAATGCCAAAGTTTCTTTGATTTACTCAACTGACGTGTCTACGGACATATTCCGCCGGAGGTTGGCGAGTAGGGTATGCCATTTTCCCCTCAAGCGAGTTCGGTAGGACTGTGCAGACAGCAGTTTTGGCTTATGCCTCTGAATGCTGGTCAGCAGCTTCAGCGCCAGCCCAAGAGGCTGCAGCAGTGGCTTTCGACACTACATCGGAAATGGATTTGTATCGGGCCCAGGTCGCTAGACTTCATAAAAGCTGCACGCTGCAGATGTACCACCAGCTATTAAGTTTTGGCCTCGACATCGCCAAGCCTCAAGGAGCATTCTACTTATATCCGTCATTCCAACCATTTGCAAGACAGCTTGAGTCACTCGGCATCAAGACGAGTGCAGAGCTTTCGTCATGGCTCATTACTGAATTTGGTGTGGCTACTCTACCAGGCTCTGTATTTGGGGAAGATGATGATGGTCTGCCCAGTGGTCGATATCGTTTGAGGATGGCAACGAGTTATCTGTACTTCAAGGATTGCTCTGAACGCTATGAGCACGGATATGATTTGTTAGCAATGGCTGTAACCGAACAATTTGTACCCTATCTGCCTCTGTTACAAAGCGCAATTAAGGCGTTGCAAGCTGTAGTGGACAAATTGAAAGCCCTCTAGCGGGATTTGCTGATGCCTTTGGCGATGTTTTATGACATTTATTGCATGAGTGATTACACATTATTAAGGATTTTCTCTCTTGTCCGTATTAATCGCTTGACTTCAAAACAACGAAGATGTATCCCAGAAGCTCTGATCTGGATCAAACCCCATAACATCTCTCATCAATTCCATGTAACTTTCAGTTTCTCCAGCACGATATTCTTGGCTTTGGTAATAATCCCCAGGCCATGCAGTCGATGGAGGATTCAGTCCTGCGTGAGCAGGCTGCAATTGCTCGATTGTTGATTGAGACCTCGTCAAAGCGGATGACACGTGAAGGAGGGTATCGTTGACAAGGTCCTCGAATTGCGATATCAATCTGAACAGGAGATCATCGTCCCAGCGTTCGTTCATGATCGCAAGACATATAGAACATTTCCTTGTCCAAGCAGGCAGATCCACAAGAACAAGTGTGAAGCTTTCCTGACTGTCAAATTGTCTGAAGTTCAAACGGGTGGTGACTAGCATCGTCAGCCCAGCAAACAGCACCCCTTGTATGAGCATCCATGATAATGGAACATCGCTTTCTTGTAATACCTTCGAGATGTCGGTTACATAAGCACCGGCTGATTGAAGGCATCTCTTTGTCGAATCAATTGTAGGACTGGGACAAAGCGGGCTGGCTCTATGTAGGACGAAGGTGGTACCGTGATAGAGTCGAAGCCAGAAGCTGCGTATCAATGAGTTGACGAGTGATTGGCATATGTACTAAAGACTTACTGATGAGAATAAGGTGCAAGGGTGTCTTCGCTGAGATTGGACAATTCAGCCTTCCAGTCATCCAATTCTTGTTGCAGGTGCGCAATATCTCTTTGGGCTTCTGTAAATGTAGTTCTGTGCTTTGCCCCATACACTCGGGAAATTATACAGTTCTGGATCCGTCTATGTTTCGTGTGAAGTGCGCTGGTCATGATTGCATTCGATTGATACGGTAACGCGGTAGTGATGTGTTCTTCGCCGATCGAAGGCGGACGCCCTAGATTGTAAGCTAGAGTGATTTCGAGGATGTAGGCGGTCCAGAAGGCGCGCTTCCTCTCTTCCGCTTGTGTCCCATACTTCACGGTCGAGTAGTTTGATGAGCTATGCAGGCCTAGCTCGATGGCCATCTACGAGCCATTACTGGATGTTCTGATTTTTACGGGAGGAACATACCCGCATTGCACTCCCTACTAGCTGCCATTGGCTAGATGCAACTCGCCCGTGCATGCTATACAAAGATAGCAGCAGCAGAATATGGATGAATGGGACGCCCGGCACAAGGGATCGAGCTCCAGCATTGATATATCTCAAAGCTCGGTGGTACAAGGACTCGGATGTTACACCTTCCAATGGTACGGCTCGCACATTTCGTGAGCATTTCGCTGTACCGTCTTGATGAACTGCCCCAAGCGCCATCACCAAGTAAAAGATAGACAAGTCGTGTATGTCATTGGGTGCCTGCTCGGAAAAGGATGAGCCAGCTCCTTCTAAAGCGACGCATCTTGTCACCATGGAGTGGATATGATCCGAGCCGAGGATTGGATACAGTGGCTCGATCCATGAACAGAACGCTTGCGCAAGTGATTTTGCGCCATCTAGGTCTATGGGATTTCCATCACTCAGTTCCTGATCGTCATTATTCCGCCCTTCTTTACTGGTATTGTCATTCCTCGGCGTTGTGTCGCCGAAACCAGGCACCTGAGCATACGTGTTTGCGTACAGGGCGAAGAATATGCCACTTGAGGGACCAAGATATCTATTGTCGCCAGTAGCATTGAGAGTCACTATACCAGCGTCTGGTGCAGCTTCTGTCGAAGAATTCTGTTGTTCTTCATAGTCAAGTGGCAGAGACGGAGCTTGTGGACGAGGGAGTTCTACCACAGGGCGATTCGTATCAACAGTAAGGTTCAAATCTGAGCTGGGACGTAGTGGGGTTCTAGTTGCGATTTCCGCACAAGAAATGCCAAATTGCTCCTGTAGCTGGTCCTCCAGCCAACTGGTTCTGTCCTTGTAATATTTTAAGGCTCTGATCTCTGTTAGCGAGCGATGCTGATTCGCGGATTGATAGTGAGGATCACTCTATATTGTCCCTCTTCCTCTGTCGCTGGTATATTTCACAGACTGCATTGGCTTTCGTACAGCTGTAGCAATTTGGATACCCTGCACACTGCAGCTTTCGTTAGGCATTAGCCGTCGTCATTCCTTCATGGACTTGATATCTACCCGAATCTTTTTCATGTGGCACCGTACACACGTGCGAGTGGATGGGCTCGTCATAGCCAACAATGATGCGTCCTCTAAACTGGCCGTATTACTGAATGGGACCTTCAAGAGCAATCAGATGTCTTGCGAATCTGTGTGAGAATGGTGGACAGGCGTCGGCGATTGAACCACCGAGGCAAAGTGATGTATTTCGCCGCCAACGCCGGTATCTGTCGTGCACTAAAAGGGTTCGGCTTCTTGGCAATAATCCTATGAGACCATTATCTTACCCAACTGCCTAACATTAGGCAGATACTAAGGCCCAAAGAAGGTCTTAAGAAGGGTTGACAGATAGCGCATGCTGAAAAAGATATGCTTAAAGTACTGCTGCAATATTATTACTGAAATCTTGTATAGTTAGCTTGGTCATTGGTCTAATTAAATATAGCATGATGCAAGGTAGATGCTGGCGGACTTTGGATCAATCCTTGATGTTAAGCCTGCTTGAATGTCTAAAATCTAATTGCTATCCGGGATCGGGCACAGCTGAAATCGTGAGCCGGTACCTTGACCAAAGGTACATATGCTAAGCGTGGTTGAGTAGGTTCCATGTATCAGCAGTGGCGGTGGCCTGCAATCCTACCTTGCATTATTTATCTGGTCCTGGAGATACAAGGTCAATTTTTCCTATTCTTTTTATTTTACATACTTTGTGTGAGTAAGTATCATAGCTACTATCGCCCTTCCTCTCCCTTATGGAAAGATGTATGCAAATATTTAAGATCCTTCAATCCTCTTATGTCATCCTATATCCACTCAATCCTTTTCAATACTTATGTAGGAAAATAAGTTCTTGTATCAGCTTTCTGTAGTCTGCAAATGAAAAGAAATGTTAAAAATATTGACGAACAATTTCACCCTTCACTAGGCAATTCTCTCCTGTATTCTCAGCTGGAAGCTTTGGGGTGCTTCTTGAGCACAAAACCCAAAGTACTCAAAGTTATCCCTATTACTCATAGTCTCTACATTTAAATCCCACTCATTTGCCCTCTTCAGAATTGGCTTAACAAAGTAAAGTTCACGATAAGTAACACAAAGAAGCAGGCCATGGTCTTTCAAGACCCTTTGAACCCTTTCTGTAATTAGCATTGACTCTCAACCCTTTTCTTCTCTGATACATTTACATCATTCATATACTTCCCATTATTTTCCAGAAAATTCTCGGGCGGATCCCACGAGCTGCCATAGATCATTGCGTCCAGTGTCCCCTTGTCGAAAGCAATGTCAACGGACCCAGTCCCGATTTCTGTCCTGTCTCGCACGTCTCCAGCCTCCAGTCCCCAGACTTCCACTCTACTTGTGGCTTGTCGACATGCTCTTACTTCATGGAGAAATCGAAAATGGCAGCGCTTGCCAATCCGTTGGTGAGGCAGCATTCTGGGGCCGCGTAGATGTTGTTCAATACTTGCTCACAAAAGACTATGTCGACCTCAGCCCCCATCTACACCACCGAACCAGCGGTAAAAGTCGATTCAAGGAGTCTTCCGGGTGAGAATGTTTTGCATTGTGCTGCCAACTCAGGGAACGCGGCTAGATTTCGTAGTCTTCTTGAACGGTTCCCCAGTGGCGCCAATGACACACCAGACAGTGGGATTACACCGTTAATAACACTGATCTTCACATGTCCCACAAAGATTGAAGCAGCACGCGTTTTGATTGAGAATAGTAAGGCGGATTTGAATCTCTCACCGTTGTGGAGAATGGTATTCACCGTTGTGGACTGCTACACGTGCGGGAAACGTGGAAATGTGTCGTCTGCTTGCATCGCATGGGGCGCATGTCGATGACGCCATCGAAGTTGATCAGCTATCCGATATACTAGTTCTGAAGGACAGGTTAGAGGACGCTGTGACGTCTGATTGCATCTTGAAAGCCTTGACTTCAAATTCAGAGTCAAAGGCATCTGCAGCAAGGGTTACTTCAGCAAACTGAAGAACTGGGATTGGGAGCATCAGCATGGATATCTGGACTTGGACACTTTTCGTGTCGTCTTCGGTCCACATACAGTTTACGTACGACGGAACCGGCTCCAGATATGATTTCCTAGGGCAAAACGAAACCGGTCGGCACAGGGTAGATTTAATACCTTGTAGGCCACATAAATGATCTTGGGGATTCCAAGTGTATACTCAACGCAGCTTACTTGTACTGTTATTACGATATCCTATGTCACTAAATACTAAGATGTAATCTTTTCTGTTTACAAATAACTGTTACTATCAACATTCCAAGTATTTCCTAGCATCGCGTCTTATCGCGTTCGAACTATGAGCAGCGTCCCAACAAGGTTAAAAAGGGAATGGTGAAAGGCAACAATGTAGGAAAAGATAAGACATACAGTTGCAGAAATTCTACAAGCAAGAACGCGGGTGGAAAGTAGCAGTAGTATTCGCATCTACTCTCCACTTCCTTTCGCTGTACTGTTTCGCGTGTAGCACGTAATGTAAATTCTCATTCGTTTACCATGAGTAGTATTCATCATAAAACGCTATTTACTCGCATAGGGACCAGGTATATGAAACAGAGATTCATCACCTATAAGACGTCACTATTGAAGAAGTGTTCCAGGTGGAATAAGATAATTTTATGAGGTCTTCAACGCCGCAAAATCTCGTCATTCGAAAGTCTACCCCTTCAACGGAATGTCCCAATATCCTCCATGGGAATAAAGTTGATATGTCTTATGTAGCCCAGCATCAGGAACCTCAGGCGAGAGAATAAAAGCATGATCTGGGCGAAGGCGCGGAGCTCTCATAGAAATACACTAGGAAGAATCAGATTAAAATCAAACATCACCATGCTTTACTTTGTCCGCTGAGTATGTTCCAATGACAGGCAGTGCAGGCTATATCAATGCGGTATAATGCTGGAATGATTAGAAGTGGCATACCGGGACTTTCAGGGATTACTAAGTGCTAGACATGCATCCACAGCTAGACCAACACTGCGGCGAGGTCAGTAAATAATTTGCGGCTCGCGGTGAGCGTGACATACCGTCCTTCCTTTAACCTCACGACATCATCAATGACCTCTCTATCCAATGCTGGGAACATTCCTGCCAACGTCTCAACCACGACCCTATGCTCCTGCCGCTGGATCTTCCTTGCTTCCTCTGCTTCAGCGGATGCCTGCCTGGCCGCAGCGTCCTCGGCGGAAAGCCGTTCCCGATGACGCTGTTCCTCGATCGAGCGCCTACGTACTTCCTTCTCATTGTACTCTTGAGGGGTATTCGCAGGATAATCCGATGACCGTCTGGGTTGCGGTCCGGGTGGGTTTGGTGAAAGACGTGGTGTACCCACAGGTCCCGAGGATGATTGGGGGGTGGTGTCGTTATCGGAGAAGATTCTGCCAATGGTGCTAAGAGGCCGTTGTATTGTGCGTAGTAGCCCAGCCACGGCAGCATTTTCTTCTTCAGGCTGTTCAACATCTGCTGTGGTGTTCCGGACGCTTGTAGATCGGCGTGGTCCAGCGCGCTCGGCATCTAACGAATTACGCTGTGTCACCTCTGGACGTGACAAGGCAGATTTCTCGGAGAGATGTAGATGAGGAGATGGCATTCTACGATGTCCGTGGGTCGCCCCATATTGATTCTGCGGGCGGAGGTTTGTTGAGTTGGGATCATCTGGCGTTAAATGATCAGATTCCAACTCTGAATGTTTTTCCGCTATCGCGGACACCGCAGCTTCAACGTTCTTCTCGAATTCCTCGTCACTGACGGTAAGGGATGTCTTATCGAGGCCTTCTATGAATTGAATAGCTCCCATTAGTGACGAGATATAATAGCCTGCTTCACCCCCGAGCTTATCCTGGTTGCGAAAGCGAAGGATGTACTGCACGTTCGATACCAGGTGATCTGGATTAGCCTGCAGGACCGTGTAGATGAGCAATGGGACGAAAGCATCTGCTGATTGATCCGACGACGAGGTTCGTAGATATCCAAAGATGACTTTGCAGCAGTTGAGTATGCATATTACTTTGTCCCTAGGCGCCCTGTAACTCTTAATCTTCAACAGCTCCTGCTGCGCAAGGACTAGGAACTTCTTTCCTTTATCACCAACGGGCTGGATATCGAGATGATCTTCCTTGACCCACTTGTATATGCGCACTCTTTGAGCCAGTACTTCATCCCTCTCGACGTCTTCTTGGTGTTGTCCTCTCCGGCCTAGGCCTAAAGGCTCCCCTCCCCTCCGCCTTCCTTTGTGATGAACTGGTTCGGGTGGAGGGATGGCCGGCGAAAACGTCTGGCTATAGAGCCTATTCATTACCAGCTTCTCCATACCTTCCCTTGCATTGTCGAATTCTGCATCGGAAACAGTCCGCCAAACCTCACACTGAGCCATCTTTTTGCTAATGAACTCCAAAAAGTCGCTGATAATCTTGACCTGTTCGTGCACCATCCACTGTTTTTTACCGAACTCGAGAAGGAATGATCTGAGGAATTTGGCAACTGGATCGGCAGATTTGTGGCGGAGCTGCTCCAAGAATCGATGAAAATCGAAGGGAAGATCAGGTTCTGGGTCGGGAACTGGATGATTTGGTTTATACTGGGGTGCGTGTGCACTAGGAGACATTGGTTCGGAGAGAGATGTGTTCGTCCCGACGCGATAGAGAGAAGACGTACGAGGAGGCGGTGAATGGGCTACTTGTTCGGACGAGGTAGCGTCGGTCGGCGTGGGTAAGGGTTTCTCGAGATTTGCGAGACTAGATCTCCGTGGAGGATGCACCACAGGAGATTCCAGAAGTGGCCCAGCAATCTCCAACCGTGGTGACATGATCTCATCTGCACCCGGGCCTCCATGGCCATCTTCAAATTGTTCCATGATGCTCTGAATCTCGGACCTTGAATCATCCACTGCACTCTCGCCAGCATCATACTGTGCGGCGTACGAGCTGGCAGCAGCATCTTCCGAATTCCTGCCACTGGATTTCCCTTGAGAAACTGGGGAATTAGCTCGGCTGGGAGTATTGTTGTCAGACGCTAGGAACTTGTCATCTTTAGGAGGTGGAGGAGGAGGCGAAGGGGATCTTATGGGGGCCTTCCCCGCGGATTTCGAGGTATCATCTACAATGGGTGGCGGGGACGCATCGAGGGGTTGCGCTTCGACCGTAGTAGTCGTAGTTGAGGTGGCAGAGATATCTCGGCTTGTGTCTGTCACCAGCTTCAAATCTTTCCCACGGCCTACATTTGGATCGACGGGTCTATCAAGGACCGGTGCTGTCTCTTCGACTGCAGCACGACTCTGCCCCTCATCAACACTTGGGCCTGTCTTCACCTTCGAGGGTTCAGAGTCCCTCTTTCGCGGGTCATTCTTCTTCTCAGTGCTCCCATCCGTCTCCAACATTTCCATTTGTCCTGCCAATGCAACTACATCCTCCTTTGCGCCATTCTCTAGCTCCTGTTCGCCGGGATCGTCATGTGTCTCATGGGGTTGCGGAGCCTGGGAAGAAGAAGACATAGACCGGTCTCGGTGATAGTGTGACGGAGGATCGTGGTGATTGTGCTGCAGCTTCCATGAGCTACAGAGGGGCGGTCGATATGATGCGAAAAGTCGTGGAGGGGCTGTAAGCCTTGAAACGGCCTATCCTGCTGTCCCAGTAATGCCTGTAATACCTAGTGCTGGATCAAGTTGCGGGTCGCACGTCGCACGTTGCATGTGCCCATCGATTCGATCGGCGTGCCAAAGCCGAGTCTCCGAAGGCGCCACTGCGCCACACAGGGTCCAAGTCTGGTTGCGGGCCGTGCGTGGAAAGTCTCAACGTCCGCGTCTCCATATCAACAGTTGACTCTCTAGTTCCTTGTATCTCGTCGTGCATAAACTGCAAGCTCTCACTTTGCTATATAGCATGTGCGGAATCTTCTTCGCGCTTAGTCGCAGCGCACATGTACTCCCTGATGCTAGCACAGAGCAGCTTCTACAAAAGCGAGGACCCGACAGCATAGGGAAGCATTGTATCCAAATACCTACACCTGGCACCACCTTCCACGCTACTTTCATCTCAACAGTACTTTCTCTGCGCGGCTCCCAGATTGTAGAGCAGCCTTTGCGCAATAGAGCCACTGGCTCCGTTCTTTGTTGGAATGGGGAAGCATGGAGAGTAAACGGAGAAACAGTTTCTGAGAATGACTCCAAATTCATCTTCGACCAGCTCTCCTCTGTCACCTCCAAGACTGTCCAGCAAAGACAAGAATCCGTCGCGCTGGTAGTAGAGTTTCTTTCCACTGTTCAAGGGCCATTTTCTCTTGCATTCTATGATGCAGTGAACAAATATCTTTATTTTGGAAGAGACTGCTTAGGGCGCCGCTCCCTCCTGCGTAAACTGGTAGATGACGGCGACCTCGTCCTTTCTAGCGTCTGTGACAACGCCACAGGTGATCGATGGCAGGAGGTAGAAGCTGACGGTATATATGTCGTTGATCTACTCCAAGACCTCGGCTGCGCTGCAGCAATAGAGATTCTTCATATTCCACATCGCCGTGTAGATTCCACCGGACCACCTGGTCTATCATTTGTAGGTAAGTAACAATCTTTTACTTTATCGACTAATCGTTACAGACACTCCCTTTCCCAAGCTTGAGGAGAACACTGCAAACAGGCGATGGTCTGCTCCTTCGCCAACATGTCTCTAAGCTGAGGGTCGTTCTCAATGCAAGCCTCGAGGTACGGGTCAAGCATGTCCGAGAATCGGTAGAGGGCATAACTTCAACGAATACGAAAGTCGCCATTCTTTTCTCTGGTGGCCTGGACTGTACTGTATTGGCCCGGATGTGTCACAATTTGCTCCCGGTTACAGAAGGCATTGACCTTCTCAATGTAGCCTTTGAGAACCCCAGAATACACGGCAATTTGGATCCTGGTACTTCACCTTATGAACTCTGCCCAGACCGTATCACGGCAAGGTCTTCGCATACAGAGCTATTAAAAGTCTGCCCAGGGCGACGCTGGCGCCTTGTAGAAATCAATGTCCCCTATGTGGAAACAGTCTCGCATCGTTCTTGTGTCATATCCTTGATGCATCCGCACAACACAGAAATGGACTTGTCGATTTCCCTAGCCTTGTATTTTGCATCTAGGGGAGTCGGTGCGACACGAGATAGTCTTGACGAACCAATGCGAGACTATACGACACCCGCACACGTCCTTCTATCAGGACTTGGTGCAGACGAACTTTTCGGAGGCTACCAGCGCCACGCGACTGCTTATTCTCGGAACGGCTATCACGGTCTGAATGATGAACTTGCGCTTGACTTTGATAGACTGGGCAAAAGAAATTTGGGAAGAGACGACCGCGTTATCAGTCATTCGTCAAAAGAAGTTCGATTTCCCTACTTGGACGAGGATGTCATAGCTATGGCCCTGGGACTTCCTGTTACAGCCAAATGTGATTTCAGTAACGAGCAGTGCTTAGAGTCTGAGGACCCTGCTAGGTGTCTCGAACCGGGTAAGAGAATCCTCAGAATGCTAGCTTGGGAGCTCGGCATGAAGAACGTTGCAGCTGAAAAGAAGCGGGCAATTCAATTTGGAACCCGTACGGCAAAGATGGAAACCGGCAAGACAAAAGGAACCAATGTCCTGTCATGACTGTCTAGGTGAGTAAAGTAATCACTTCTTTATCTTTCCGGCGATGACGAGGGAGGAAAAGCATATGCAACGTCTCCGACAAAATTTCGGTAGGCACCGCTCTCCACGTCTCATTTCTATCAGTCGAATGGCTTGTGTGTTTTCTAAGAAGATAACCCGGCCACTCAATGATAAAAGTTTGGGGCTGAGACGCCTGCCTGTGACCGGTTAAAAAGGCAAGTCTGAGCCAAACTATATCATATCACATTATTCAGTGTTGGATCGTACGAGTACTCTTGCTGACTACGAGACTAGTTTGCTGCATCATTTTCCATGCATTTTACTGGTGTCACTTGCTTCACCCTTTCCATTTAGCCCATGACTGCGATGGCCTCGTCGAACTCTTGAGCTGCGCAGGTGGACGGACTCAATCGTTGGACCGCGCCGAGGAAGACGAATTAGACTGTGATATCAAGAATATATTAGAGCTACGTGGCCTACTCATGGGAATTGCACAGTTTTGTTTTAGATTTAGTCTAGAATGTACGAGTAGTGACCGGCGGAGAAAAGATTGCAGATTTCGCCACATCTGCACCGCCACACCATGACGCATAAGGTCTTGGTACTGGACATTCACCTGTACAAGAGCACAATGTGACTACAAGTATATATTGTGGAGCTACAACGTTGCCAGTAACTCAATTCCTCCCAACACACCTCTTCTCTTTCACCAAGTCAACAAAAGTTCAACGTTCTACCCATACGAGGATCTTCTCTCGGCTTATCGTCGTCCTGTCACCCAAAATGCCCGTCCCACTACCATCCTCCGAGCAGTCATCTGCAGCGCAAAACAGCTCTTCGGCCACTGCGCAAACGGCACACCAAGTCCATAACGAATCTACACAAAGTGTAACTTCTGCCAGTCAACAGCAACAACAACAACAAAAGACACAGGCTGAATTGGAAGCCGACAGACTCTATGAGGAGCGCATCGAGGAGGAGTACGCAAAGCGCGAAGGAGGCGCTTAAACAGCGATTGCAGTTATAGCCATGATTATCTCGTCGTGGTCTATCTAGCTTTTCCATTATTGGCCTGAAAATTGAGATATCCGAATACATCTTCATTTATCTATGCTCTATCACCATACACACCTTTTGTCGCGTCTTCGCAGCGTGATGTTCTGAAACTCGGTGTTGCTACCCCGCCAAAGCCTTCTGCACCAACTCTTGCGGTCTTCCACTCATGGGTATTTGTAACGCCAGTTTATGGCCCTCGTCGGTCATTTTCCCCCATGTCTTCCGCAGTATATTGATAATCTTATCTTCGTCGTGCTCCTTTTCGAACTGCTCGAACTGATCGTCCAGGAAGACTAGACAAGCCACATCCTCCAGCACCTGTGTCTCTTCATCCTCTTTCAGGTCTTCCTTCCTGATGAGCGCAGCAACGCGCGCAGCTGTCTCGTCCGTGTAGCCTGAATCCTTGCATATCTGTTCAACCTGCTCAGCCTGTTTCTTCTTTGCGAACGTCCGCCATGCGTGATATCCAACACGAGTCATAGGGTACGAAGAGCGTGGGACCTCCCAGCGACGGAAGTGCTGTGCGCGAATGGCCAAGCGGAGGGGTTCGGATGCAGAGGGGCAACGTTTTTCAAGATACGATGTGCATTTTTCGGCGTAATGGAGCTCGTAGGGCTTGTCCGTGCCGTTGAAGGTGGTTATGTTTGGGTCAAGCGCGTGGGCGGCGTCGATGGCCTCGAGAGCCTTGTTGAACGAATCGCTCATAAGTGACTGCTGTAATGGCTTGGGAGGTTGGAACGGTCTACGCTTTGTCAGTCGTACGAGTAGCAGATAGTCGATTGACTCGTTGGGGAGATTCACACGGTATGTTTTGTCGAGGTTTGTTTGACAAACTAACTTATACATACATGCTTGTACCTACCACCAAGGCACATGGTTGCTTATCTACGCTTCTGCCATAGGTCAGCCCAAAATGATAGTTTCCCCACATCGCATAGCTTCCAACACTACGACTACTCTGTACTCTGTACTCCAAATAATCATCATGGTTTGATGTTACAAGTAAGTAATAAGTCGACGAAATAATTGTTCACTTTGGTTTCGTCGTTAGACATTAACAAGTCATTTTCTGTTTTCTTGTGATTCCCTTGGGCGTAGTCATTTATGGCTGCCTACTGGAGCGCAACTTTCTAGAGAGTTTTCAATTGGATTAGTCGCGCAAAAAAAAACCATACCATAAGGTTCGCAATGCTGACCATCTTGTCAAGGGGATCAATCACCAGAAAACCGTGCTAGGTAGGCCTCCTAAATCGGCTGCACCCCAAAAGCCGCGAGTATGGCCTCGTGAAGTACACAGTAGTTCCATTTCCAACCAAGTGCTGGAAATCTATGCAGAGACGATGATAATTCAACCGGCCCTAGGCGCGAGTTCCTTGAGACTTTGCCTTTACCCCACAATCTTGGAAAATGCTTCTTCCTCCTGGTATAATCCCTTCCATGGAATTTCCCAGCTATGCCTATGCGAGTATGTCGCAAGAAGTTAATTCTGCTCCAATGACCTCATCTTGTCCTCGCCTAATCTCCAGCCCGTTGAACGCCCTCATCATCAACCGGCAAGAACCCCGGATTTGGGTTTGCGAACGAGTTGTCTACCAATGCCAGTGCCAACCAATGAGCATGAAATACTTTCTACGCCGACTCTCGCCCTACTCGAAGTTGTCGTCTGGCCTTCCAGCACGGAAGATGCACCAATAATGCACTTTGCTAACAATCAACGTTTTGCCACGTTCCATCTGCACACCCTTCGTCGATGCACAAAATCATGATCAATCGCAGTCGTTTGTGCAAGGAGAATCGCGCCTCTTCCCCGCAAGACCAACAATGACTCGTGTTAGGCTTTACTCCATGGGTGGCATTTGTCACTACTTCTATCCCAATTCAGGCTTCCTCGCCGATCGTGCCTTATTTTCCCCAGTCGCTTCAATTCACGGAAAAGAACTCTTCCACTAGAACAACTACGATGTACCGGCAAATGGTGACTGGTGAACAACCAAATATAATTACAAATGGCATGGAGTATAAGAATCACCGAGCCGTACGGGCTTGATGCGTTGTTGCATCAGTCAGTAATTTGACGAACCTGCAACATGGTACGACTTAGCAGGAGTGTCGCATCTACTGTGGCTCTATCAGCAGTATGCTCGTTTGTTGATGGACATGGTCTGAACGATGGTTTGACCGTAAAAACGACCCATTTCACAGTCAAGGGAACCGTTGAAACGAATACTACCAACGTTCGCGTCTTTCGTAGGATTCCATATGCAGAGCCACCTCTCGGTGCCAATCGGTTCAAGCCACCAGTCACCAAAAAGCCCGAACTCGACGTCTTAGACTCGACCGAATTTGGACCTTCCTGCATTCCTATCAACAACGGCCAGCCGACGCCATACACCGAATATCTCCCTGGATTTCTTTTGGCACCGGGGGCCACAACGGGAGAGGACTGCCTGAGTCTTGCCTTGTGGGCACCGAGAGAGAAGAAAGAGGAGAGGCTTCCGGTCATTATATACATTCCAGGTGGTGGCTTCACAGGTGGTGGTGCCAATTCGCCTTACAAGTATGGTGGGCCAATCGTTCGAGACAATCAAGATGTCATTGTCATTGCAATCAAGTAAGCTAGCTCCGTAATCAGAGAATGAATCAAGTACTGACGGCCGTAGCTACCGTGTAAACATTTTCGGTTTCCCCAATGCCGCTAGTCTGAACCAACACAACCTAAATCCAGGCTTGTTGGATCAACGCAAAGCGGTAGAATGGGTCTACGACAATGTTGCGGCTTTTGGTGGCGACCCTGCAAAGATCACACTTTGGGGCCAGTCGGCCGGGGGTTCATCGGTCGACAAGTATGCATATGCGTGGGCAGATGATCCAATTGTCCGAGGTCTCATTGCAGATTCCGGCGTTGCATCTTTGCTTGGAACTACGTCTGCGGACACTTCCAACTTTACTTATGTTGCGTCACAAATTGGATGCAATCAAGAAGATGCCGATGATCAATTCTCTTGCGTTCAACAGAAGAATGCGAGCGAGATTATCAAGGTCCTGAATACCTACAATGCTACTCAGAATAGCGGAAAGGGGCTTACCTTTACCCCAACTGCCGACAACGAAACTAGCTGGGCGGACTACACTGATCTCAGGAACAGAGGTAGATTTGCGCGATTGGTGAGATAGGTTCGGTAATATTGGAGTCAAATGGACTGCTAACTCTCAACAGCCTCTTTTGACTGGTATAAATGACAATGAATTTGCGACCTTACTACCCCTCAGTCCCAATGGCCCTAACCAGACCGCTGTTGACCGATCAACTAATGCCTCAATGAACTGTCCTGCTGCCGCTGCTGCTCGGTAAGTCTTGTTCTTTATATTGATGTCGAGCGCAACTGATCAAATCTTCGTCAGATCTCGCACTGAGTACAGTATTCCGGCTTGGAGGTACCGATATTTCGGTCAATTCCCCAATCTCAACCCTGTAGAATGGCTAGGTGCTTATCACTCCAGTACGTCATTCCAGATAACCAAGTACTGTTCGTGAATAATGGCTCACTATCATAGGCGAACTACCCATCATTTTCAATACATCAAATCTCCTCGGACCAAACACAGACAATGAGCTCGCCACGGTTGAGTATTTGCAAGGAGCATGGCTTTCATTCGTGAGAGATCCGGAGAATGGATTGATCAATTATGGCTGGCCTTTGTATAATGAAACTACCGAAAGTCTAGTTCAATTGGGCCTGGAAGGTAACCCAAAGGCAGTATTCGCTCCAGCGGGCAAATTTGACGAGACGTGTACATAGATATATAATGTATATTGTAGTACCTCGTGTACACCTCAACAAAGTTGGATTTTGTCTTGATTTAGTTTTGTCTTGTAAGACTATTCTGTAGACGGAGGAGAATGGGATCAGGATTGAATGTGGACGCAGTGGCTAGCTTTATATAAGAATTAATATGAAAGAGTTCTTTGCGTAGGCTCTTCGAGAATACCTTTTATCGTTCAATGCACCGGCCTTCACATTCATGGCCACTACATTCTATTCGTCATGTGTTCAACTCGCGATCTGTTGTAGCGACAATTCAATGGAACCCCAATAATTGTCTAGAATTCGGGGAATCACCTTTTTGCTTTTTCCTTTGGCTTTTTTCCCTATTTCCTTTGCGAATAAAGATGGAAATAATAAGTGAACACTTCTCCTTCTATCCATGGACAATCACTGTCATACCTAGCCTTATGTCTTCAAAGTCGGCTATGTAGTGTTTTGCCGAAAGTGGAACGACAAGTGATGTTAGTCTATCTGAACTATGATTGTAGCTTACGGTAATCACTTCACCTTCACTTACTGAGATTTAAAAATCAACATTTTTTGATTGGATGATCTACAATCACCTGCACAACTCCGAAGTGAAGGCCACAGTGCTGGTGCCTACTGGTAGTATATTCATCTCCTCACGGGAATAGATGAGCTTTGATCACAATGTTTGCGCGTGATTCATCGCTCTTAAGCCCGTTCATGAGTACCGCATGCTCATTGATATCCTGCCTCGCACTGCTCCACAACTTGTTAACAGCTCTGGACGAATAGCATGGACTTCAAACAGATCATCCCGCATCTACATGCAGTCACCCGCCAATTTCCTGTGGAGTATGGACATCTTCTGCCGCTCCACCCAATCAATCATGTGAGGGGAGTATCACTTATAAAGTGTTTCTGTCGAGATTGTGTGCCCATGCTATGGGAGTGTTTGGCTTATCATCCGGAAGTACCCAAACTCCCAGTACAGGCTCGCTGTTACGATGTAATGACTTTGGCCAAAGTCATGGTCGCCGTTACCAGTAAACTCAAGCACACTCTGGTCGACCCTTCAGGGCAATTCCGCGTAACCCTGGATCGTATCGAAACCTCCATGCGCGAATTCGAAGACGAGCTGAAGAAAGGCTTCTACACCCGACATATCAGCGATTTACCAACCCTTGGTGAACTTGCAGGTGCCTTCAGCTGGCTGTTCTTTCGCGATATGGTACATGGTGTCAGGTATTCATGGCTGGGCCCTGTTGTTGGACTTGACGAAGGACAACCAGCAAAAAGGCGAATAATGCCGCCAGGCGTACGAGCATTCGCAACTTGCGATGGGAAGGACATTTACATAAGTACCCATCATTTTGCCGACAAAGAATGCTTCGGGCATTTCACACCTAGGCAGCTGGCTCTCCAGATCGCAGGCGCTATTCTTCACGAACAAATTCACCAATACTTCAATCGCAACCTTTGTGATGGATATTGCGCTGGGACACAGTCGCAGAGCCAGCTCTGCCGCTTCCTGAATGGGGAAATGTATTGGCTGTACGATGCCTGCACCTACAAAAGTGTTACTTTGAACTATAGGTCGCACTGTGGACATGGACCAGCGTTTCAAGAGGTCGCACGCGCTATAGGCAATTGCGCAGCGGCAGTCTTCGGCCTTCAGGGGCCCCTTGAACTTGGATACTACAAATGTAGGTGCGGATTGGAACATCCCGAGTGTCCGTCGCATTGCATGCCCAATAGATACGAGCTCATGCGCACGGTTGCGCATGATCTGGAATCCGAGATCAAGGAAGTGGACGCGCAGGGGGGGAAAGTCGTTCACTGTTCATCAAAGGCGTTGACGGCTTTGAAACCCTTGACGGGTACATCTGGCAAAGACAAAGTCATGCACCCGACGAGCTTCTAAGCGTTTGCTGTTGTCGTGGACAAACCCGCATGGCATTCGAGGTGAAGATCGCAAAGCCACAGAACTATGTTAGATTAGAAGCTGGAGACTTGGGAGTCGGGATAGAATTGGCCAGGGTCGGCTACAACCCTTCCACGATATAGTTAGATGCGGTACTCATCTGACAAGTTCCAAACAAGCTCAATGGTCATACTGCCGTAAAATGTGTACATAATTCAATGAATGAACTCAGCTTGACTGCTGTGGCTCACATTATATCCTTGTTCCCATTCATTTCAGCGTTCGTGTTTAGAATTCCCTTTACTGTATATATGAATCCTGATCAATTTAAATTCAACTTACTAGACCGACACCATGATCTAGTAGTAGGCCAAAGCAATAATTCTACAAATATTGCGAGACCCAGATGTTATAGGAATTTACATCTGCCAGTTGTGCAGAGTCAAGGTGCTCAATAACGTATAATGTAAATATGATATAAATGTCTAATTGCTGCCACTAGAGCTCCTTCTCAATGGGAGCGGATGTTTCCTTGGATCCGTTTTCTACCTTGGAGATCTTAAACCCACCAGGAGCTTTGGTCTGGAAGATGCCCTGTGGGTCAAACTTCGCAGCTGCAGCCCGTATCTTCTCCACGTTCTCTGCACCATAGCTACCAAGCGGATTCTGATAGGAATCTGCGTAGTTCAAAAATTGCCAGTCGACTAAGCCTCCCTTCTTAGCAGCGAACTCTTGCATCTTCCTTCCGTATGATCGGAGCAAGGGACGGGCCAAAGCCTCCTCTTCTGGAGTCTTGACAGCGATGTCGAATAAGAGCATGATTGCATTCTTGTCGACCTTATCGAGACCCAGAACATTCCCACCTCTCTCGACACTGTGCTTTGAGAAGATGGTGGGAATCGATTGAAACATGCACTGTGTGATAAAGTCGCCATCCGCGCTTAGGAGCTTCCATTCTTCTACAAAGGCTGTGTTGAGGTCTACAATCTTTGTAAAGATCTCTTTGTCATTGGTAAAGGTCATCGTGAACCAGATGTCGCTGTCGTGCATTAGCATAGCGTTAAAATAAGCACTGACCACGATAACTCACCGATAGCCAGCAGCCTGTTCCAGTTCATCGGTGAGCGCCTTGTGGCTGTCGAGGCGGAGGGTATCCGCGATGCGGTCGATAGCAAGGAATTCATCGAATCCGGCCGGTGCCTCTTCACCTTCGGTATCCTCATATGCAGCTAGAATCACGATGTCGGACATTACAGGAAGGTAACTCCAGAAGATAATAGAGCTACCGGCCTGGTAGTTTTCCACATTATCGGTCCATTTGACGTAGGCGTCGATTTGCTGAGCAGTCACTGATTTGTTGTATGTAGCAGTTCCGCCCCAGAGGTTTCCGGCTAGGAATGCTTGCATGTCAAAACGGGTGACAATGCCAAAATTGCCGCCCGAACCGCCCTTGAGTGCCTGGAAGAGATCGGCATTCTCATTGGCGTTGGCATTGACCACTTTACTAGGAAGGCGTCAGAGCTAAAATATGCACGTCAAAGTCGCAATTCAGCTTACCCATCAGCAGTCACGAGCTCAAAGTTCACGACATTATCACACGCGAATCCTTTGCGCGCAGCATAGAAAGAATTGCCTCCACCTGTCAAGAAACCTGCAACACCCACCGTACCGGCACGACCGCCTGGGACGGTGTAGCCTAAGGGATCTAGGACGGCGTACACGCCGTTCCATCGTGAACCTGGGCCAATTGAGGCTACTGTTGTGTTTTTGTCGAAGGTAACTTCTGTCATCAGGCCCAGGTCGACTGTGATGCCGTCCTCAATATTGTTGGAACCAGCCCATGTTGTATGTCCACCGGAACGAACAGCAAACTTGGTGCTGGAGCAGGCACCGTCTCCAACCAAAATGTTCACTACTTTTACTACGTCGTCGGTAGAGGTAGGCTGAACAATGCAGTGAGGCGTGAGCTGAGCACTTACTGACCAGTACGACTCAGTACGGTTTTTGTAGGCAGCATCACCAGAGAACAGCACGTTCTGAAGCCCAGCGCCTTGGAGAGCTTGACACTAAGTTTGGTATTAGCTTGGGCTTCAAAGATACAGATTGCCGAGCAGCAAATGTTTTTCGCTTACGCATGTGTCGATTGCTTCATACTGGGCCAAGGCGGCTGGTAGGCCCAGGATCACAGGGAGAATGACACCGAGCATGTTTCAGGTCCGTACCGTTGGGAATTAGAAAAACCCTGTAAGCTGCAGTATAAATGCTTGTGAAGGGACAAAGCCAGAACTTATTACTTCACAAGGCAACCGACCTGACTCAAGATGCGGAAAAATCCGATGTTGCACGAAAAGACTTTCTCCACATCACATTCACTTGGGGAAGGGATCGAAGCGACGTTGGGTTACTCCTCCGCACTAAGTATCCTGTGACAGCACCGGACTGGTTATAAATACGATAGCAATGATTATCATTGCCATAGATATCGATGGTATTTGCGCGATCGACCGTTATAGGCGGAAAGGGGCCGAGAACCTTACTCGCGTTATGCATATCTCGATGTGCCAGGGTTGCTCGAGTCGCTCAGGGGTACGGGCGGCCTGAATATTGCGTACTACGGCAAGGGAAAAACTTCCGCGGCTCCACAAGCTCGGTTGTAACCATGCCTCATTTATTTAATAGGGCCGCAAAAGAGGAGACATTGTCTTCGATCTTCAACAATTCTTTCTGTAATTGTTATAACAGGAAAAACAGTGGTTGCAGAGCAGGCATGCACGCGGGAAGTGGGTGTCGTTGGGAGAGCGTGAAAAAAGGAGGTTTGCATTATGTATAATCATGTAGCGTTTCCAGATTAAGGTTCTAAAATTTGCTCCCTCTCTCTCGTTCTGATATGAAATAGAGGAGTCTCCTGTCATCCCCACGTTGTGTGACTTGGTGGCGTTTTCGCGGGCCGCTGGTCGAAATAAGGTTCAACCAAACTTCCCATCTTTGAACATATCCTCCGAACGCGACTCTACGGAGCACTGTGTACACAATGGCGAACGTTAGCGAGACGGTGACGATGATTCCCCCTCCAAAGGGCTATGTTGTCGATTTTGAGAACCCTCAAAGACAGTACAAGACAGAGTCTTACATCGTGTGCTCAGTGGAGATGGTGCTGGCATTTCTTTTTCTGGCACAACGACTTTACACCAAGATCTTCCTCATGAAGAAGTTCCAGATTGAAGATGGTAAGCCTGTTGAAATATAGATGATATGGCACCACTAAATAATAAATGCAGCTGTCGTCATCATTGCCTGGTTATTTTGCATGGGAACACAGATATGTCTACTATTGGGCATCTCAGCTGGTGCAATTGGGGCGCATGCCTGGGAAATATCAATTGATTTATACGGCTACTTCAGCAGAGTAAGGCGCGACTATAATGCATATTTCGCTGGACATCTGATGGCTTACTTTTCTGGTTACGATAGGTTATTCTCGCTGCACCGCTGCTCTATGCAATTGGAACCGCTGCGGCAAAGTGCGCCCTCTCCCTATTCTATCGACGCCTCAGCCCCAATCAGTGGTTTCAAGCAGCTGTCTGGTTCACACTTTTCGTCAGTGTTGGTGCGTACACCGGGCTCTTCTTCGCTTTACTATTTGCTTGCAAACCTATTGCTGCAAGTTGGGACCCCCTACTTCTTCCAACAGCCGTTTGTGTCAATCGCGGAGCCATCTACATTACACAAGCCGTCCTCGGCATTGTCACCGATTGCCTGCTCATCGCGCTTCCGATTCCCACGGTGCTCAAGTTGCAGATGTCAACCCAGCTCAAACTAGGCCTGGTTGCCTTTTTTGCTGTCGGTATAGTGACCATTGTCACATCAATCATCAGGCTGATCATCCTTCTGCCGTCGTTGACTACCATGGATCAAACATGGGTGATTGGAGAGGGTTGTCTCTGGATGTAAGCTTCCTCTCGGTTCTAATGACTACACCTTTTACACCACCTGCTAATACACAATGATCCAGTTTTATCGAGGCTAATTTGCTCATCATGTGCTGCTGTCTCCCCACCATTCGCCGCTTCCTGCGGCACGTTGCACCAAGTCTTATTGGTGAATCCTCTTCTGGATCCGACTCCAAGTCAAATTCAAACGGCTATTCCCGTAATGGCGGATTGCGCACTTTTGGTAGTGGTGGTGCGAAACGCACATTCGACTCACTCATGAATACTGTCGATGAGAGAGGGATTCCACTGAACTCACTTGATGAGGTGCATAATATGGAGAAGGGAGGAGGCACGAGTACAAACGCAAAAAGTGTGACTAGGGACAGCGATAGCGAAGAAGCAATCTTGTACGAAAGAAGTGTACAGGTCACGTATGAGAGCAGGCAAGAGGGCAACACTGGCGACAATGATTTGGGGAGACTAGGAAACGGGTGGACAATGCCAAGTGCCGATGACAGGCATTCGCAAAACAAAAACATCTAGAGCTGCTAGAACATAGGTTTACAAGGTTGTATAGTAGATAGATTTTCGGAGATGAGAATACCCTTAGTTCCTTATTGGAACTTTCATATGCTTACAGCGTATACATGAATATATACCCTTTCCTTGAGCGCAATCACGTGTGTTCCATCCACCACATGGGCATCAAGAAAAATGTAACTACCCATACCGAACATTGCCAGACCCTTCTCTAAACCAGTCCTCGGTCTGAAGACTCTCGGTTGCAGATGCAAAGTTGATGATTGTGCTTTTTGCAACAGTGTACGCATTGTAAGCATCTGCTCAATAAGTTAGTTGCATGCTAGAGGAGCGATGTTGTGCCTCACTGACCAATGCCATTCTCACTTCCGACGCCAGAGTTTTTCATTCCACCCCACGGACTACTTGGATCATTCCTATGATGAGTATTTACTATGTCACGTTCGAGTTAGTAAATACTCTGGCTTCGATGTCCATAGAGTCTTACCCCAGCAGATACCCGCCTCGATTCTTTCCGCAACTCTGAAAGCCTGAGAAAGATCTTGCGTCCAGATAGCAGCGCCGAGACCAAACTCTGAGTCGTTCGCAAGCGCAATGGCTTCCTCTTCGCTGTCGAAGCCAGCGACTACAAGGACGGGACCAAATGCTTCTTCTTTCCAGATTCGGACGTCTGTAATCTTAACAGTTGATCCATCCGTAAGTACGGTTGGAGGATAATAATAGCCGTGAGAGAAGTCTGTCCCATCTAGAACAGATTGACCAGTCATTCGTTGTCCGCCACAAAGGACTCGGGCTCCCACCTCGCGAGCGTCGTCCACTAGACTTCGCACGTTGACAAGCTGCTTCGCAGATATCAGTGGGCCCATTGTAGACTCTGGGTTGCTTGGCGACCCCATTCTCCTCTCAATCGACTCCGCTTTCTGTAGTAACTTTTCAGTCACGGCTTCCATGATGCTATTGTGGACAATCACGCGCGTAGCTGCGACACATGTTTGTCCACTGGCAATGAAACCTCCAAAGGCAATCCCGTTGACAGCTAAGTCAATGTCGGCTTGTTCAAAAACCACGAGAGGAGCTTTGCCTCCAAGTTCTGCAGTAAAATGGGCAAGATTCTTGCCCGCTATCGCTCCAATTGCACGGCCTGCTGGAGTCCCACCAGTCACGTCCACTTTCTTGACTAGCGGGTGTTCAACAAGCGCTCTTCCTGTCGTAGAACCTTCACCAGGCAATACAAAGAAATGGCCGTCCGGTAGACCTGCTTGTTTAAACAATTTCCCAAGTTCAATGGACGTGAGGGGCGTTAATTCTGATGGCTTCAAGACGACGGCGTTACCTGCTGCTAATGCTGGTGCAATCTTTTTGACCGCAATGAGCATAGGATGGTTGAATGGTGTTATCTGTGCAACGACCCCCAATGGCTTGCGGTCAACCCAATTGTGCAGCTTTCCGACCGTTGGAAGTACAGCTCGTTCTTCGGTGCGAATATGAGCCGCATAATATTTGAACCACTTCACCAAGCTCGGGACTTGCGCTCTCATCTCCCGTATTGCGCGTCCTGTTTGGCGAACTTCCAGATCAATGAGTCTTGGGAGGTTGGATGTCAAAAGCTCAGCGATCTTGTCAAGAACGTCCGCTCGTTCATGACGCGGAGCCTTGGACCAGATACCGGACAGAAAAGCCTGGTGGGCGCAGTTCACGGCATCATTAACATCTTCGATAGATGCCGCGTGGCAATGCGCGATTGTCTCGCCCGTAGACGGATCCTCAATCACGAGTCTGAATGCTTATCAGTACGGATACTGAGGGGTTGTGATTAGCACGCGCGGGGCAGTTGACTGACTGTTCCGCTTGCCCTGCTTTTTCCTCTCCGCCATTCCAAAGGTAGAATATATTAGAAGACATTTGAGCGATCGATCTGTGTATCACACTACTATTACCATGTAAAGCGATGTAAGCTTCAGAACGGAACGAGTGGTCGAGATTACTGGCAACTACTTTCGTTAGGTCAGTTCGGGGTTGGCTCGGAGATGCTCCGGCTCTCACGTCGACTCCATTGTAATGGCCATCTTGTCTACAGAACAACCTGTTGTTATTTGTGTAAACTCTCTGATGTTGCTATCTCTGTCATTTATGTAATTTGTCGGTTCTAAAGCTCATTCATATGTAACAAAATTATTATTGATAATTTCGTACATTAAGAGAACTAATTTTTCATTGGAAAAGAGTCAATGGTTTGTTCACATACCATTCAAAAATAACTTCTCCAGCATCTCGCCTATAGGAGGCAACACCGGCACCGGGGAATCCTCAAACAGAATGGATCGTGATAAAGATGTGTTCACATGGTCTCCATAAAAGCACACATGGGCATAGCATAGTTCAGCTCCCAGCCGTGTGTTCAGGCTTATCTTGAATTTCACCTGTTACATTTGGAACAGCAACCATTACTTTCTTGCCATGTAAACTACGATAAGACAGTAGCACAGCAATAATGCAAACTATCATTCGTGGCAGCCGCCCTCCTGCCACCCTTTGGGACCTTGTGTATACCTTCCGAACAACAACTCGCCCATCAAGACGCTGCCCGTTACAGCAAAAAGAAAACCGACATTGTATGTCATCACAGCTAACATCCTATGGGGATTGAATTAACATTCTTCCTTGGGTATAGAAAACAGTAGATGTACGTTATACCTACAGTACATATCCAACGAGTGCCCTTATAAACTCTAGAAATGCACTGATTCCATCTCGTTTCAAGCTCCAACGACCGCGCGCTACCCAGAATGTCCTTGGTTGAGAGCGGGGACTTTCCGCGGGATCTATGGCTTCAATCCCAGCAACTCCAGGACTAAGTGGTTCGATCTCATGTTCAACCCGACTGACTGTCCGCGATGTGTGTGGTCGAAGAATCTGACTCCAATTTCTCAGGTGGCCCCTCGTTGTTCGATCGCTAGGACTCGATGACTCCTTGTGCACTGCGTTATCATACGCAATAGTAGTTGTGTTATTCCATTTTCTCTCCAATTGGGTTTTCAATGCGCCAAGGAAACGATTGAACAGTCCTAAACTGAAGAGAAAGACGACAGTAAGGAAATATGCCCCAGGAGTTGTTGTAGTCCAGTCCGTGAACCAAAGCGTAACGTGGGTGTTCACGGAGAATGTGGAAGCCATACTTGACATCGGCACTGGCATTGACATCGACCCCGAAGGCGACGGAAGGATAGAAGATGATGATTCGGCATGTTTCATCGCTGTAAGTGTATCCATATAGTTTTAATGGTCCCCGTGCTCGACGTTTTGGTGTGAAGATAGTCGTAGATAGTCGATTATGAAGAGGATAGATACTAGTGATAGCATACCGTGAAAATAGCCACAATTGAAGGGGGAAGAGGTTTTACATGATCCTGAGCAAAGATACTCCGCCAAGGTATATGGCGGCGTGGACCATGTTGGTTCGGAATTATATGAGCAAGTTTGCGGCGATATTGATCACCTCACCTCCACACAGGCTAGCGTCTACAGCAAAAGTCTACTGTACATAAAAGTAATTGTTGGCTACTTAGTGAATTTATGGAGTTCTTCAATACCTTTCTGGATAGAACCACACAGACATGTTATTTGGTGTTGTGGCGTGCTTCAAAGTATTTCGCGTTGTAATGCCTTTTCAATTTCCATGCACCACTGACTTTGTGACGTACGAAATCGGCAGTCCCGACTAGTGGCTACTTTTCATTTTGTTCCTCCGACAGTTGACAACCATCATCACTAGTCCCATGACCGACCTCCAAGTAAGGTCATCTGGATGGCAAGTTTAATGAAACGGAGAGGTAGGTACCTTATCGTCGTCTTGCGCTCCTGGCTTGAGAAGATGGCTTCCTTACTACCTATAGTTATAATATATGGAAGTGACTACACTGCCTCAAACAACAACAACAACAACAACCGAAACAGCAAGAATGACTTGCAACTCCTACAGTCTATATAACATTCTACGTGGTCACGTCTCCATCTCTCTTCTTCATCTTCACTTTCATCATATCGTCTTCTTCTTTTCTTCTGCTTCTCAAGCTGCAGAACCACCACCACCGCCATCACTATCCAGCAGCAGCAACAGCACCAGCAACAACAACACTGCGCGCCCCCCACCCCCCGGCCAAATGGCCGAATTTTGGATAGACGTCATTAATATTATATGCACCGTCATTGGGACGGTGCTTGAGTTCCTCAAATTCTTGAGGGACAGGAAGCCTGTAGGTTGAGTATTATCATGACTGTACTTTTGCTAATCGTGACCTTGAAGGCCCCTCTGGCCGCCCCCACCGCCGCCCCCACCGATCAGCTCCATGTTGTTGCGATTCTCACCTTAACTCCCTCCCTCCTGTGATGGCCCGGCTCTGGATTGAGCTCGTTGGCCTGGTCTGTGAGATAATTCGGACTGTCCTGGAGTACCTCACCTTCGTGAGGGAAACGGCCCCCGTAGGTTGAGTATTATCATGACTGTACTTTTGCTAATTGTGACTTGAAGGCCCCCGAAGAGGCCCGGCCGGACCCCGCTGCTGCCCCCGCCGCTGCCCCCGCCGCTCCCCAGACCCCCGAAAATCCCCCCCCCATCCAACCCGTCGCAGGCAGACTCACTCCCGCGTACCCGCATGGGTACAAGGGAGTGAGTCCTAGGTCGTGTCGGTGGTGGTCTCTATATCTTATCACAACATTTTAGTAAGTTTTGATCTCAGCTTTTCCACCTTCCTTCCTTCCTTGATTTCCCTTCTTTTCTCCCTCTGCCTATCGATCACTTCAACTGCTTCTTCCCTCTTCATCTTCTCTGATCTCCAACTCTTTCAACCCAGTACCAATATTAACAACAGATTCAGCACGCTCTTCCTCGATCAGAATTCCAGGGCCCTCGATGCGAGCGAGGCCGGCAGCCCGCCCGCCCGCCTTACCAACTCCGCTCCCTTCCGCGTTCATCACCCTGCCTGGGTACATGGCGGGCGCTGCTTCGAGCCGTGCTCGTCATCTTGCTGGCAAAGACTTCCATTCTTAATATTTTCCTTTGTTCTTACTTTGTCTTCTTGCGAATCATGTTGTGCGCCGTTTTGTTATGGAGTATTTCTCCCCTCCTTTCCTTTTTCCCTTGTCCTTCTGAAAATCATACTGCGGGATGTTTTGTACCTGGAATACAATCCAATTCATCCAATAGTTAGCGCTCTTGTGCATACTCGGATGTGACTCCAGCGTTGTGAACGGTAAGACTAGTTACAGTTGCAACACTCATTTGTAACTACTTGCACATGCCATATATGTTTTATCGGTGTAGGAGAAGTAAATAAACAATCCGTGCGATTTTCGGAAAACTACTCTTGCATGCGCCATCAGTCGAAACAAACCTTCGTCCTCCACCCAAACGGTCGTTCAAAATTCTCGATATTTGTTTTCCGTTCATCAGGAAACGCCCACCAATCCAACGCATCAAGACAATGTCTTACATGGTCTTTATCAATGTCTCTCCCACAAACGTGTTTCCGGCTCTCTCTTGCGTCGATATACCTCCGAACAGCAAGAACGCAATGTGAAAAATGGAATAACTCGTCGACCATCACATTGTCCACAGCTGGACTGCTTAACCATGTCCCATTGAGATGCTTTCGATCCTTCACGAGTGCGGAAATGCTCGGATAGTGCGCGCTGATCCATGTTTGATAGCGCTGTTCTGATGGCGTGAACAGATGCATTGGAATTAACGCCTGATCGTCGAGACGCAGTGCCCAATCATTGTTTTTATATATATCCGATGAAGTCCATGCTGTGGCATTAGATCCGTAAACCGATAGTTGATATTCAGGGCCAATGCTGTCTCTAGTGTCATATGCTTTCCATGAGCGAAAGATATTCTGAGGATGATGCGGCTCTTTCAAGCTTGTGAAGATGATAACTATCACAAGGAGCAAGGCTACAACGATGCATATGGTGGGGAAGAAGAACACGGGTAGCTCAGACATTGAGACCAAGTCTGTACCGAAGCGCGCTGTGCGTCGAGCTGTGGTTTTGCAAATCTGGACTGTTTGCGTGATTTGCTGCTGCCGCGCTGATGGAATCCCAAGTGCCTTCGCAAGCTCAACATCGTACCGTGCGATAACAGCCAGTATGGTTTTCTCTGCTCGCCGGTCTAAATCCGTTTTTGCAGTCTTGTATAACACAGAAGCTTGTCTTTGTCGAGAATCATCCATGAAGGTTTGGCACATTCTCAGAGCAGCATCAACGCTCTGCGTTGTTTCTGCATGTGCGCAAACAGTGAAGATGAGGAAAACCTCATGACTCTCGCTCTCGAAGACGAAGATTGATTCTCCATCTTCGCGATGCGATCGAAGGAGATCAGACAAGCTTGTTTCCAGACCAAGATGCTCTTCTGAGGAGTCATACAATAGCCGTACTCGACAATCAGAACCCGTGCTTAATGGAGCATATTTAGGATTCAGCGCTCGTTGACTGAGGGGTCCCAGAAAAGTGGATAAGATGCTCATTTGGAAAGAATTGTTTGAGACTGCTCAAACTGATAGAGAAGAGAGAAATAATTTCCATAATAGAGCTCGAAAGGCAGACAAAGGAAACTCAAATCCCAGTCATAAATCATGCTCAAAAGACCGCGAAGGCCATGCGAAGATCTTTCCGAAATCGCAACGGAGCACAATTGATTACGACCATGTTATGCAAAAGTACCATCAGGCCACAGCTTCACGCAACACTCCGAATTGCCCGCAAGATATCTACTGGCTCCCTGCCTCGTAACAATATACAATGTCCGAACAGGGGGCCAGGGTTTTAGGCGAAGGGTCAGTGGCTATAAACGAAGTCCTCCGACAATAGCTATACAGCTCCTCCGCCATCGCTCGCTGCTTTCTACAGAAGCACCACCTTCCATTATGGAATACGAATATGCATTCACAAAAGTGGTTTTCGTAGCGGAGATCCGTTTAATTGCTTTGCATGTGGCGCCTGCATGGTAGGTTTCATGTTTCGGCGACCTATTCTGACATGACGTATGGAGCGACAACATATTATACACATGATGGTTCAGCCCGTAGCATCACGTATCATCAATCAGGAAGGGTATGCGAAATCTGTGTCATTGGATAGTTGCAATAGAACGCCTGAAATGGATATCCTGGACTCGGTGAATGTTCGACTTTTGCCGGACTCGTATTCTCGTTCTTGGGAATGTCGATCGTCTGCAATACTCATCCGGCTCTCATCACCTTCGGGCCTGATATTGTATGCCGTGTAGGAAATTGGGATATAAAAGAGTAGGTCGTTGACAGTGCCGGAACTCTCTCATTACCATCGAAGCAAATCCTCACTCTCGTTGCAATCTTTACATTCTTCCAAAGAAATCAGACACGCATTATGAAACTCTTCACTCTCACTATTCTTGCCTCTGTGGCTTTTGCAATTCCAGCTCCCATCGATTCCTCTTCTTCGGTCGGAGAATTAGAGCCAGCAGTTGGCTGCAGCAAGCCTTGGTGCATCACCAAGCGCGAGCCCGCTAAACAAGTCGGATGCCCTTACATTTGGTGCATCACCAAGCGTACCACGGAGTAAAACACTTCGACACAATCTCCCCGGCGAGAACCCGACAAGTCAACATTACGAAAAACCAAAGAACGCAAGATGCAGAATGATGGAAATCGGACTTCTGCCAGCCACGCCTCTCTGACGGACGAAATTCATGCGAGAATGTGTGAGCTGCGATCATCTACATGTATTCTGTTGGGCGTTGGATTTCATTGGTGTCACGGTAACTTCGAAAGTACACAAGGATCCATGGGGAGAATTAGCGATTAGGAATGTGACTTGATCTACAACCAAATGAAGCAAATATCTCAGTTGCGCTTTGACATTGTCCTCCGTATTCTTCATGCGGTAATATCTGTGTTGTGAATGATAGCACTGACGAATGTTATTGTGAGCAAACTGAAGCCATAAAAAATGAGTTTAAGAGCATCGTAGTGTAGAGGAGCGCTTGGAAATTGTATGGTTTGAAAAAAATATGCGAACAATCTTCATAGTCAGCGGTGAAACTTAAGTGACAAACTTTCTGAACTACATGATCAAGCAAGTAGGCATAGCTAAAAAAGAGGCCGAAACATTCGATATACAGAACACACACAAAACCGCTATCACTTCTGATTCACAATTATCCTATTACAGCCTCGGTGCATCAAACTTTGCGCCCAACAAGTCCCTCCGGACGATCAATGCGGCCCTTTCACCTTCTTCGATAGCCCCATCGATGAAACTTCGCCAACCCAAGGCCCAGTCGCTGTTCGCAAACACGACGTTGCCATGCGTTGCTCTCATGTCATTCAGGTGATTTGATAGGAGGCCTGGGGGAGAAAAGAACCATGCGCCTCCTGCAAACTCATCCTTCGACCAGTTATGGAAGACGAGTCGCTCAACTGCAGGGGCCGGGTGACTGTTGGAGTAGTTCTCCGCCGAAAAGAGAGATTGCACCGCGCGTTTGGTCCTCGAGATGTCGACTTCGGGGTCAATGTGGTTTTGCTGACCGCCGAAGCAAACGATATGTGTGTTACCTGCAGGCGTGGTTCCATCGCCAATTGCATAATTCAGCTCGTTGTGGGGGTATGTAATCCCGGTCCATGAGCGAAGGTCCTTGTTCGAGAGCTCAGCGTGGACTTTAACAGTCTGATTGACGTGCTTTATTTTAAGTGCAGATTGTTTGCCAGAAGATAAGGGAGGATCGAAGGTTACGCGATCGAGCACATTGAGAGGCATGGCCGAGATCACCTTCGCAGCTTGGAATTTTCGTGCATCCCTCGTCGTGACTTCGACCTGTTTGCCGTTGTCCCTGACATGGCTAACAGGTGAATTGAACGCATATTTGAGACGCTTCGATTCCAATGCCTCTTGGAAGAAGCGAATAGCAAAACTCGATTGACCTCGCTTGAACTTCCATGTGATGAGCATGTCCAGCCAGCCCTGGTATGTATACCCGCACATAGCCCACCAGTGCATGAATTCATGGAAACTAGTAGTCTCGAGGGTGCCACCACTTGCCAATAGAATAGAGGCCTCCAATACTGCTCGCTCTTGAGGTGACAAAATTGATGCGATATCGTTGAGTCGGTCCTTGGCGGAAATGTTGTCAAGGTCCGCCGAACCTAGGGTCCGAAATGTGTCGTGGGGCAGTGGTATGGTGTTTCTTCCATAAACCCCATCGATATTCGTAAATTTATTCAAGGCTGACGCCAAAAGTTCATCCTGTTCGCGCACATAAGCTTGGTTGTGTGGGAGCTGTCTGCATACATACCTCTTGCTCGTGGCTCATCGTAGTTACACCATTGGGTGTGTTCAACTCGAAGTGCTTTACCCCCTTCTCAAAGTTGAAGCTCTTTTCAACCTGATCATGCAGCTCGTATCTCATGATCTCTCTCCAAGTATTTGATTGGCCCCAATGAACCCAAGTACCGCCCATTTCGAAGGGGTAACCTTGAATGTTGGAGGACCACGACCGGCCTCCGATGCGGTCTCTGCCTTCGAGTAACAGCACTTGTAGCCCTTCCAATGATGCATTGCGGGCAGCTGTTAACCCGCAGTATCCCGCACCAATGACAATGACGTCGTACGGTTTCTCATTGCTTGATACATTTGACTCGGGCAAGATCTTACCAATAGTAGGAACGCCAGTCTGGAGACCTTCGCTTGGGGTCCAATTGTAACCGTCACGAGATGTCATCTTCGTACTGAGGTCGTGATACTTCGGTGATAGATTTCGGTATATAATGGAGGGTGGAGGAAGATGAGAGTGCTTTGCAGTCAGAGTCAAAACAATCGGGATATTTGCTCTATTTATGTCATCGCAATGGCGACCAGAGTCGTGTCTGGCTAAGAGAATATCCATCAACGACATCAGGGTCGAGGCAAACGGCGATGAAGACGTAGTTAGCGTCTGAGGAATGCCCCTGCGAATGATCCAATCAGAACTAAGCATTTTGCTTCCTCTCGCTAGCGATCCGATAAGCTTTCTCACAATTTTCTCCCAAAACGGTAATTCCAGTCTGAGCTAATTCTCCCCGCTTCCCTTCATCCACATCGTTCGCCTAACGCGACTTTCGGCATGGGGCCTTTTCTGTAAAAGAAAATGTCTACCTTATCAGCGGCCGATAAATATCGTGCGTGAAATGGAATAGCCTCCGAGTTTTTATTCCGAAGATGCCAACCAGATTCGAGCAGCAAGTCTCATTGTCCACTGGTAGTGAGCATATTCAGCATCGATTGCTCCCTTTGCATGCTTCTTTTCTGGACCTGAAAATCTCAATATCATGGCTTTGAGACGGTCGCGTCGATACGTACTCAAGAAGTCACTGTCGTGGGTATTGGAGTCTCTGAATGCTCTAACCGTCGAGTTATTGGAAGCCGAGTTGGAGATTTCGGCGGGCGATATTGATCCATAGTTACGCACTGTTGGAGACATTGTATCTAGTCGTTCCTCTTGGCCTGCAAATATTTAGGGTATCGTTTTACATTATGAGCACTTTAGACAAGTCTGGGAGACACTGCGTCCAACGTCTGTTCAACTTTCCTTCCCAGATTCGGTGCAGTATTTGGATGGCGCCTGGTATGTTCTCGAAGCCCGTCCTGGCGTAAATGTTACACATGTAGTCCACGAAGAAGTCCCGTTGAAGGAGATCATTTGACTCTGCTGCGGCAACAAAACATACCCACACAAAAGCGTGGGCACCAGGCGCCTCTGGTGGAATCTGCGAGAGGTGTTGTACCAGCATTTGAATTCGGTCGTACTGAGCAACGTCGTCGGCTTCTAGGGAAATCGCATCGAGGCCCGGGTCTTTGGAAGTAACCCGGTGGATATATATTGAACAAGCGCATGCAAAACTCTGTCGTACGTTTTCCATGACCTGTCGGTCGTTAGATGCGATAGGAAGTTCCTTGTATGATAGAAAATCCGGCCAAGTCTGGAATAATCCCGTAATGGCGAGGAGACCTTTATCCTCTCCCAGCAGTGGAGATCCGAGTAATGTGAACCTGCAGAAGCATTCAGCATTAGCACATAAAAGGTTAAGACGTCCACCATTGGTTACTGACATGTTGGTCTGCGCTTGGAGGAACTTTACCACCTCTGAGTTCTCATTCTTAGCTTTGCTGTTCTCCGAGAGAGAAATTAACATGTTAGCCAAGAAGGTGTAATCGGCATTACCAGTGACTGTTTCGCCAACAAGTAAGACAATCAGTGTGGCCCAAGTAAACTTGCTGAACACTCGATCAGCACTGCCACACAAAGATTCGCGGCGTAAGCGGGAAATGAGAGCAGCGCGACCAGTCTCGGCCGCACCCCTAAGGTCAGGACGCTCGTGACTGAGGCGTTGTGACGCAACAACACCAACAGCGCGACGAAGTATATCGTCTTCGACTGCCATCGGCAAAATGAATTCACGATAGCCGTTTGGGAGTGTATCAAGGACTACCATTGCCGGCGCCACTACATTCGAAACTGCCAGGTACTATCTATCAGTCATGATGCTAACTAGCTGGACTTCGATACCCAAACTTACAGTAACTGAACAGCATCCGCGCTTCTGAGCTGAGTAGGGGAATCCATGGTTGAACAGTGAGGACTGTTATATCTGCGAGATCCTGTCTTCCACTCGGTTCCGGTGCATCAATTTGGGGAGAGAGTTCATTTCCAGCCAATGCACCCTGCGCATGAGATTGACTTTCGTTGGTTCCCGTGTTTGGATCGCTCTGTCTTTCGAATCGTTCCCGTTTCTTGACCTTCTTGTCACTCTTCCACCGAATTTTCACGCAAGCATGATCCGATGATTGAGCTACAATACGACATTGATTTGGATCAATAGAGGTATTACGTCCCTTGGATCTGCCTAGGAACCCTTCAGTGAAGCGTATTCGTTGCAAACCAGAACACTCGATGCCTTTCTTGAGACATTTCCTACATGCCGGTTCACCCTTGTCGCAGACTATCCTGCGTCGCGAGCACTGAAAACAGCCTTTATCTTTGGGGATGACCCTCTTATCTACTGTCTGTTTCTGCATGATAGCGACATAACATGGGGCATCATTATTCCCATAGGATTACCAATGCTGAGTTACAACATATCTCCCTACGCAATTGATGGAAACGATGATGTTGGAGTAATCGCCAGCTACCAGATGACGCGGGCATGCCGGCCAGGTCGACTGTTAGCTTCCGACGATGCTAACTCATTAGCGACATCAGACCGCTTACTAATCACATTCACAGAGGTTCCAACCTTTGGAACCAAGTATCCATGTTACCGAAATGTTGATGGTCAAGTTCAAGGTAAGCTTCGACTGCCAGACTTTGCTTATTCGCTGTCGTCCAGAAGGCTACACGAGAAAAATATCAATGTGATAACTCGCGAAATAACATGTCCTGCAGAGCCACTCACCAGTACGTGACCTTTACGTTTAATTTCTTTGCACTTGTCGTCATTCGAGGTAGTGGTAACTAAATCGATGATAATTGACTTGTCGCTCAAATACGTTTTTTTTAGGAAGGTTGATTGTTGAAATCAGATGAGCTCGACCTAGAGCAAATCTGCATGAAGAGGAGAAGCTCGAAAGAAAAGATAAAGATAATGAGGCGTTACAAGTCGGTTTTGCTGTTCTGATTTCTGCTAAGGTTTAGGGCGGTGTAGTTACTTAAGCACTGGAATTGCGTTAGTGTCTTTATTCGAGTTGTTGGGGATCCATGGCTGATTTGTAGTTCCGATAAGTGTATGTCTAGGTACTCGAAGCTGGTACAGTGTATGTTCCTACGAGCGTTCCTATATATTGGGCTGCTGTACTTGGTCTAGTGTTTGCTCGTTGTCCCTATTCAGGAATTGCGCCGTGGACATACCAACCAGGAATCTGGTTCATGGACTGACAGATCCTATCCAAATGAGACATGCGAACCGTATAAACAAAGCCCAACAATATTTGCATGATGACACGCTGTCCAGTATTGCAGAGTATATGAATACTGCGAGGTCCAAGATTATCATTTCCCTTTCATTCTTCACCTATTCAATCTTTCTGTTCCTTCAACTATCTCATCACAAATACAGAACAATGACAGCGCTACGCTGGCTTAAGAAGTGCCTGCTATGGTGGCTACCAGGCCGAAACCCCAAACATGATCGATCCATCGCCAACATGGCGTAATCCCGTCTCTGCCAAATGCCTACGGAACTCATCTTGCTTATTGGTGGCCACATGTCAGAAGCCGACTATCTAAGCCTTGAAGCATCATGTCGCCACTTTCGTTATATGCTTCAAGGCGAAACAAAGAAAGGCTTCCATCTTTTGGACCGGCGAAAAGAAATGCTTCGCCGAATAAAAAGACATATCTGTTGTCAGGCCGCGCACGAGGAATTGGAAGTATTGAAAGGACACAGAACAACCAGCAGCTTATTGTCACTCGGAAAACTGTTCTGCAGCTACTGTACATCTCCTCACCCGGTTCATCTTTTCAAGCCAGACGCGATTTTGGAGTCATTAGTCACCCGTGTTTGTCGGGGAGCAGCAGGCGTCATATGGGTCTGCAAGCATCGCCAAATGACATTCACTGAAGTCAAAAACGCTATACCGAGGTCCAAAGCATATGCAGTGTACCTGTGTCTTCATCCGGATCATTACAGAGATTTCGATCACCCGTATCTATTCGACGAGTACAGCTACATACGTAATACAAGGGCAGACGAGAAGTGGTTCCTCCATAATAACTCTGTTCGTTTCAAGACGCAACCTTGGGGCGTCTTCGATACTGCGCCATTGCGCTTGGGTGTATCCAAGATCAATACTCATCTCTGTCCGCATCTACGATGCTCTGATAAAGCCTTCTTCGACCTCATGTTTGCGCCGATACGACGCAGTATCTGGGCCTGGCCGTATTTAGATACCTGGTCGATATTCTGGTGCCCGCATAAGAACTGCTATACTCGATTCTTCTTCATGCATTTGGATCATCCACAACCTTCGCTGCAAGTGCAACTAGCATTAGGGAACGTTCTGGACCCAACGGCACAGGAATGGTTGAGCCATGTGCAAGACAAGACGTATTAGTATAGAGTATTCATGGTTCTCCTACAGAGGAAAGAGAACCATTCGCTTGTTGGTTTAGTTGCTTAAAAGGATATGGGACCTCTGTCGAACGAGCTCCTTCCTTCTGGAAGAGTTAGACCCGAGTTGAAATTACAGCAATTTTCATAGTTCTTGCTGAACCAAATAATATTTTCATCATGCGCTCTGAACGAAGAAAGTGACTTGCTCCCTCCAAAATGTCCGGGTAACTGCATTGTCGTAAAGAGGGAGAGCAACTAAAACAGCAAAACAGAAGAACAGCCTGCAACCCCTAACATCTACATAATTTACTCACTTGTCACGTCTTCGTCTTACTCTCATTCATCTCTTGACGTTCAACCATCACTACCATTTCAGCAGCAGCAACATCAGCAGCAATAGCACCACCACCATGTCTTGCCCCCTCGCTGGTGCATATATTGGCAACTTCGCTGCTTGTCTTACGCTGATTACGGCCTTCTATACCGCTTTTGTTCTTAACAAAGCAGAACCCGGTGTTTGTCGTACCGCAGTATGCTGTCATCACTGGACTTTCTGCTAATCGTGAATTCCTAGCTGCCAATTCCGAAGGGAGAAACGGGCAACCCGGGGCCGCAAGGCATCCCCGGTGACCGTGGCCCACAAGGCGATCGTGGAGATCGTGGAGATCGTGGAGACCAAGGGGGGGTCGTCGTGGCCCACCAGGAATATGCCACTGCCGTTGCTGCTGCCGCCGCGCAGCCGCCTCCACCTCCGCCTCTGCCTCTGTCTGTGCCTGTGCCTGTGCCTCTCCCTCCGCCTCTCCCTCCGCGTCCAAACCCCTGCCCGGCTATATGGCGGCCACGATGTCCTCCAAAGCCCGCACTCGAAAATAGCGGACCGAAGCCGTGGAGGCCGGGAAGGCAAAAGAGGCCGCCCAGGTCTTGCTGGACAACGGGACAGTCGTGGCCCACCAGGAATATGCCACTGCCGTTACGGCCTTATACGCCGCCTCCTAGCTCCCCGGCACGATGGATTTCCATTATTTCTTCGACAACTTCGCAGCATGTCAATCGGGAAATCTCACAAGAGCCGGTCGTGCGCCAGCGTTGCGCCGACTGGAAGAATGGCCCAAGCAAGTGCAAGCGCGAAAAATCAACAAGGCTCCGCAACCACCTCGACATCAGCACATCACCCCGGGGACTGTACATGGTGTCGAAAGCGCGTATTCACATTTGTTGGTCACCTTTACCTAAATGGTGGCCGTCTAAAAGGGTGTTGAAGATGTCTGACAGTGGGCTTCTTTCCGAGGAGAGCTTCGCATGGTGCGTTGAGAAGAGCGGGTTGAGGAGGAATGTTTTCCAGAGCTATGGTGACGGCGAGATCACAGTATCGATTTAGCGTATCTGGGATATCGAGGGCTGCAGTATGCATGCAGTCATCACTTCAAAATGAATTTCTTGAAAACTAGTAAATTGGTCATTGGAGTAACTAGTGCAAATGCGTTGCTCTTCATGTTGATCATATATTGATATCTACGATTCGCCATAAACGCCGCGCTACGTGGATCAAGAGGGCACTGGAAAGTGGCCAGCAAAGAGCGCTAAATGTCTTCACCACAGATCAAGTAAATATTTCATTGAAACCGGCCGTCCCAGCTGTTCCCCGCCTCCGCATTATCTGGTGCCTGCTGACTGGGGATCCCGGGGCCAAAAACCATGGCCTGTCTGACCCGGCCTTCAGTCGGTTGTGGCATCTCAGGGAGAGGCTGTGGGCTCGGTGTTGTCCAGTCCGAGGTCTGGTGGCCTTGCGACGACGGGGCGTACGGACTCGGATTGTATGGACTCGTCGAAAATGGACTGGACTGGGGAGGATATCCTGTTGGCGGGGTGGTAGGACCATGGTGCTGGAATATTTGCTGCGCAGGCGAAGTCGAGGGTTGCGACATCCAATACGGTTGCTGCAGACCGAGATTCACGGCGGGCGGCGACTGCGCCGGCGATGTGGATGCGCGGTGCTGTAATTGGGAGAGAAGCGTACTCGATTCGCGCTGGAAGCGGTCGCGCCAATGTGTGAAGCCGAAGCGAAGGCCAAAATTCGAGAGGATTGTCGTGAAATCGTTGATCGCATCAATCGCTGCATTGGTGGGATCCTTTGGTACCATATGGCCGTCAGGAATGGTCGGTGGAGGGAAGGGAGGTGGTGCGGCCTGAACGGGTGGCGCTAGAGGATCGTCAGACGCGGGCGCGGCGGTAGATGCGGGCGGCGTTGGGGGGTTTGGATCAAGGATGACGTCCATGTTTCGCGATAAGACATCAACGAATTGCCGGCCGGTCATATATGATCGCATGGCATCGTAGAAGGTGACTGGCGGTTTCGTAGTATTGGAAGGTTTCGAAAGGAGAGCGAGAAGATTGGTGGCGTAGGCAATGCAATGCTGGAAGATGAGCCGCTGCGCGTACTCTTGAATATGGGGTATCCGGGGGCTGGGCGATAGAATGTACACATAACTGTAGAGAAGCTCGAGCTCGAAGAAGGTTTTCGTAGCTGGCAATGTGCTACCAGGCATGTCGTTGAACCACTGTGACATTCGGGCGTATGCGTCCCATATGTATGGGTATGGATCTTGCCACGAGTCGCGACCTGATTGGAACAGGTCCATGTACCATTCCGACTGTATCTCTCGAATCTTGAATAGGTCAAGGGCTGTGTCGAAAGACTGAAGAAAGACTTGCGATTGAGGAGATGAATGCTTTGGTGAAGTGGCAGTAGTATGGAAGGGAAACGCGACGTGTGCGGACTCGTCAGAGAATGAGAAGGCTCTGGTCTGTACGAGCGCCGTGGATCTGATGACCGTTAGCTTGAATTGTGAATGTTGAAAGGCCACCCTACCTGTCGAGCGCATAGACACACCAATACACCCTCCTACGCAATTCTAACTTGCTTCTTGCAACCGGTGTGCTACGCGAAGGGTCCTGATGGATGCCGAGATCGACCATTGCCCTCGATGCAGCCCCTATCAACGTCCAACTATCGAAGTGGTGAGGGTCAAGCATGGCATATTCCGTGAGTAGGATCAGCGCTTGGATGCTGCTGATAAATCCTGGATGTAGGACATCTTCGGCATGTACAAGAGCAGCATTGACATGTCCTACCGCGTCGGAGTACAAAGTGTCACCTCTTTGGTCCGATTGAGATAGAGAGGCGATAGCGAGAATCATTCGTACGTTCCAGTGGTCGAAGGAGGTAGCTATGTTGTCAAGATGGTATACCGCATCGACCGAGGCCCATAGGGAGGCTTCATCGAAGACGGGGAGGAGTGTGAATATGTTGTTGAGGTAATGTTGGATGAGTGGGGTCGCCGCGTATCGCGGAGGAAGAGTTTTGGAGACATCTGGTAAAGACTCTTTGGAGCTAGCCGACAGTATCAAACGGGCATATGACATGGCCGAGGTGAAGCCATAGAAGTCTCGAGCGGTGGCGTTGACGGCCCTGGGAATGTATTAGCCTTGGTGTCACTGAGCAACGAGGGAGTACATGTGCACCTACAGTAGACCAAAGTCTGAGACGAGTTCATCAATGTCACTCGCCTCTTTCCTTCTAGCGGCACGCTTGCTGATGTTCTTCGGGGGTTTGAGAGTATCTACAGAGGTACGGCGGGGTGTTGCAGTGTCGGCATCCTGCATGAGCGTGGAAGACGACTTTCTCCTTGCCCTCGCTTCAGCGATCTTTTTCTCGAGCTTCTCGACACGAGACTCGAGGGTGGCGACATAGCTCCTCTCCTTGCCACGGGCGAACTGATCGTTCGTGCTCGAGCATTCGGATGCTCGATTTGATTTCTCGCAGGCGGTACAAGCGGGCAGTTTCCCGTCACATTTGACCTTTGCGGCACGGCATCGTGAGCAGGCAGCAACAGGCCTGCTCACTCGCAAGAGGGGGGTTTCGAGGACCATTAGGTCGTTGCCAACCAAGGCAGATGGGATTTCGACCTTCAACATAACAGTTAATGTTAGCAGGAGAAAGTGATGATCATGTGATGATCCGAATTAGGAAGTGGGTTCAATATGGGACACTAGATGAACGTTGGTCGACCCGGGGCTAGGGGAGACGGTTATGATGGTGGTAGGACTAGGACGAACAAAGGAATCATGACAAGGCAGGACAAAGCAAATCAAAGGAAGGATAGGATATGATGATAGGATAGGGAAGGGGAAACGGGAGAGCCGAGGCGATAAAAGAAGAATGACGGGGGGTTTAGTGGGTAGGGAGCAACCGTAGGAGGCTGAAGATGAATATCTGGGGGGAACAGGAGGGGTAGTAGGTACTAGGCAGTCAGGTAATAAGGGTAACTTGGGTAGTAGTTGGGTAGGCAGGTAGTCAGGTAGTAGCCAGGGGGCCATGGTTTGAGGATGTTTCAGCTGAGGCGTGGACCTCGTACCCGTCTTCCTATCCATATTGGGGTTGGGTAGAGGTGTAAAACAAGAAGGGGAAGAGAAAATTCTGGGGGACTGTACTCCACACTCACCGGAGTTGATAGGTACCTAATCAATATTGAGAAGGCAACTGGTGATGATGATGACGATGTTGATTGAAGCTGATAAATGCGGTGTAAGGGGAGAGGAGGGGAAGAGTGGCTGTGTGCTTGCAGAAGGGTGTCGGAGGCGTTAGATGCAACGGGGAAGGAGTCGGATCAGCCGCGAAGGTGTAGCTGATGATGATGACGGCGGCGATGATGGATACGATGCAGTAGTGGAGTAGTAGTGGATGGTGGTTTGTGGTGATTGTGGTTGTGGTTGTGTCAATGAGGCGTGAATAGTAGACTGTAGTCGAGTCGCGCAGGGATTTGTTAGGAGAGCCCTTCTGATTGGTTGTATCGGCGCGGGTGGATGTGGGTGTTGGCGGAAGGTACGAGTACAAGTACAAAGGCCGTTATGATCAAACGTGCGGTAGAAGATGTACTCGTAGGTACCTAGGTACCTAGGCACGTACAGTATCAGAATGACAGTACCAACCTACGGACTACGGATTTAGTTTTAAATGTCCGGAGCATTATGGGAAGATCGAAAGTGACAGAGTAAAGTAGTACTAATGCGGAAGTCAGTCAGAGAACCAGTCAACCAAATATTATTATTAGGGTTAGTTATATATGAATCAGAAGGTTAATCGACTGGGTTATGGGTACTTGGAAGGGTAGGCATAGAACCTACACACGCCTATGGTGATCGTACGTCTGGAATGAAAACGAGACAGTGTGGTAGATAGATCATAGCCAAGAGTTCCTCGTAGTATTATGATGATGATGATGTTACTCGTACGGCGTGCTGGCAAGTGACAGATGTTTGGCAGCCGGTACTACTGAGGGAACTACCGACAGATACGACACGGAGGTGGAAGCGGAAGGGAAATGGAGGGGCAACTTGATGGTAGGGGGGGTGAGGGTAAGGAAGGACGGATGGGGAAACAAACCCCGCTCTCTCGGCACACATACAATACCTAGGTAATTACTCGCAGTATCACTCGAAATAGTGCAACGGAATTTCGTGATTTCTACTCCGTATACAGCATGAATATAACTACCTGGTAGTTATACTCATATAACAGAAGGGAAGAGAGGGACAAATGGGGAAGGAAGAGGAATCACTCGAGACGAGACAAGACGAGACGAAGAGACAAGAAAACGATGGGAAGTGATGTGATTGGTCCAGTGTCTGCCCTGATTCTGTCAATCTGGTTGGCTGTTGGATTGATTGATCGGTCAGTTGATTGGTCGATCATATTTGGGCTTGGCTTGGCTGGACTGGATGGCTGGCTGGACCGTTTCTCCTTCTTTTGGCTGTTTCTGTTTGTTCGGAACTTCGAAGTACCTAATGTATCTTCAATTATTAATAGCAATGATGATGATGATGATACTGTATCTGCTATAATAATGTATTATTCATGGACGACGATCGACTCAGTCCGACATCAGCAGGGGAAGAGGCATGACGGACACGGACTTGGGACTGGACTTGGACTTCCACTCGTAATACACATTAGTCCGTGGTGGATGATGATGATGCCAGCCATGATTCCTCGGAACCAAACCATAACCACCATCACAATCACAATCACAAAGAATGTCATTGTCTACCAAGCCATGTACGACCTGATGTCTATCAACTTGTCTATGCCTAGCTGCTAACCAGGTACCTAAGATAATTACTGTAGTAGTCTGGATGTCGCCATGCATGTACCAAACCATCATCCTTACCTGACTAGGTACCTAGTACACCCGTACGAGTAGTGGAAAGAGGAAATCAATGATTATCCCACGTCAACGGTGTCCAGGACGGAAGCAAAAAGGATGATCTGCCTGTCAGACTCGGTTCCCCATTCTCATTGGAGGATCAACGGAAATCAATTTTATAGACCTCATCGCTAGTATTATTATGCCTTGAACAGTGTACGAAGTACCTGGACATTTATTAGGTATCCGTAGATGCGCTGGTACTTTGGAGTCTGTTCTCTGTACTCTGTACTTAGCTTTGCCCCCTTTCTCCCCCACAATCTAATTGGGAATGCGAGTATCAGCTACATACGTATACTTGTTTGTGTATGCCTCATTTTGTTCACCAACTCGTGAACCGTACCTACCTTTCTGGGTAATCAGTTAGTTCTATGAGGGCAAGTACGGAGTAATGTAATACCAGAACTACCCTCCCTATTTACTACATCTGCAGATACCAGCATCTCCTCTTCCTCCTCTTCCTCTCCTTCTCTCTCCCGCTCTTCGCGCTTCTTCTTCTTCTTCTTCTTCCTCCTCTTTGTTCTCACATGTGAATATCTTTCCGCCCACCCTCAAACTCATCGTATCACCACCAAACCCACGCCTATGCCCATGCTTACGCCAACATCCACGCCCAATTCCAAGCCTAAACCCAAACCTATCCAGGTACGCGCGACCACGAACCACTACTACCACAATTACTCTCGGTACACCGTTCATCTCCTCGTATTCTATCCGCTTCTGTCCCTTCATTCCCTTTCTCTTCCCACGATATCCTTCCTCTGTGATTTGTGAGCCATAAAACACCCGACATCCACGTCCTTGGGTTTCTTGGTTATTCGTTACCTTCCCTCGTCGCTTGGCTGGGCCACCACGAAGCAAAGGAACCATCCCATTCTCTACTTCAGAGTCCAGACGCACAGTTTACCGTATCTTCGGAGTATCTGGATATCTACCCAGGGGTCATACCTACCTGCCAACGATACATCGCGCCATATTTCGATTTTCTCGGAGCCCACAACCAACTCATAAACTCACTGTCAACCACCTTCAACCAGTCCACCACCCGCGCCTCCGCCTCGACCGCCGCCGCCGCCGCCGCCGCCTCCTCCCGACGACACATTCTACGGTCTACAACGCCGCATCCCTCAACCACTCACTTCTCACCACAGTCATCCTCCTCCTCTTCCTCCTTGTCCTTGCCTCGTCGCACGTAGTCATCGCCTCACCCAATCCCCAGCTCTCCTGTACCCTGCGTCGATCGGGAACCGCCGCTTACCTCCCCGCCTGCCTGTCCGTCTGTCTGTCTTGTCCTCCATCTGTCTGCCTGCCGAGTCGTCTGCCTAACTACCTGACTGCGATCCGTGTGTGCGTGCGTATCTGTGTGTCTGTTTTGTGTCCGTGTGTTTGGGACCTGGGTGGAATGGACCTTCCTCCCGCTATACCTATTACCCGCCGACGCCGCCCCTCGTACCCTCAATCTCCCCGCTGCCGCCCTCTCCTCCGCCAACGTCAACGTGAACGCGATCGCCATAACACCCGCCTCGTCGCGGCGACAACATGGCCAACAAGCAGAATGGCAACATCTCCCAACCACAGGATGCACAGCAAAACTCCACAAATGCCTCCGAGGAGAGCTCCACACCGAATCGCATCGCACACACCCTAACCGCCTGCTGTCGGTGTCGCACGGTATGACCCGTTACTTGTTTTCCCTTCCTCTTCCCCCAGCAAGCCGCACATCTTCCACACTCATACTGACTCTCCTCCCAGCGTAAGACTCGATGCGATCCTGGCCTCCCCCGTTGCGGCCCCTGCGAACGAACAAATTCCCACTGCGAATACTACGATCCTACCAAAGGCGCAAAGATCCCCCGCAACTACGTCGTGCACCTTCAACACAAGGTCCGTGACCTCGAGAAGCAGCTGGCCGATCTCGAGAGAGACGACGTCGAACCCGATGCCGAGGATGTCATGCGCGGCGCCGCCGCCGTCAGGACCCAGGAGTCGGACGAATCCAAATACTTGGGTCCCTCGAGTGGTATAACAATAACGCGCCTGGTGATGCAGCTGGCGAAGCAGTTCACCGACTCCAAGAGCATATCCGAGATCGTACCCCACGCAAGGGCTCGGTCGATCAAGGCTACGTTCGACGAAGAAGACAAGAAACCCACGTCTAAAGTCTATCCGCTCATCAGCGACGTCGCCGCCGAGGAACTACCAAATCGCGATCTTGCCAATTTGCTAGTAGAGCTCTTTTACAGTAAAGGTGAGTTTCTCTCCATGTGGATTGCAATCAAACAATCCCACTCAACTGACCTCTGCATTCCAGTGCACCCAATGTATCCCATGTTTCACGAACCCACCTTCACGCAGGACGTCGAGGACGTTTACAATGGCTCGACGGATCCCTACCAGAACTTCTGCCTCCGCATGGTCATTGCCATCAGCCTTCAAAAGATGGACACACAGTACGCTGGTCTTGCAGACAGCTACTATCTCGCCGCCTTGAAATTCTTCGCCGCCGCTATCAAGCCCATGAATCTAAAGACCCTACAATGTTTTGCCCTAATCGCGGGATACTCCCTACTCACGCCGACCAGAACCGCGGTCTACTACATCATAGGCCTCGGTATCCGACTCTGCCAGGTTCTAGGTCTGCATGAGGAGAAGACCATTACCAGGGGCCCCGGAGGAAGGCCCGCCGATCATCTCGAGGTAGATATGCGCCGGCGGCTGTTCTGGTGCTTGTTAACCATGGATTACGGACTTGCCCACAGCCTCGGTAGACCGGCGCACTTTGCGACCCGGCAGGAGCACATCGACGTCAACTTTTGTGAACTCGTCGACGACGCATACATCACCAAGGAGGGAACCCAGCCTGCTCCGCATAACTCGCTGAAGAAATGGATAGCGATTCACTTCTTCAAGATGCGAATGCTCCAGCTGGAGATTCGCAGGAAACTATACCAAAGGAAACGCCCCAATCCCAAAGATGACCAGGACCCCTGGTTCGCCGAAATGCTAGGCAAGATGGTCGCGTGGCGCGATACGAGCCCAGAGATGGACGGAGGCTCTGGGTTGAACAAGGTCTGGTAAGTACTAGATTGAAACCAACTATACAGTTGATTATATCGCTCGGTTGTTTACGTTATGTGCAGGTTTATCGGAAGATACAACACGATGGTGGTCTTTCTGTTCCGGCCCTCGCCACAAGTTCCACGACCATCCGTTCACGCAGCGCAGCAATGCTACGATGCATGCGAGTACAACATCTACATGACCCGGAAACAGATCGAGACAAAGAGTGTCGACATGACATGGATCTTCACACAAGCCATCTTCATGGCCATCAACACTCTTCTATGGACACTGTCCTATTCTGAAGTTCGTCGTGCACACAGCCGAGAAGATGTGGAGCAGCATCTACGAGTTGCCCTTGAATCGATCGAACTTTCGTCTGAGCGATGGCCTGGGGTAGCATCGGCGCTAGAGCTCTACAAGAATCTTATTGCAGCATGTATGAAGATCTACGACAAGGATGGCGACATTCCCATTGCGGCAGCTTCCCCGTCCGACAGCGCCTCTGTGGTATCCAACAGCATCGTAGACGGCGTCAACAGATCTCGTACGACCAGTCCAGCCAGCGTATCCACGGCCTCAATCAACACACCCTCAGAGCCGCCGTTTGGCTATATACCTAACAACAACCAGCCACTTTTTGGCTTGGCTACGACGCAAGCCCCACCCATCAACCAAATGCCATCCGTGCAACCATCCCCTCAGCAATACGCCCCTCAGCAATATGTAGATCTCAGCCCAAAGAGCACCAACATCGAACCAAACATACCATCTTTCAACTTCACCCCAACGAACCAATTCACGCCTCTACCTACTACTTTCGCAGAGCTTACCCAGTGGACACCCAGTTTCGCCTACCCACAGCAGGAATCATATGCCATGGCACCTCCCATGGGCCAACCCATGTCTTCGCCGGTTTATAACGAGAGCTATGCCGCCAACCAGGGCTATCCGATGACCGACTACTTGTATCCGCAATGGAGTCAAGAGAGCAGGGGCATGGGTTTGAACCAAGAGCAACAGATGGAGTTGATGCAATCATTCGAGGCAAATGAGACTGGCAAGATCGAGGCCATGATCCAACAAAGCAATCAGATATTCAGACCGCATATAAGAACGCATTAGCAAGAGATGTAAATTTGGTACATACAGAGAGTTGGCACGTCGGGCCGGCCGCCTGCTAGTTTTTTATGTCTAAAACAGTGCCTTCGCGAGGTTTGTCGCGAGCAGTTAAGATTGTTTACTGGCTACAGTACACTCTTTAACTGGCACTTTAGGTATAAAACATACTATCAGGTGGCCAGCCCGACGTGCTGGAAAGGGAACCCAAACACGTGGTCCACACCACGGCGAAGGCCCTACGGCCACGCATACACTTACACGTACACTTACGATTTGCTTCACATCTACACGACCGAGATGTATTGCCGTTGTTCATCTCACATACTTACATTCGCAGTGCACGTTGCCCATATCGCTGCTTGGTTATTCCTTCACAGGCCGTGTATTTGTACTTTTGCCCGACATTCGGATTCTACGGGAACATATTCATAACGGGGGGTTTTAAAGGAGTTGTTGCCACATTTTGCAGCGACGGTGCTTTTGGTGTTGGCAGGCATTTGGCTAATTAAAAGGGTTGTGTCCGCTGCTCTCGAGATATCCAAACGGTTGATCGTTAAGAGGAATGAGATTATGAAGGAACGTTTCCATGCATGTCTACGGTGTTGATGGGCCCAACCTTCAAAGGTTTTGGAAGACCCTTTTTCAGTGAACGTATATACGATTTTGTAGTCTAGTTCATCGGGTCTGGAACCTGGATGACCCTCGAGGGAGGGACGAAACCGAGTATCGAATTCGAAATTTGGCAAATAACTCTACCATCGTTCAAGGTCCTTTCTGTATGATGCCATCACCGAAGTTTACACCTGACTACATCGATTGCGTTCATAGGAGACATGATACCCGCGGCATCCAACATTTGCACATCATCTAAAGCAATTCGATGACTATGAACAATACAGTTCATACGAATAACACATCTCATTCATCCTCTAAACATCCAGTGTCAGCCGAACATTTTTCGTTTGACCATCCATCCAATCAACCACACTTTTCCCACCTTCACCTTTTCCATTCTCACTTGACGCGTTAGAAGACGCGCTGGACGGTCAATCAACATCAACAACAACACCGCCGCGGCGCGACATAAACAACAATCACTTGTTGCCTGACCTTCAATCATACAAGCGGTGTCTCTCACTTCTCTCCCCAGCAACCCGCTCCAGGCACACCCGCCTTTCAGTTCGCTTGCATAGTTAGACTGGGTACATAAACCCACATACTGACCTTTTCGGTCACCTCAATCAACTTGCACTGTTCTGTCAGTACAACAACCTGCAGACACCTTCTTCAACTACACCAGCCGACAGACAAATCTTCGTCAAAGGTAAGAAGACAGAAGTCAGTTCGCGTCTCCGCCGTTCACTGCCATCTCCCACGCTTCAAACCTGCCATCCTTCATCCCCATACACATCCCCTTCAAGTATAACCTTTAGGCATTCCATCTGTCCAGCGTTCCTACACAACGCCAGACACGATGGCGAAGTCCAAAGCTGGGCCATCCACGGCCAAACCCAACAAGCGCGACCCTGCATCGCCACCACCGCGCACCCGCGAGGCCTCCGTTTCGAGCAGCGGCTCCAGCACCATTACCTGCAACTCTGGAGACCATGTGAACGATGCCGACGACATGCCCGGTGAATCCCCGGCCGTCAACGTCGAGGACGACACCCACGCTGAACCGTCGGCCGTCACAGTCGACGACGATCCCCAGACGCCGACTCCGGCTGCGGCTGCGGCTACTATGACGCTTCGCAGGTCAACCAGGGTGCCCGTGACACCGGCTAAGAACGGAATCGAGAGCGGTGCATACAAGGTTGATGAGAAAAGGAAGAAGGCGCTCACGCCTGGGGTCCTGGCCGCTCTTGCTAAGGCGAGGGCGGTTTTGAAGGAGAAGCAGGAGGTATGGTGATTCCCTTTTCTTTCTTTTTCTGCCCCTTCCTTCTTTCCCCTTTCATTTTTTTTGTTTTGTGTTGGGGTTCATGGGCTTGAAGTGATCAGTGAGATTACTTCGCTCCGTGCTCAGTGAGGGACGTTATGGTATTGGTATTAGTATTGGTATCGGTATCAGTATCGGTATTGGTGTTGTTGAATGGATTGATCCTAACATTCCTAACCTCCATAGGCCAGACGCAAGTCTTTGATCGAGAGACTTCCGAATCGACGGCAATTAATGGTGAAGCTCAACGTAAGACCCGAAGCGCTCCGGAACTTCGAGTCGAATGGTACTGCAACACCACGCACCGGCGAGGCATCTAACGGCTCAGGTTCCAACTCTGCTGTCGCTGTTCAAGATAGTCCATCACCTGCCATCAAAGAGGAAACGCGCACCAAGCGTGAGCAAGACGTCGATGATAACCAAGAAGTGCCGGAAGACGACGATGTCGGATCAAACAGTGCTGTAACAGGTGGCACCCACGAGACATCCAACGGTGGGGGATTAAGCTCCGCCGTCTTCATCGTCAACAGGGCCCTTCCTCGCATCAAGCGTGAACTGGGCCCGCTGGAATCGAACATCGTAGCGAACGCCGCAAGCCGCTATCTACGCTCCCGCCGCAATCATGATGCCGAACCGGACGATGCGTCTATAGAACGCCGCCTCAGGTCCGCTGCGCGCCGTGCAAGGCGGTACAGGCGCAATACTGAGCAGCAATACGCCCTTAGGAACAGGACTCGCCCCACGCCCATCCGTGACCTACTCACGTCTGAGAGCGGCGACTATGATCCGGACGATATGATGGAACATGCTCGTATGCTGCACGACCAAGGCCGCCTCAGAGGATCTGACACGCTACGCGAAATCCGCAGGGCCATTTATGGGCCATCCGCGGAGGAGCTGTCGGCGTACGACTTTGGCGACGATGACTCCAGTGTGCGTGACGAGCTTGACGAAGGAACTGAACTGAACGACGGAGACCTCAGGGGCGATGAGGGGTCCAATGAGCTGAGGTCGCCTTCCTACGAACCATCACCCGGTCCGCAGGTTGTTATATTCCCCGCAGTCCCGCATTTCACGTCCCTCAAATATGCCGGCCACTTCCTCACCGGCGCCCTACTCGCAATAGAAGATGTAATTGCCTCGCAAGATGCGGACCCAGCCCGCACGCTCCCTAACGTCGTCGCTGGCGTCAATGCAGAGCAGCCTGTGCTTGGGAACGGGACAGAGTATCACGCCAAGATGGTATGGGGCGGCCAATGGGTGTTCGACGCCCTGGTCCACTCGCACGGGTTGGAGCCGGAGTTTTCTACGGCGTTGCTATGCGAGATGCTCGAGGAGTATGTGAGCGATGCGATGGACTGGTTGAGTGACCCTGAGGAGAGGCGCAGTGCTCTTGAGCGAGTGTAGAGACTGTATGTGAGAACCGAACAAGAAACACTTCCATGAGTGAGAACAAAAGAATCCTGAAACACAATCTTCGTTTTGGATTTTTACATGTTTTCATCGTCATCTGCGGTGGAAGCTGTATCTTGTCGGACAGTCATATCGATGTACGACGTACGATGTCAAGACGATGTTTAACGGATCGAACAAACGACTGGATAGACTATTGGGAACCCAAAAATCGAGGGGCTTAATTACATTGGGGGAACAACGTTCTATCGTTGTTCGAGTCTCTGATTAGATGTAAGATGTCATATCCAACATTGGGAATTTTGGTTTCCAGGAAGAGAGGTGGGAAATAACTCCATCAGTAAAGGGGTTCACATTCAGTGTACAACACATAACAATAACAACTCCATTCAAGAATCAAATCAAATAATAATTTCAAATATGCGGTCGGTTTGGCGTTGACTATAGTATCGTAGATTTTTTCTACTTGGCCGCGAAAGTAGTAGGCAACATCCCACTAATGTTTGTTTTCACTAGAGGGCAACATGTAAACATCGCCTACTTCACTGACCAGGAACACCTTCCACACAGCGTATTTTTACAATCTGCTCGATGTGTTTGCACAATGCTTTACCGAAATATTACAGAGGATGCAATTACATTTGTTCAAATTTCTATAGAGGTAGAATGGGTATGTGAATTCAGGAGACCGAAAACGGTCTACTATCCATAACGTATACCTTGACAATGATCAAAGAAACAAAGTCGGATCAATTACAAAGTAGGACACAATGATTTCCTAGACTATATTGTACCGTCCCTCATTGCCTATTTGCACATTATGGAATGCTTCTGCATGAACAACAATCACTAGCAGAGGATGAAGTATACACACATCGACCAACGCGTTCTTAGTCCCAGCAATTTGAAAGAGAAAACCCAAGTGAAGTGAGTTTCTGCCTGCATCCATGACGTACCTGTCCTCCTGATCGATCACTTGGGATGTCATCCGGTGACTGTCGCCGCTGCAATCGACCACTAGCTCACCTTCACCTGCCCTCGTCGCAGCGTATTTAAGTACCCGCCCGCCCACAAATTTTTCACTCACGCTCTTCCACTCCTCCACACCAAAAACATCCCTCCCTTTACCAACCACTCTCTCTTTTGTTTTCCATCGTTACTACACATAACGGTGTTACGATCCATAGCCAATATGGCTTATCATAATCGTTTCTCATTGCTCGTCGACACTGACGATGTCGGGGAGTCGTCAAACTCCAACGTTCAACCTGCCAGCTCCTCGGCTGGCAACCAACTCGGCCACTGCTCCTCAGAGCAGCAAAGCCATCAGCAGAGGCAGCAACTGCCTCAGGTCCTGGCATATGGTTCAGATGAGCGTAAGAACACGATCCCCTCCTCCCCCTCCCCCCATCTGCCAAACCCCAATGCCCACCCTCCCAACGTCCCCACTCCTAACATTCCTTCTGCCTATCACCCCCATCCTGGTGCCTCCCATCCTGGTGCCTCCCATCCTGGTGCCTCCCATCCTGGTGCCTCTCATCCTGGTGCCTCCCGTCCCAGCGGCACCTATTTTTTCTGTGGCGTATGCCGCATCCACTTCAGAACGAGGGAAGGTCTCCTGTCACACATGAAGGGGAATAAGGGGCTGCACCGCCATTTTTGCAACCTCTGCTCGCGTGTGTTCGGGGAACGGGCCCTTCTCCAAAGCCACGTCAAGTCCACTCCGAACCATCAGGCGCACTGTAACATCTGTCTTTCTGCCTTCAAGGACAACCACGCTCTCAAATGTCATTTTGAGTGCCAGGCCAAAAAGATGCAAGACCATAGCTGGATTTGCTATCAGTGCCTCATGGGGTTCGAGGACGAGCCGCGCCTCCAAAGGCACCTGGAGTACGGCACCGCGCACGTCTGGTGCAGGACGTGCGAGGTAAGGTTCCCGAGCCAGCGAGAGCGCGACGAGCATTGGAAGGACCCGGCGACACCCCACCGTCACTGCCTGCAGCTTGGTTGCGATTTTGACGCGCCCAACGAGATCGAGCTGGAGGCCCATTTGGATGAGGTCCATTTCCGGTGTCGAGGATGCAAGCTGGTCGTCGACTCCAACTCCAAGCGTAGCCAGCACGAGCAGTTATGTCCGACCCTCAAGGGTTTGCGTTGCCCGGTCTGCCTTGCGGTGTTCGGCACTGCAGAAGAGGTGGAAACACATCAAAGGGCTCAAGGCTGCAGCCCGCCCGATGCAAAGGGTTCTGCCTCCAAAGCGATCAAGAGGACACCAGCGTTTCCTTCAGACGCTTCAGATGTTGGCAGTGACTTCGGAAACCCTCCAGGTAAAACTGGAGGTACAACACTCTACTACCAGAGCCAGCGTGTCGTGACGTCCGAGAGGTCTCTTCCGGGCACCGCAGCCATGAAGATGCCTGAGCCTGTCCCGGGTCTTTCGTACACCAGGACAGTCCCCCGAAACTCCCAACCGCTCATCGACATGCACCCAGCGCCGAAGAACGTCTTGTCCATCCGCGACGTCAAACGAATCCGGGACAGGGTCGCAAGTACCGACGAAGTCAAGGCCGCCCAAAGGCAGCAAATCATCTCCCCCCAGCAGCAACCTCTGCCCCCACCGCCCCCGATCCCGTACGCATCCAAACCATCCTTCGCCCCGAAAACCTCCATCTACACCATCCACCACCCCAAGACCGAGGAGCAGGGCGTTCAAAGTGGCCACCACGACCCCCTCCCTTCCCCCACATCGCCCACCGAGCAGCCCAACGAGTGCCCCCTCTGCCACGCCACGCACGCAACCGCCACGCAGCTGATCCAGCACCTCGAGATCCCTTGCTGCGAGCTCCTCCTCTCCGGGCCGAGCCTAAACATCCTGCTCGCGGCGCTCGGCGGTTGGTTCCACGCGACGACGTTCATGGACGCCCGTACGCACGCGCAACTCCGCAGCCAGAGCATCGACGTCGAGACGCTTCTGTCAAGGGTCAGTGAGGGAATTGTAAAGCCATTCGTGTGCCGGGCTAATGGGTGTGGCAAGCAGTTTGCCGAGCTGAAGGGCCTAGTTTCGCATCTTGAGGAGGAGAGGTCGTGTGGGTGGGATGTTGAGAGGCTTCAGTTGGGCAAGCTCATGTGGGAGCTAGACACCGCGTACTTGAGGAGTTTGAACGAGAAGAAGATCGGTGAGACGGATGTCAAGGGGAAGGGCAAGGCGAGGGAGGATTCTCCGTTGATCTTCTTGGACTAGGGTTCTTCGTGAGGGTGTGGATATGTCGATACCTTTTGACATGGCACCGACGCTACCTAATCCCTTTCTCTCAGCGGGTGTGTAACGATAAGTCAGGACGAGAATGAAAAGAGAAGAGAAGTACGATGAGACGGCCCTGGCATTAGAGGAGACATGCCCAGATTTTTCGTACCTGTACACTAGCAATTCAATTCCCAATTAAGATCAATGCAACAGAGATAACCTGAGATCCTTCGTTCGCTTTGCAACCTTCGTGACTGTAAATAATTGATCGATCTGACTTCCAACGTACAACATGTGGTGAGGTTGCTCGGGAGAGAGAAGGAAAAGTCATGGCATTTCATGCAGGATGCCTCTTTAGCCGGATAGTATCACACACAATTGGTGGGAACGCCCGACAAAGAAAGGTCAATGTTTGTTAATGGAAACTTTCTCTCTTACTATATTGTCATCTTACCTTCTTGGTGTCTTTGTTTTCTCAGAGCGGTAAGGTGTTTGATTGAGCCTTTGTCTATCCGTTTGCTTGTTTCCTGCGTGACAACATGCGACATACGACATACGACACTATCACAAAGCGGGCCTGTAAGCAGAAGAACACGGAGCCATCAACATTACTCACACAACTGACTCTTTTCAATGTAACGAATATTCGCGGTTGCGACTGAAGTGTGTGATTTGTTGAACTTTTTATTTCATCTTCCATCCCCTCCGTTCAAGAAAAAAGGTATGGATATCCCGCGTACTACAACTACATAGATCTCTTCCCTATTTTAAAATTTGATATCAATCATCTCGTCATCTCATCGTCACGTACAAATACTCGTAGAATCGAAAAAGAAGTATACAAAAAAGCAAAAACGAGCTCACGCTCACGCTCACGCTCACGCTCGTCTAGACCGACACCCTTTGGGTGTTTCCGCAGGGCGCGGCGTGGTTGTGCGAGGAGCCGTGGTCGAACCTGGCGAGGTAGCGGACGCTGTCGGCGCTCCTCTTCCTGAGGGTCGCGTTGGGCCTGGGGATGCCCTTGAAGTCGACAGCGTACTTGGCGACGCTGTTGGCGATGCTCTGGGTGTTGAGGAGGTAGGCGTCGTGCGCGAGGTTGTTGATGTCATCGCCCTTCTGGTGGTAGTTTGCGTCCAGGGCGACGCCGGCCTCGCCGCCGAAGAGCTGGGCTTCTTCCTCCGTCTTGAGCTCCTCGGCTCCGGTGAAGAGACCGCCGGAGGGGATGCCGTTCTCGAGGAAGGCGGCGTAGTCGGAGCGCATGGAGAAGAGGGAGGGGACGTGGGGGAGACCCTTGTTCTCGTAGAACTCCTCGAAGTCGCGCTCAATCGTCTCGGAACCAGCGGGACCGGAGAAGTTGAAGGCATTGCCATCTCCGTCGTAGATTCCAAGGACGTAGTTGGGAGATGCGATCATGTCGAAGTTGAGATAGGCGCGGATCTTGGAGACCTCAGCGGCGGAGCCGGAGATGGAGCCATTGAGGGTCTTGAGGTAGTGGAAAGAGCCCAACTTGCCGAATTCCTCTGCGGACCAGAAAGCGAAGCGGACGGCGTTCTTGACGTTGAACTTGGTGAGGGCCTTGGCGACAGCGAAGACACCAATGGTGCCAGAGCCGTCATCATTGATACCTGGTCCCTGGAAGACAGAGTCGGAGTGACCACCGAGGACGAGGACGTTGTTGTGGTCGCCTCCCTTCGTCTCGGCGATGACGTTGTAGGTAGTGCGGTTCTGCTCGATGGTGTCTACGCTGAGATCGACGAGGACCTCGCCGGCCTCGAGGGCAGCAATGAGAGCGTTTCCAGTCTCTTGCACGACACCCACGGTGGGAGCGTAGTTACCGACGGCGCCGAGGGTACCAGCCAGAGCACCGGGGATGTTGTTGTAGATGACCGCGCCGACAGCTCCAGCGGCCTTCGCGAGCGTAGCCTTTTGCGCTATTCACTTGTTAACAATGCAGCTACAGATATTCAATTTTGCAAGAACCTACCAAAAGGGCATTCGCCACGAGAGATGAGTGCGACCTTGTCCTTGACCTCGGCAGGGTAGTCCTCTGCCGTGCAACCGATGTTGGCGACCTTGACGAGCGGGGTCTGCTCGACGGAACCGGAAGGGCCATAGGTCATGTAGGCGGCGGCGTAGCTCTCGCCAGCGGCGGTGAAGCCGACGGTAGCGGCGGAGAAGAGCTCGACGAAAGGTTGCTTCTCGACGTTGTAGTACCCGGTCTTCTTCAACTCCTTGTACAACCAGTCAACGGTGGCATTGTGGCCTGCACCACCGAAGGCGCGGTTGCCGCCATTGGCATCGGCGAAGTCCTGCAGCTTCTGGGATCCAGCGAGGAGGTCATCGAGGTTGATGAGCTTCTGGAGGGCCTTGGAGGTGACGAGCTTCTTGCCGTGGCCAGTGTTGTACTGTCCGAGGGCGGGAGCGGAGAGCGCAGCCGCAGCGGCGAGGATGGAAGCGGTCTTCATGGTTTGACAGATCCGAGAGATGCAGGAGGAGAAACAAAGCAAGGGAAAGGGAAGAGGTTAAAGGAAGAGGAGGAGAGAGGAGAGAGATCGGTGAGGTGGAAAGCCAATTCCATGTCCTCGGGCGGGGAGGTTCATATATGATTTGGGATTATTGTGGCACTGCTCGAGCTCGTATCAATTGGAAGTCTGGGCTACTCGTATCTGTCACTGAACATTAGTTGCAAAGTAGAAGCACATCTCGTGCTCCCATATCGAAGCACATCATCATGTCATTTCCGACCGCCCGCTAACCCTGGTCAGGCAGCTGGTATCGACGAGCATCGCGCCTCGGTCAAGGGTTGAATGTAGGGACTGCCACCCGGGATGGAGCGACCACAAGCCTGGAGCCTGGCACGTTGGAGATGCACAAAAAATCGATGGGCGGCGAAAGATGGGCGGAATGGCAGAAGAAGTTGGGAAGATTGTCTAAAGATTGAAGGTGGAAGGTGGAAAGATGAGATGAAGCTGGGCACGCAGGGATTGGGTAGGGATGGACAGGGATTGAATGATTCTGATTGGTCGGGAGATGTCCTGCCAAGAGTGAAGGTCGCGGGGGAGGCAACTTGGCAGAGAAAGCCACAATCTATTCATCTCGAAACCCTACCTAGGTACATACGACTACCCCTACCTAGTGATGATAGGTATTCGTTCGAACGACTGAGCAATTAGTTCTTCATTTCCATAGATACCTACCCAATACGAAGCAGTCCGCCACCGCAAACTTACTTGGTTCCTTGTACCTCGGACATCAACTTATACCATCATCCACCGTCGCATAACATATACACATATATCTCTCCCACGCATGAACCACCAAGACTTCCACCACCGCAACTCGGTCTCCGCCGAAGGAGGAACTCTCTCTTCAAAACCACTTCTAATCTAGTCCATCTCACCTCTACAAACGCCTCTACCCTAATAGTTGGCACCTGCGCCATATATGCTCCACCCCAACCCCCGGGGATACCGTTCAGATCAGGATGGTGACAAGACAAACGTCTCCATTCCTCGGAGCGGAGCGAGCGAACGAACTTGGAGGAAGGTTTAAAGGGCATGCTTTAGCTCGCGCACGAATGCGCGATCGTCCGTCGCGTAGGCTGTAAGCTGGCGAGGGGACAGGCCGGCTTGCCGTCCGTGTAATAAGACGGCTGTATGTAGTCATGATACAAAAGAGTATGGTATTATTGTGAGGTGAGGTTCTCATCTGTTTAGGTAAATACGATAGGGCATTGAGCGCCGCCTCCGATGGCCGTTGGCTAGGCTCGATGAGGAAAGTCGTTATGGCTTCGCTAGCGGGTAGTGAAAGTCTAGGCGGGAGGATTGGTGGAGGTGAGGGACGTGCACGTGATAGCGGACTGGGCGTTGATCAATCGATAATTGAGATCTACCTCTTAGTCTTTCGTAGGATTGTGTGGGTTGTGTGCGGATTGTGGGTTGAATGGATTGGTGAGAATATGTGCATACTTGGTTTTCAAACCCCTGAATTACTCAATACTGTCAAACATCTATTGGTCCCTTCTGATCATTTTTTCATGTGTTTATACCCTTTGTTTTGAGATTAATAGAAGACAGAGAATGCGTCTCGTCCTTACTGCAAACCGGAGGAAAAGGTAATACTTTGCATTTGATATCTACTATATTATTCATGACCGCAGAGCAGGAGCAATGGCCCAACGGTTTCGCGAACATTTAACATTGGATTTAATTTGTATACACACTGTTTTCTTTTGTTACATTTCAACTTGATTTGGTCGGGATCATGGTATCAATAGAAGTAAAGACAAATTTACAAAAATAGGAAAATATATCTGTAGAGGCAAGTGTTGATTCATGAGCATCATCATCATAGCTCCGTAGTAGTGACAATTAATTCATAAGTTTCACCGAAAGTCTAGACTGATTGACAGCATTTTACTTTTAGAAAGTCATTTACGATTTCGTATATGCCATTACATGCAATCCCCACGGTCTGAATCCAACCCAATCTCATAGTCTACCATAAAGCTCAGCTCGCTCACAACTTATCAAACGCGGCCTTGGGCTTCAGAATAAACGCGCCCCTCTCCATCGTATTCACAAGAATATACCCACTCTCAAACAACGCATAGCTACTCCACGTGCCCACGAAATCGACAACCCCACCACCGGGCTGATTATCATCCTCGGGATAAACATCAAAGAACCCAATCTCCTTCACGCTGTTACCCGTCGGGTCCTCGGGGATCGACCGCACGTCGAGGACGCGGAACCCGGTGCCGTAGTTGGACTGGTACGCGAAGCCGTTGGCGACGTATTGGTTGTGGTCGATGCCGCGGGCGGCGGACTTGTAGAGCCCTGTCTGCTTCGGTGCCGTGAGATCCGAGATGTCCCAGATGTAGGTGATGGGGTTTCCTGGGATGCCGGGGCCGACTTTGTCGTACTCGTCGTATTCGTCGTCGAGGAGGAGGTAGTGTTGGTTGTTGACGTCGAGGAGGGAGCCTTGGTGCGTGTAGGCGGCGCCTTCGTAGGAGGTGATGGAGAGGATTTTGGGGGCTTTCTTGTCGGTCACGTCGTAGATGGTCAGCGTGTCTTCGTTGTAGCCGTAGCAGATTTCGCGGCCGTCGAAGCGGGAGTCCGGGCCCTTGTAGTTGACGCATTGGGCGTCGTGGACGTAGCCGTCGGCGGAGGCGCAGCCCGGGCTGGTCGGGTTGGCGACGTCGGAGATGTCGATGAAGATGATGCCGGATTTGCAGGAGTCGTTGCGGGGCTGCGCGCCGACAGAGTAGATGAAGTTGCCTTCGGGGTTGGTCACGACGTTGTGCGTGCGGCCGGTCGGGAGCTTGCCGTAGTAGCCAGCGAGGTCCTTCTGGTTGCTGAAGGTCACGGGTTTGGCGGGATCGATGTCCAAAAGCTTCTTCCAGTCGAAGATCTGGATGCCGTGGTTGACAGCCTCCGAGCCGATAATGACATAGTCGTTCTGGCCACGGATCTCTCGCCACTTGCTAGGGACGGAGTACTGTGGGAGCCTTCCGAGGTAGACGAGTTTGCCCTCCTTGGTGATCTCGGCGAAGGCAGTTCCATCTTGCTGGCCGATGGCGACGAACTCACGGCCATCCTTGGAGGTCCATCCCCAGGAGCCTGAACCGAATCCAAGACTGCTTCCTAGCGCTGAGTGTGGCAGGAAGTGGTAGAGATCGATCTGTGCAATTTTTAGCAACTATTCACATCATAGTATGGTGTAGCTTGTTTAGTCTTACGTTGCTGCATCGGAATGTATCTGTGGAGGTGACAGCAGTGCCATTGCTGCACGCGACAAAGTCTTCCACCTTTGCGTATTGCGAAGACTCGTACGCACCGGCAGCCTCATGCTTAGTCCATGACTCGTGCTTCAGAGCAATATTGTTCATCTAATGGTGTGGGAAACCCAACGGTCAGCAGTGCCAAGTGAGGGACGACGCAAGGGAGTAGCACACATACATGCTTAATACCGGAGTCATATAATTTTGCTGCCTTGACCTGGTCTTTGGCGACCTGCTTTGCAGTGGCCAAAGCGGCCAGGGAAAGCACTGCAGTCTGCACGTACATGATGGACAATGGCCTAGGAATGAGCGAGAGGCAAGGAATTCAAGGAGTGCAGACACTGAAGAGATCAGAGGACAACACTGGAGGCAGTACATTATATACTTAGCTACCCATCTCCACTCATCCACCCCAGCATGATGGGATGTATGACCTCGACAGGTTCCTGCCTGAGTGGGCGAAGCGATGCGTCCATCTCTAGGCTAAGTCGGCAGGTAGACAAGTGGTTACCAGCATCAACCAGCGATACCCACGTTGCCCCCGAGCGAACACAACATGTTGATTGGCATCCCGCAAGACATTGATTGAAGTCGTGATGGCGCAGTAGAGTGCGACATTGGCATGCATAAATTAAGACAAAGCTTGAACCGTGCGACCGACCAGGCAGACCAGGCAGACCAGACCAATCGCCCCGGATGAGGCAGGAGACACAATATAAAGATGCTTGGCTGACTGGATTCAAGCACGAATGGGCCACTTGCGGAGCGGCGCGAGGACCAAGTGCCGATGGACGCCTGGCGCTGGCACGCAGATCGCTCGGGCGATTAATCCTTCCAGCAATATTATTGTACAGCTCAGTAGTTCGGTTCGCTCCAGTTCAATGATGAGGATGCTGGTAGGATCGATATTGACGAATTGGTAAGGCGGGATTGCTTCCTTCATCCGTTGCTGAAACCGGGCTGAGCGCCACCGAGCTACATCTTGGCAGACGACAACTCCCCGCGAATAAGAGGCAGAGTCAGGGAATAACGAGCGAGAGAAACAACGGATTCAGATGGTCAAGCACGTGAGATGAGTTGAGGCTCCGGACGATGGGCCATTACGGAAGGTGGCGTCTTAGGTCCACCGATCCCAATATAAACTACCCCCCTCCGACAATATAACGCGGCCTTATCTCTCAATTCGCTGTACCTGTAAGAAACGTGAGTGGGCATGTTGAAATAGCGTCAGATAACGCAATGGCAGGGAGTCGATGGACAAAGAGTTCTCCGCAGTATTCTGTCATGAATTGAAATGGCGATGATGAGCAGTAAGCCGTGAGTCGAGAACGGGTCCGTTGCATTCCCGTTACTAGAGGGTGCAACCACGCAAGGGTTGGGATCCAGGAGCATGGGCAGATGCGGGATGCGGGATGCGGGATCGGTACGCAACGTCAATGGCTGTGTTTCGTTCCGTTCATGTCGCTCTCTTTAGGATCCAGCATCTCTTCTCTTGCGTATGGCAAATTGTCGTGTTGTGTACGTGTTGAGGAGGGGTCGTCGTCGGATGGACTTTGATCCGTTTGGCTCTCAGCATTGTAAACACGACTATGCCTACATTAGCAACGCAACGTTGTTGGTGAGACTGGGACTAGTTACCAACATGTTGGACATTAGTGCTCGGATTGGGAAATCGAAACATTGGTAGCCTAAGGAATGCTCCCAATTCATAAGAAAGATCCTATCCATGTACTCCGTAGATCCGCCCGTACCTCCTCATATTGTACACAAAACCTTACGCACATTGTTTCTTCTGTTTCCACAACCGCATGGTGACCACGCGGCATCATGGCTGCCACATTATTCACATCGTGAGTGGGTCGTACGGATGACGAGCACAAAACAACATTCCGCAGACACTTCCTCTCAAGCGAGGACCAGGCCGACAGGTGCCGAACCTCCAGTGTCATAGGACACATACACACACACCTTTGCGCGTTGCAACATCACGTCCACAATTATTCACGTACATGCCATTGGAGAAAGTATTGAAGAAGGTATATGGCCCTTCTCGGTCCAAGAATGCTTTCATTCCTAGATCTATTTCCATGGTTCCATTGATCCCATTGATCCCATTTTGAAAGAGTATCTACGGTCGTCTCTTCGTGTAGATGCATCCGTTATGTTATTCCCGTAAGTTTTACCAGGCCCAGTGTAGCCATGTCCTGTACGTTCATCCATGTGTTTGATATGTTGTTCCACCTCAACCAGGTCCTAGTCAGACGCCTACAACTTGGCCTCGACCTTGTGGAGGGCCTCCTGGAAGTCCTTCCAGTCGTAGAGGACAGCAGCGGCCTTGGTCTGCTCGGTGAGAACCTTGGCCATCTCGTCCATCTTCTCCTTGCCCTCCTCGATGCCGTAGATGCCGACGTATGCGATGCAAGGGATACCAGCGCGCATGGCGGCAGTGGCGCCGGACTTGCTGTCCTCGACAGTGACGACCTCCTCGGGCTTGACACCAAGCTGCTTGCAGGCGTGGATGTAGATGGCGGGGTCGGGCTTGGAGCTGGGAGGATCGAGGGAGGTGGCAGCGGAGTAGACATGCTCGTTGGGGAAGAAGTGGTCAATCTTGGCCTTCTCGATGGATGCGACGACGCGCGACTTGGCCGAGGTGCTGACGACGGACATTGGGTAGCCCTGCTCCTTGAGGAGGTTGAGCTGCTCGGTGACACCGGGGCACTCGATGGCCTTCTGGCTGAGCTTGCGGGTTACGGCGCCAAGCTCGCGCTGCACGAAATCCTCGAGCTCCTCATCGCTCAACGTGAAGTTGTGCTTGGTCTGCAAGCCCTTGAGCATGCCACGGAAGTTGTGGCCGACGAAGTCCTCCAGGAGCTGATCGGTCGTGTAGCGGGCCTCAAGGCCGTGCTTCTCGAGGACCTCATTGGTAAGCTCGGCGCAAGCCTCAAAGGCGAGGCGCTCGGACTGGACGAGCGTGTTGTCGCAGTCGAGGAGGATATATTTCGCCTACGTGTAGGAGGAAGAGGTCAATAAGAGTTGATGATCGGTGCTGCTTCGGAGGGTTTGTCGGATGTTGATGGCGGGGTGGGGGGGAAAAGTAAACACCGCGATCATGGGTGGTGGGGCACGACAGCGAGAGATTGCGCGGGGAAAATTGCACCGCTTACCTTTGTCATGTTGGCGACGATTGAGACTTGAAGGGAAGGTTGTTGATTGTTGATAGTTGGCTGTAGGCGGCAGAGTGTATTGAGGGTGAGTTGAAGTTGAGAGCTGAGGAGTGGGAGAAGAGAAAGAAGAAGTTGGAGTGGGCGATGGGCGGGTTTTGTTGAGGGGGGAGGGAGAGACGGGAATCAAGGAAGGAGGGGATTGGATACGGTAAGTGAGAGTGAGAAGAGTGAGAGCGGTGTTACGGTAAGGCCAGATAGTCGTCTGAGAGAGTCAAGGGCGCAGTAATATTAACGGGTTAGTAGTAGTGAAGGTGAAGGTCCATGGTAAAGGTGGAAAAAAGCTGAGATCAGGCCAGAAAGGATGCGACCCGGGAGAGTCAATGTGTGAGTGTGAGTGAGGCTGCAGTTTGCATAGGCGGCTGCAGATGGCCATGGGCGTGGGCATGGGCGTGCGCGTGCGCTGGCAATGTCACTGGGTAGAGAAGAATAAAAAAAAGAACACATTCATAGTACGTTTTGCAGGCTACAATTGACTATTCTTCAATCCATTCTCGTCAATTGAAGTCGACAAAGATGACAACGTTGATAGTTGATGATACGATACCCATAAGCCAGCCCACAGCCCACAGCCCACCAACCCACCGAAGCCCGTCCAGGTCCACCTCGTGGGGTTACGTCATATCGGAAATCTTCCATCTTCATTCCACCTCTACACTCATACTCTACACTCTACACTCTACACTATGTATGGATACATCAATTGACTATCCTTTAACAGCATTCGATGCAATTCTCATTCATCATCGTCCTTGATGCTTGATACTCATAACCATCGTACCTAATGTAACGTAATGTGATGTGGGATTAACCTACTGGATACCACTACTAACTACGGGGTAGCTGATCTATGCCCTACCACGGGAACTATCATCCGCCCCTCCCACCATCAACTCTATCTTCTCCAGACTCTTACTACCCCCATTATTACCAGTATCATTATTCGATAAGTACTTTCTCTACTCTACCTACAAGAGTATAACTCTACAATACTACTGCAGGTTGGCGAGTCACCTTTCCCCCATCACTACTAGTTGTCCTCACTAGGCCAACGCCTCCATCATCATCCCCGGTCTGGATCCCTTTCACCCACCATGCCAGGCGCATATACGGGATGGCTCCCGAGACAGTCACACACTACTCCTACACTCCCACTACTACTACTACTGATATGGCATTGATGTTCTCTACATCCTTTGTTGATTCCGGGGAGCGGTGTGGGGATGCCACATACCATACACCCTACTCCGTACACCAAACCTTGCCATGCAAACGGGTAGGTAGGTAAACCTCTGCGTGGGTCATGATCTACTCTCCATTGGTGTCTCGTCTTCTAGATGGATATGCAAATAGCCATTCATCCCCAATGTTCAGATCCATGCCTTCGGGTACATTCTTTCTGCACCTTTCTCCTTTATCATTGATTCCTATGCGAATCTATGATGTGTAGAACGATAGTAGGCCACAGTCGCCTCAACTAATTCCTAGCCCAACTGCATTTTGATACTGGACATGTATAGCAACTTGTAGTTAGGAACCTACTTGGGTACCCAACTTGATATAAAAATGAGCGATTAATCAATCCAATCCCAACAATTCCCATCCTTCTTCTTTACCTCCGATTAGTTTTGTCCCTACCAGTTTCGTTTTCCAACCGTTTTCCTCCCCCACGGATACTGTAGACCAGGCCTGCTATCGCATGTTTACTTTTCGTTGGTGTCGCAGACGCAGAGACACCCCCATCTCATCGCATAACCACCTCACCTTGCCCTCACACCGCTCCCCTCTATTCTCACCCGATCAAGCCTAGTCCAGCCATCCTACAAACCAGACAAGTCACCAGACCACATTTTCTTTCTTCTTTTTCCCTTTCACATACTCCGTACATCGTCACGACGCGGAAAAGTCCCTTGGAAATGCCAACTCATGATCTGCAAGGGGTTCATCTCTCTATCAATAGTGCGTACACATACTCCGCCTACTAACGAGTTTACACGATAGCCTCATTCCCTAGCCCAACCCACTAGGTACTCCCGAATCCCCGCATACCCACACGTTCTCTCCACTCCACTCCTTAGACCACCATACTTAGCCTACATACAAGGTACCTGATTATTGCATCAAACAGTTAAGTCGAATAAACCACTGCTTGCGAAGAATCAGATAGGACATCCTTCGTTTTATTCCATGTATACCATCATAGAGCGTCGGTATCGGCAAAGCACACGCACACTCCGTACATACGATGAGGTACCTAGTGACAACCAGTGCTCCCATACCCACCCCACCTACCCACGCCCTCCACTCTGCCCACCAAGGTGGGGGACAACCACCAATTTCCAACGTCGAGCGTTGCACAGATGAAAAAAAAAAAACATAAAAAGCGTCACGAGGTAAAGCGAGAGGGCGGTAGCAGCTCGTTGTCGTTGCTTTTCGCCCTCACGTGGCAGACGTCATGCTGTACTTCGTCTGTGTGCGCACCTGCACATGGGAGGAAGTGGGATTTGCGTTACCGACTTTCTTATTCTGTACTTCTGATGCAATTGGGTGGCGCTGGGTAGACTTCGCGTGGGCGCGTGCAGTCTTGGATTGTGTCGTGCAATTGTGTGTATGTACAAATTGTGTCACGCGTCGTAGAAATATCAATTCTTCTTGGTCATGAGGGGAGGTTCCATTTCACAAAATTATCGTGTCCGTGTTACAGAGCTGTCAGCGCTGAAGATGCATCGCACAATCGCTCCCTTGACCGTGGACTTGGAGACGACGGAACGGTGTAAACGCCTTGTTACATGTCATATGACCTGCTCACTCATATTTGCTGAGTTTCTCCGCAGAACGAATAATCACAACATATAACCTTACTCAAGGGCGAAAGGCGTAAATATTCTTCACACTCCGTATAACGAGGTCATCGACTTATTCTCGTGTGAAACGCTGAGTGGGAAAGGGTTGCAGTACCAGTGCATGATCGACAACTTCTCCCCTCGACTCATGTGCATCTTGCATCTTGCATCTTGCATCTCCCCTCCAATTCACCTCTACCAAACTTTAGACCATTAACACCAGCTCCTATAAAGCCGCATTAATGGCTAGAATAACCGATTACTGTAAGGAGTCTCTGTTCCTTTCACGTGACTCCGTGTTTTCCTGCCTCAGGTTGGCGTTTCGTCAATCCTAGCCGGAGGGCTGGTCATCCACCTAACAAACCTCAAACATGGTCGAGACGTTCCGAGCACGAAAACGCCGAGACGGCGTCAAGACACGACAAGCCTTTCCTGCAAAACTTACGCGATCGCAGATATCGTCGTTACCTTGCCTCTCAGCCATTCAGATTCTCGTAAGCATTCACTTACTGGATTTTAGAACCCTTTCTGTGCGCGCTTCGAATTGAATAATGGTCTCATATCGTCCCAGGCCATGTCATTCATGGCTTCTCCTGTCAAACAATGCATGACAATACATAGCGATACCGCAAGACTCAATTCATTCCCATTGAGCCAACCTTCGCCCAACATCGACATCCATCAAACGATGCGTTTCACGCGCCCCTGGCCCTCGCGGCTCCGTGTCCGCATACCCTGTCGTTATGCCTCAACGACACCCTTCACTACTAACTACATCCTCTCTCGGAATCACCATTTCCGTGAAGTCGTCTTAATATCTGCTGCATCCCCCCAACTTCCATAATCCATTCTTCTAGTTTACCATCTTCTTTGCTTGTACTTTCGATTCTACATCGTGTGTTGATCACTCGTTACCTTTTAATTCTGCAATTAATACTTTCCGTTGGTTTTCCATTACCATCATTCCAGTTTGAGATACCCTTGCCATTAACAGCATCAAAAACCATCACCATCATTCCAAAATGTACACCAGCACCTTCATCTCCACCGCCCTCTTCGCCGCCACAGTCCTCGCCCATGGAAACATCACATCCCCACCAGCCCGCCAGCCCGGACCCGCAATGGCACAAGCATGCGGCGCGGCCAGCGTATCTGCCATCCTCGCCGACGGCACCGGACCTCTAGGTACACCATATCCCATCAATACCTTCAATACACACAAGCTAACCCCCAACCCCAGAGAACATCCCCTCCAACGGCTCCCCCAACTGCAACATCTTCCTCTGCAAAGGCGCGCAATTCGCCGACAACGCCGCCCTCGTCCAAACCCTGTCCCCGGGCTCCGTCGTCCCCTTCACCGCGGAGCTCCCCATCCCGCACGAAGGCCCCGCCAACGTCTCCATCGTCGACACGGCCACCAACTCCATCCTGTTCGGCGTCCCGCTGCTCGAATTCGATTCGTATGCGGACGAGAATCTCGCGGTGCTGCCGGCGAATAACACGGCGTTTGAGGTGACGCTGCCGACGGCGACGGGGGGCAGGTGCGAGACGCCGGGGGAGTGTGTGTTGCAGTGGTTTTGGTTCGGGACGAATGCGGGGCAGACTTATGAGAATTGTGTGGATTTTGTTTTTGCGTGAGGGATGTTATGGGGAAGTGGGTGGTGAGAGTGTTCAGTTGCGTGTGTACGCTGTATGAAATACAAGTTATCCAATTGCTCGTTGGAAGATTGAGGCGGATAGTGTATAAAGTCTCCACTATATACTAGCATTTTTCACATGGATCAATCATTTCAAATACTCTTCACTTCAAAGGGAAACATCACAGGCACACCTTGTAATGAATAAATAGGTAGTGTGGTGTAGCAGGATAGATGTAGCTATCCGGGGATCACGTGTATGGGGAAAGGCACTAGGTAGGGCGTAGATAGATCGATCAGGGCTGCCGAGAGAGATCGAGGCATCATCTCCCTACCTCCAGAGGCCTATCGACAGAGTCAATATCTACCTTTCCTACCTATCCACCGATTGCGGGTCGTGCCTGTGATGCTCCCTACTACAGAGGCGTCTATACGCGACAGTAGTAAAGGCATGTATTCGACATGGTCGACAGGGCTGGAGAGGTGAGTGAATAACTCTCGAGCTTCCTCCTTAGTCTGTCTATCTGTGATTCTCCTAGTGCTGTATGACCTCCGAATCATGTCGTTTGTCCTACTATACCTGCAATGACGGTCTCTTGTTTTTGAGGTTTCTGACATATTATCGCCGAGAGAAGATAGTGATGGTGGTAAGAGATAGTGATGGTAGTAAGAGATAGTAATAGTAGTAAGAGATAGTAATAGTAGTAAGAGATAGTGATGGTGGTAAGAGATAGTGATGGTGGTAAGAGATAGTGATGGTGGTAAGAGATAGTGATGGTGGTAAGAGATAGTGATGGTGGTAAGAGTTCGATCATATTATAATTAAGGCAAGATAGCTTCAATATTGAGATTTTCTGTTGTATTATTACCTATCAATGGCAGAGAACTCGAGTCATAAGTCAGTCGTGATTATACCTAAGTTCTGCATTCATTAGTTTAAAGTTTGGTTACCAACAAAGCCAAAAGAGAACAATGCAGTCGCAAAACAAAGAATACATGATTGTTGGGCAAACAAGACATTGTTTGATGCATGTGCACTATACCACATGCTAGGTGTATATGTACACACATCTCTCACGCAGCAGTTGGGTGATTATACTGCATACTACCCGCATCTCAGACAATCACCATCAACCTGTCATACCTTTGACGACAGTATCTTGGAAAACGAAAGTAACAACTCCAGGCTGTGTGGACAATAGACATGGCGATTTTAATCCAACTCAACGAGCCTATCACCATTGCCATAAGCAATGGCAGGACCTCCCAACTCGAAGTGTGCATATCCCAGTACGATATCATGTCAAGAATCGCCAAGGATTTCACCTCAATCGAGCTATTCTCCCTCGCAAGAACGTCCAGAACAGCATGGGCTCATATCAAAGGAACTGATATGCTGTGGCGGGCGCTGACATTGAAGACGAAATGCTGCGGTTTCGGCGTCGATTTTCGAAGGAAGGCGGCCAACATCTTCCCCCGTCCTGGAACGTGGCCACTCCCGATCTACTTCCCCTGCAGTTCAAACAGCCGAGTGCCCATCGAATCCCAGCTCTGCGTCGACTGCGGCAGCATGGTATGCAAGGAATGTCGAATCCATAGCAGCTACCCCTTCGCTAAACGTTATGGTGACCCATACGACTCACTCGAGGGAGGAAGCTACTACGGCGTCCAACTTTTCGCACCCGTTGAAGTAAACGAGACAGATGTACTGTCGCACGCCTCAAAGAGCGTCACTCCTCAACCCGAAGAAACAGCGCTTGACCGCTTCGTAGAATGTTACCATCCTTCCAAGCGCAGGCTGGCCAGTCTTCCCAACTTTTACAGTTATCTTCCAGCGATGGAGAAGATACAGGCAGTGGGCGTCTGTCACGACCAGGAGAGCCTGCATCGCAGTCTTCTCGAAGTCGCCCGAGCACGCCAGGTCGCCGTATGTCTCCAATGTTTCCACGACGACGGGCCAGGGATGCTAGCGGCGCGGGACGTATGCCAAAAGGGAGGAACTGTAGAAGATATTGGAAGGCATACTTGCGAATGCACGCTGTCCAAGCGGTACATGACCGCCTGGCGCTGCATGCGCTGCTTCATCGCGAACGATATCTCCCGAGATCTACAGGGCGATGGGGAGTCATCCAAGAAGTTCTGTAGAGACCGCACAACGGTGTTGAAGTGCGGCTGTGGTGGGAACGGGTCGCCGGCGTCAGAGTACCATGTCCTCGTATGTAAATGGTGCGGTGGGTCGATTCGATCGAGAGAAGATTGGGGGGACAGTTCACTTCTTATTTTGGGGAAAGACTCAAGTGAAGTTTCGAGGGAATTAGGGGATCGCCCCGATGGCGATAGGTGTTATAGCCACTGGTTTGGGACGAATGGGGGGCAGACGTATGAGAATTGTGAGGGTTCTTGGTTTGCGTGAGGGATGAGTGGTATGGTCTGTACGTGTTGAGGTTAAGAGGTTGAGAGGTTGAGATTTTCGTCCCCATGTTGTCGCGTATATACACTCCCATAGTTAGGGGGATTAGATTTATAGATTCATCAACACCTCGCTATTAGGAAGATTCTTAGAAAAGATTATACAGTAGCACTTTTTATATGAATTAATTATCTTCTATACTCTTTAAAAGAAAACACTACAGGCACAACTTATAGTTAATAGATAGGTGGTAAAGGCATATATATTGGCCATTGAGGATAAGCCTCTGGGACAAGTGGATGATTTTCGAGCTTTCTCGAGAGCCCAATGTATATGTCTACAGTCTTCCTAGCGCTTCCTCTGCTATACGTAACCTACAGGTAGACAGGTGGGTAGGTAGGCATAAGCTTCTCTTAAGGCTGTTCACGACACACAGAGTATTTGTACCCGGTCTAATCTAGTCACCCAGTCGTCCAGTCTAATCTCGTCGTCCAAGCTTCACTCGAGTCTTCCCAAGAAAGAAGCAAAATGCCACTTTCTCAATCCTCACGTGGTCGTCGAATCGACCCTCCACACCACTTACACACAAGCAAATAGTTCTCAATCATGCGAACGGTCTCCGCTCCACATCCGCAATCCATGATCAAGGCGTCCATAAAGTAATCCGGGTCGCTGGCAGAGCCAGAGTTGGGGTCCTTTCGAAAGTCCTTTGCGCGGAAACACCGCATGCACCGCCATGCGTCCACATACCGCTTCTTCAGAGTGCACTCGCAGAAATACCCCCCCACATCGACAGAAGCCTCTCCCCTGATTCCTCGATTTACTCTTTCCCGCGCGGCCTGCATTCCCGGTCCGTTGTTGCTGCAATATTCCATGCACACGGCGATCTGGCGCGCCCGCACGACGTCGAGGATGTCGGGGTAGAATTCGTCGGTGTCGTAGCCGAGATCCACCGCGATGATGTCTTCGATGGACTGATACGACTCTTCGGGGGTAAGCGGGGCGCCGGGGTAGCGCACCGTGCGGTGCAGGCAGCTTACGGCGGAATCGAAGGCTCTTTCGGCGGGAAGTGGGCCGTGGGATGCAGCGCCGGCTGTCGCCGATGCACTTGTCGTCGCCGGCGAAGAGCTGTATGCCTATGCCGGGGGCGCCATCAACGGGGAAGCGGTAGCTGCAGTGAATGCGGCATTCGTTGCAGGTCATGCTTCCGCAGTCGACGCAGAGTTGGGACTCGGCGGGGGATGGGCGGCATACGTCGTTGACCTCGATAGAGTATGGGTTGCATAAGTCGCAGTTGATCCAGCGTCGGGGCTCCTCCAACTCGTAGATGGGGGATGGGATAGTTGAGCCGCAGCGGATGCTGTCCATGTATTCATCCACCATGTATTCATCTAGTGCTGCATTAGAATAGTTGGAAATGAGTCGGTGGATTCGCGAAGTGACGCCGAAGCCGCAGCATGTCGTCTTGGATGTCAGCGCCCGCCACAGCGAATCCGTGGCTTTGATAGAGTTCCATGCCGATTTAGAGATTCGAGCGAGGGAAAATAGGTCGATTGAAGTAGAGTAATTGGCAATGTTCGAGATGATATCGTATTGGGACAAGCAGACTTCGAGTTGGGCTTGAGACCTCGAAGACATGACACGATTTGGTTCACCAGGAGAGTTGGAATTGACCATGGCCTCCTCTTGAGATGACGATATTTCAATCATGTATCCAGGAATGGTGATCGGTTATTTGCCTTCTGCTCTCTTTGAAAGAATTCAGGAGTTGCACCAGCACCGAGTCAGGTTGGTGGTTGTCTTTGCCTACAACTAAATTAGGTGTCCTAGGACAGCGCTTAAATATGTGTCAAAACTATTGCTGAGTAACAAGACAGTGATTATACTAGATGCGGGCGGGCAGGCAGTGAAATCACCAAATGTTTCCTGGGAGATGTGCATACACATGTATAATGTATTTGGCGCAGTGAATTCACATCTCGAAGAAAATGTCAGCACATAAATCACAAGATCAGCGAACACTGTCGTTGTATGCTCAACAACAATGTGTTTCTGGGTTTTCTGGCCGCGGGCTTCTGTACTTGGAGTGAAACTCAGATTGGCTAACGTAGAACTACTGGTTTGAAACGACCACTGACAGACGTATGCTTAACATCTCACAAGATCGCATCCGGCCTGCTATCAACCTCATCCAAAAGCTCCTTACACGTCCTGAATTTCAATCCTTCGAAATATGTCTTCTGGTGCCTTTGCACCCTTTCCACCGGCAGGTCTCCCGCGCCACTCGGGGAGAAGATCTTGTACTCGGCACCGATGAGTTTCCACTCATCCCCCTCTTTGCTCGCCTCAACAACATCCTGAATGAGGTCGTAGAGGCTCTTCTTCTTCACCTCAAACCCCCCATACTTCTCACCAACAAGCGCAGTAATCTCATTCCACGTCATCTTCTCACCCGACATGTACGTATTTTCCTCCCAGTCCGGCGTCTGCACAAGCTTCGCAATTCCTCTCGCCATATCCCGCACAGCCGTGAAATCCAACTTCTCGTTTCCCGTGCCCGGGATCTCCACCTTCTTCGTCTTCAAATTGATCGGGAACGCGTCCTCGATGTCTTTCATGTATCGATTCTTGGCTGGAACAATATAGTCCATCAACCAGCCGACAGCCACCATCGTCCATTCCAATTGATCTTGCCCACGCAACGCTTCCCGCACTGGGCCATGAATACGCCCGTAAAAACCAGGCTGGTCGGGGAAGTCCTCCACATTACCACCATACTCGGAAGCAATGAAGCGCTTGACACTAGACACCTTCTGCGCGGCTTCAATGAGCCTCATGTGGACGTCTATGTAAGCTTGCGTGTAGTCGAGGACCGTGGAGATGAGGGTCGTGGAACCTTGCAGGCCCTCGATCAGTGATGGGACAGAGTAGTCGGTGACGTGTTGGTGGACGCCTGGGCGGTTTTCGAACTGCGGTTTGCAGGAGCGGGAGAGAATGACTACGTCGATGCCTGCTGCGACGAGCTCTTCGCTGAGGTAGCGGGTGACGTCTCCTGAGCCGGCGATTGCGACGCGCATGTTGTTGGAGGTTGGGGGTTAGGGGTAGAGGGTTGGTAGAAGGATTTGTAGATGGGTTAGAAGTACCAGGATGAATAGTTTGATTGATGTGTTCGTATGATTTGGAAGCGGACTCAATGGTTTATTTATATTTCGAGGACATTTCTGTCATATGAACTCTGCTCGTTATGGAACTCCAAAGTCGGTTAGCGCCAGTGGGAGCATTTCATGGTTTACGAATGGGTAACGATGGAATTGGCAATTGTCTGGTTGATTTCTCATCACAGCGGTGAGAAATTCATTAGTGGGTCCGATTACATCTGCTTCTTGGTCAGCCATTGACTCTCTTGTCCCCAAGTTGGTTGATGAAGCCGAGCTTGGAAGATGATGTCCATTGTCGATCTATTCCTTATCAGGTAACTCACAGCGAGCTTGGCGGGCCCTCTCTTGGGTTACAGTAGTGCATGATACGGATGCCTTGACAGCTACGAATTGCGCATTTGTCCTCGAATATTATAGAAGAGCTGACCAATTCGTATCAATCGACTGATAATCGGGTCTCAGATTGTCTCCCGACGCAAACGATGCCGCAGAGATTGGTTTCGTTGCTTTCATTCGTGCACCTGACGGGTCACCATGAATGAATAATTGCACGAATTGACTTTCGGACATTGCAGAGCTAGTATGATCAAATGCGGTGGATTTCATCAGAGTATTGTATATCGAGCTATACATATTTTACACAGCGGCCATTAATGATGATTGCTTCCATTTCATCACCCGTAAGGACGTTATCTCAATACTGAAGAGCTTCAGAAGTGTAGAGTTATGGAATATACGTAGGAGAGTTCTTCGAATTCTTGGAACCGGCTAGATTGGTATAAGGAGTGCTCATCATTACTGATCTATATTAAGAGTATGTGGTTGCTTAGGAAGTTGGGGTACCGTTGCTATGCTGAACCTGAACTCTGTCGCCTTCAATATGCTCTGCACTTACCACACTGTCGTTACCGTCTTGAAGAGGCTCCTCTGCAATATCTTTGACATGGTAATCGCCAATGTCAATTCCAAATTGCAGTTTTTCACCGCGCTTCCACCATCCCAAGCTATACTGATGTCCACTCAGTAGCCTCGACAATTCTTTCTCGGAACTGCACTCTGACCGAGGAGGAAGTGTATCTGCACTGAGTAGTTTTGACCCTGCAATAAATGATGCCGTGGTCGCGATACTGCATGGATTGTAAGGCAGAACACCACGCGTACTCTGTTTGGAGAAAGCGATAATCGCACAAACAGTCATGAAGCTGAGGAATCCTTGTAGCAGGCGTGTGGAAACAGTGTGCTGGGTCAGCTTCGACCCATCCGAGAAGGATAAAGTGGCGTTATAGCTTAGAACATTTGATGGAACGACTTCGGTATTCCGTGCATCATCGAATGGGGGTATGGCGCGCGCCCACAAGTTCAACTGCTGCGCTGCCATAATTTCAATAACTCGATTGAGCCGTTGTGCTAGCTTGTTGGCATTCTCTGCTCCCATGATTTCCTCGATAGGCACCCCATCAAGGCCATAGATAGCGGCCTTCATCCAAGGACTCAGTGTATCGGTATTGGCTCCTCTTTCATTGTTCAAAAACGTACTGCTTCCACCACCGACCATAGGATATGCATCCCATAACATTCTGACTGTACTCTCAATTGGACGAGGAGGTTGCATCGGATCTAGGTCGAAGCTGGGTGTTGTCAAGTTCACGACAACATCCATTTGCTCGAATACGGGGTGGCAGTGCAGCACACTGACGTTTTCCTCCCGATAATATGAGGCCAATCTTCCCAACGCGTACCCAGTTGTTGGACATCGTGAATCGATAGCATGGATCGAACTGTTTGCAGGGAATATATACTGACTATAGCAGTCAAAGTAATCTCCTGGTTTCAGACGAAGTTCGCCGTCAGATCCTGTGTTGTCGCTACAAATCCATCGATCAAGTTTGGGACAATTAGCCGGTATCGCATCAGTAGTAGACAGACTAACAAAGTTGCTGTGCAACAGAAACCCGATTTTGACTAACTCTTCTGGCACGCTTTCACATTTGAGCGAGCTTCTAACTGCAGGCAACACCACTGAAAGGACGCCGCCGGTGGACCAGGGAATTGCCCCTTTCAAAGTATCATTGTCTTCTTGTAACTCGACTGTCGGCAGTGCATAGGTGTCATAAGTCCATTTTGGATATGAAAGGTTTGCAGTGAGAATTCTTGGAGTGTTAACTGTAATCATGTCCGCTTTGCGTCATGCCTAACTTACAATCCTGGTCTGACCTGCGCGAAGTTGCTTTGGCGATTATCCAGTTGCCTTAGATAACCGTTTTTAACGAAAGAAGTGTTCCAAGCACTAGTTTGTTTCACGGTGACCGACTTTAGTGTCTCTGTTGGACTAATGGAATAGAGTCCGCTCACAATCACAGTAAGGAACGGACCAACCAAGAGTGCAGCAGAAATGGCTGCGACCGACATTTGTCGCATCCTGAACGACTCCCATAAGGTCTGTATCGACGTTTTGCCGAGTTGATCGAGTTGCACGGTTTTGGATGTTGAATAACCGCCTCGGCGGAGGTTTGAATAAGGCTGGAACAACTTTATCGTGAAGGCTGCAGTATCAAAAAGTAGGCGAATGGTTACCATGAAGATGGCAGGAATATACGTCCACGCATATTCTTGCTTTTGGCTCGATGGTGAAACCCGCGTAATGCCACCCGAGGACTGTGATCTTCGATGCAACAGTTCGACAGCCACAATAACTAAGATGGGCAGAACCACAACAATGATACGAGTGCGTGTAGAGGCAGTGAAAGGTCGCCACCATTTTGGCGGTTCTGTGAACGTCGAAGAGCCTGGCCTTAATCCTTTTTGGGCATTCGTATCACTTACATGAACCGCAAAGGTTTGCTGTCCTTCGGATAAGCTAAATGACGCACGGTACTTCCGTGTTCGACAATGTTGCTCTAGATCGTGTTGCTGGATAGATCCGAGATTGTCCATATGCTTTGTAAATACATGGCTCTGGGCCAGAAGTGCTGCACAACCTCCAATCGAACCAGGACTGCGAGGGACCACTCTTGGTGGTTTCATCCAGATCAAAGTGGCTGTGATTGCAATGAGTAGAACTAACATGGCCTCTAGGAAGCTGAATGCTATCACACGTACGAATAGTCGCTGCTCATCTCGCGTCACGGTGCCTTCCATAATTTGTGGCTCTTCAGTGAGGTATTTCTCTTTGATGATTTGAATTCCTGCGATGCTATGCATGGAGCGAATTACGCTTGAGAGGAATGTCATATTGCTCAACTCCATAGGAATGTGGCCAGGAGTTGTAGCGTTGATTAAGCCATTGGCTAACCCGATATATGCACCGCCTCTCCATACAGAGTTCATGAGCTCTGATGTTGTGAGGCCAGGTATTTGCGAAGCAGTCGCTCCCGGTACAGCCGTTATGTTTACCTCCGTACCTGCGGTGCCTGGAATCATCCGATAGGACACTTTTTTGCGGCTAACGTTATACGACGGAGCACAGATTACGCCTGTAAATTGGTACCGGCCCGTCTCGTTTCGCTGATTTGATACATACTGGATAGGCTGGCCATTGGTGTTGTTGGTTCTTGTCATGGCCCCCACGCTCAGTACTTCGCTGCAATTACCAGTCCAAATGTTGAAAATTCCCGGTGCGTTGCCAATTCCAAATTGTGATCCCCCAAGCTGCATGGTTTCGGTCAAAGAGCATGCTGGTGTTGTAAGTGTTACATTAGATTCCCAGTAGGGTTGTCGAAATCGCTGAGGCCCTAACACAATGTTCGCATTCTCACAGGGCACATCGAAGGTTACGACATCCATCTCCATGCTCAGAATATCGCCACGCTGAAATTTCAGGGACGCATTCGTCGACACATTGAATCTTGGATAAACAGAGCTCTCAGTCGTTCCATGGGGCAGGCTGAGATTCAGGTAGCGAACTCCATAAGCTATCGTCAATGGCGCCTCACTTATTCTGGTGGTCCAGTTCAATCTTAGACCTGATGAAAGAAATGTCTCTTGTTTAGACATGAGGACTCGATTGGACACAGTGGTACTTTGCAATGAGAAGAGTCCAGTCGACAGAATGACCATGATCGTAAGGATTGAACTTGCGCACACCGGAAGTGCTACGAGCCAATGTTTTCTTCTCGCTGATGTATAAAGTATGTTGATACTCCAGGGGGATACGTAGTCGAGCAAAATTGTCGTATCTGCGTTCTCGAAACCCTTGTATCTCTGCATATTTTTCCAAGGGAACAGTTGTCGATAGCGGTAGTCTACTTGACTCCAGAGGATTGCGATGAATGTGAACACTGCTGTTGGTCCATATGTCCAACCCAGGCGTTTGTCTTGGTCGGCTGTTCTCAGTCCATTCCTCTTTTCTGAAAGTGCATATAGAATTGGCAGAACTGCCGCTAGAAGTAGGAACAGAATTAAGAAGGATAGAAGAGTTGTTGGTCTTAGGAAGAAGGGCAACCAAAACTGATTTCGTGGCGGCATGTGTATGGCATTGTTGCTGAATGGACCATCGACTATTATCGCATGTCTTGCAGGTGGTTTCGTCGGGGCTTCTTGAATGCGAGTAGTGGCGGCTCCAGCACTATGAGAGTCTCGCGACCCATGTTGCGATGCAAGCGAATTTATATCAGTGAGCTCATGCACATCCTTTGCTTCGGAAGTCATCGTGGCTTTCTAATGGTATAAGTTTCGTTGAGAGCAGGGCTTCATATTAGTACTTTCCTGAGTAGCCGTTGTCGCACAAGGCTGAAGTCTATTTTCAGCCAGCACTGCCCATCACAATCTGCACAATCCCGTGTGTAGATAAGACTGATTACTCGGCGGAGGCTGAAATTTAAAGCGTTCATTGGCTATGAAGTGGTACAGGACGCCACGACCTTTCATATCTGCCGATCTTAGGTTGTGTTTGGTGAAAGTGAGTCTCACGAGGTATGGATGCACCGGATGAGATCATCACAAGATTCCATGCTGCTCACTTCTCATTTCCACGATGGTGCCCGGCTTGCCTATATACAATGAGAGACAAATTATCTGGTCCAAAATGATTCGTAGCGTGAAAGCCAGTACGCACTCGATTTATTGACAATGGTGTTGCTAGAGGTCGACACTATATTTGGCACGGTTCCTATCATAGTACCAATTGTCAACTACAATGAAACCTTAAGAACTTGCACTTCGTGCAAATCCGCATCTCCTCCGGAAATAGTCAAAGAGAGGCCATCGGAAGCAGTTGCAGGGAATATAAGATCGGAAATCACGACTTCACCCTCTCCGCCGTACACCTCCACAGAACACTCATCCACCAGAGCCCGTAGATGCACTACACCGCTTGCATTAGGTGATAAAGCAACAGAATGAATACCACCTGCAGCTGGGTCCCAGGAGATATCACCGCTCGCGCGACGGTCGACCGACAAAATACCACCGGACTGAGCGTAGCTGATCACAGTCTCTTCAGACCCGCCTCTTCTGACCGAAAGAGATAGCTTGGAGCCCGCACTTGGAATGAAAGAAATGCGGATATCCAATGCCCGTCCGTGAACATCTGATAGCAAAGTTTGCTGAGACGTGAGGGTCTGGTTCGTAAGACGTGTGACCGAAGTGCTGGCCGCACCTAGCTCCTCGACTGGTAGCTGAAGAAACCGCAGTTTCTCACCAATCTTCTTGAGCTTCAATGTGCGTGGGAATGAAAGCATGCCCTTCCACGTTTTCGTCGGTGGCTTGTCACCGTAGCTATTCATCACCGAGGAGATTATTCTGCGGCCATCAGCTGCGGGTACGTTTTCCCAACTCAAAGCACCGTCGAAGTCCCGCCCGTAGTCAAGCCACATTGTAGCTGGATCAACCGGATCCGCTTTGAAGACAGTGCCATCGAACGATCCAGTGATTCCAAAGACACCATTGCCACCGGCGGGTGATCCTTGTGCAGGAGTGTTGAGCATAACCCATTTCTTATCCGTAGATCCCTCGACAGCGAGTGGGAAAAAGTCAGGAACTTCCCAGCCTTTGACATCACTTGGAAGTCCCGGGACATCACCCAAGGTGAAATCGTTCTGCCAAGTCCAAGACTTCGCATCAGAAGATGTCCAGAATGTCATCTTGTTTTGCCCCCCGTGCGCAAGTATCATGATCCACTTTTTGGTTGCATCATGGAAGAACACTTTCGGGTCCCGCGTCTCCAGGCCACCTGTGATATCGTGCGGTGCCTCTTGCGTCTGAGATATGATCGGGTTGCCGGCGAACTTGGTCCAAGTGGCCCCCTGGTCAACACTGAACGCGAGACGCTGATCCTGGACACCACTGTTGGGAAAGTAGCCCGTGTAGTATGCAAGATATGGTGGGTTGTCTTGCGTGCCGAGACCAGATATGTTTGCCACATCGTAATAGGAAGTTCCAGTGAATGATTGAATGCCATTCTCGTTTCCGAGTGCGACTGGTTTATGCTCCCAATTGACCAGATTGGTACTGGTTGCATGACCCCAGACCAAATTACCCCAGACAGGGGCGGTGGGATTATGCTGGAAGAAGAGATGCCAGGTTGATCCAATCTTTATCAAGCCATTGGGCTCGTTCATCCAGTTCTGCTGCGGAACGAAATGAAACGTAGGACGAAAATCGTCGGCACTGGCGAGGAAACTCAAAGTTCCAGTCCAGATAAGTCCAGCAAGCATTATTTGATGCTTGAAGGGTCCTACAGTGCGACTGGAATGCATTTTGATGTTTAAAGGTAAATCAAGATGGTTCAAAATAGATCAAACAGCGAAGGGATAGAAAGTAGATCCTTTGGTAAGAGAAGAGTTGTTCGCACTTCAAGATTTGAAAGAAGACGGATGAAGGCTTTTATATCTTGCTTCCGGGTGATGAGAGCACAGCAAGTCTTTCGTGTGAAGTTGACGCCCAACCTGTATTACCAAGAAATTTGAGAACGTCGTCTTCATTACCCACCCATCTCCTTCCTTGATGGCCCCGTGAATCTGTAAGTTGGGTTGCCTTGTGCACAGGATCTACACTTGACCGAAATCTGGGTACAATGGCCATGCGTCTATCGAGGAATACGACGAAGCATGCAAGTCCTGGACACCCCGTGGGGAATCTCGGAGTATGCTCCCCGCATTCGGAAACCCTGCTCCTGCAACGAGCCATTACTGAATATAGCGATGTATTTACTGTACATGCATTTATCAGATCACGCTACCAACCCATTTGATTGAGCATGGTTCATCGAGCGTAGTCCGTACGACTCTCTATGACATTAAGGCAGCAAAATTCTGAACCACAACTCAGTAGGATAATTGAATAATGACCCAATGAGCTCCATGAGCCAAAGTAATATGTAAGCGTCCTGATAGTAGTCATTTCTTTCCTATCTGCCTGCATTTGCATACAAACATCATTACAGCATTGATTCTCTGCAACTTTTGCTACTCGCCACTCTTGGTCACCGTCGTAACGCCTTGGCTATAAGACTTCCTTGCCCCTGGCTAATTCATACGACCGAAACGCCACCTCATCTCTATTATATTGTCTCTTCCAGGCTTCAATGAAAGAAACCTGATCATCGGGTGGTGATGTATGACAACCCTCACCAGGTGGGAAATTCACCTGCAGGAGCATCACGGAGGAATCCCCGGAATGTTTGCAGATGTCAGCCATGCTTTCATGTTTCACACATGGGCAGGAAATTGAAATTGTCGATCTGCATCAAAAGCATCGTATATGCTTTGTGTAATAGCGATTTGAACTCAGTTAGGCCATTTGTAAAAAAGGATTGATCTAAAGGTAGTGAGCATACAGGTCGTGCACGGCATTCTGATGGATTGATTGCTTGGACAATAGCGCTGTTGGAATAATACGTACCTATGATGGCCCTATAACTTCTGTTTGGAGGCCGACAAGCAGTGTTTACTCATACTTCCTTGGCCCCTGTTTGTCGAAGGCCAATTACCTCGATTGGCTGTGTACCGCATAGCTGCATTAAGCATCTTTCCCGTGTTTTACAGAAACATCTCTGAGTCTGTCAGGATAGTGGATATGGCATGGATTCTGAGGTTCCAAGTTACGAGGGTAGCGTGGCCGTCAAAACAGAGTGGACTAGCATAAGCATATACCCGGATAGGGAGATCATCACCTGCACGTTGGAGGACACCAGAAGTAGAGATAGATTAGTGTCCTTCTGGAATGACACTAGAATCTTTCTATGCAGCCTTCCTGTATACCCCGCACCCTCTCACTGTCTTGTTTGGTGTGATGATGTATGCAGCATACAGCTAGCCCTAGTCGTGTGTAACATCTTGCAACAATCGGTCATCGTCAATGCGCGAATTTCGATGGCGGTATCAAGCCCAAGGGGCTGAAAATGCTGCTCGTACCTACCAACATAGGTTTCCCCATGGCAAATACTGCGAGGTATGTGCAAGCCACCTACATGCCCAATAGTGCAGCTGGTCTTGCGATCCTTGGCCTAGAAGTAGTTATCCATGCCTTGTTTCTCAAGTTTTCTATTGCAAGTATCATGAAAAATATGAAGAAAATATTCATTTAATTTTAAGACAGCTCGAACATTATATTTAAGGAGAAGAAATCGAGGACTTCTAGTGCATAGTTCGTATTTAAACTCTACCTATAGAAACCTCGTTGATATATGTAGGTGGACGACAGGGAGCGGTAGTGCAAGCGTAGGTGGCTAACTTAGTTGCGCCGTGTTGGCGACGCTACCGGCCGTCTCGCCTCGCCTTGCCACCCTCCTTCAGCGGCAACACGCCCCATGCTTTCACTCCAAAGTCAGGTTATACCATCAGGCGAGCCTGGACTTTTCTCCAGTGCTAAAATTCTGTAGTCCCCCACAACCCCGCCTCTGGAGCATTAAGAGCCCATGAGACCCCATTATTTCATGGTCGTCCTCTTTTCCTGCTGCACAATACCCTCGAGCCAACGCAATGGCCATCGCAGGCGAGCTCAAGCCGACCGACACCGAAAAGGTGGTGCTTGAAGCATGGTCCCAAGGCTTCATGATAGGTGCTTTGGTAATCATGTGTGGTATCACACTTGCGAACATGAGAAGGAAAGTTCTTCTTCACAGGCTCATTTTGATTGAGGTTCGTGACACTATAAACGAAGCACCTGCATGGCAAATCGCTAATCGCGAATCCGCAGCTAGTACTGGCTGTGCCAAATGGTTTCTTTATGTTTTTTGAGCCTCCGGCATGGGGTTGGTTTCTCTCTTCGACCGTGGTGCCGCTCATCGCGTCGTGGACACTGCACAATTTCATCGCATGGATGAAGAACAAGCCGTTTCTAGGACGCCGAGGCAATTTCATCTATCTCAGCAGTATCCTGCTCGCCCAGCCGTACTGGGTGCTGGAGATATATGCGAATTTTGCTTACTTCAACGGGATCAACAGTCGCCTATTTATTGCCACGCGACCATATGAAGCTGCATTCCGGTAATTCGCCCGACCTCAGAATCGCAACTGTTTCAGTCTGCTAACGCTGCACACTAGCGATCCATGGTGGATATTCACCATTGGTAATCTCTTCTGGAACATCAAATTCCAGTATGAGCTGGGCTTCATGGAGATCGTCCAGGCATCGCCTCGCTTTGGCATTCTACTTGGCTGCATGTGCCTGAGTGTTGTCTTCATCATCGTCGACCTTCTATCGGTTACCCCTGTGATTCCAATTGGTGTCGTCAATCCATTCTGGAAGTTCGCATTTGTGTTCAAGTGCTTCACTGACAGCATCATTCTCGACGACTTCAAGACTGCGTTGGACAAGCTGCAGCAACGTAGGATTAGTCACATCCTTCCTTTCAGTGTTTTAGAGGAAGCGACTTCATGCGGCTTCAATGAGAGTCGACCAGGACACAGCTTCTACGGGAAAACGGGGCGGTGCCAGGATGGACCTTCAGTTGTGCGCATTGAGGCAGTCGGCGGGCATGATCACATTGCATTGTCGGACGTAGGCGGTCTTTGCACACCATCTCCAGTTGTAATGAGCCATAAAGAAATACATCGAAAGTAATATAGCGTGACGCATAACATGGTCTTTTGCATTGAGCGTGCTAATCGACCTGATCACCTGGTTGACACCAGGTCTCCGAGGAATCTCGGGTTTTCTGGGATCTGATTCGGCCGTTTCGAGCAGTCCTCGGATGGGTGATAAGACTGTCACGATAGTTCGTGAGGCTCTACGAGATTTTCAGGCCCACAATAAGGCCCCAATGCCCTGAAATCCTGGCGCCAGCCAAGTAAATTGCGTGGAAGGAGGCACTATTGCCGAAGCGTAGGCTCCACCATCTTGCATGCACAGTAGGCATTCGAAGAAAGTAACGGCAATAAGCCAACCTGACGATACATCCATAGAGCATGGGAGTAGGCCTTTGGTCCAACCAAAGATAGATATCATAGGGTAGACGGGCTCATGGTGAGGCGTCGGCAGAAGCTGTTTACATTATGTCATACGACTCACATTGAAGTTCCTATCGTCTTCCGCGGATATCCCACGACAGAAGACACACCGTAGTATCGCCGAGGACTAGCTACAGCTTGGATGCAGGCGCTTCGTACTGCAAGGATTCGTTAGTTAGCTGCAATAATGGGATTTCTACTGAACGAACCAGCTTGGCGAATTGAGATACTGCAAGGGTACAAGTGACTTAAGCATATTTTCCTGGAAGAACGCTAGAACAACGCCAGAAGGTCAAATGCTGCACGCACAGACAAGACCAACAACTACGAGAAACAACCCCTGAATAGTAATCCAGCAGCCTCATGACCGACTAAATGTGATAGTTTCCCATGTAGTTCTGTCTGTGCGATGGATCACATTTCTAGCCCGTTCAAAGAGAACGCCTTATTTGTTCAAATCACTGCCCCATACCCCGCATAACCCCGCCTCCAAGACTAGTTGGTTGTTTTTCACCGAGCATTTCCCCGTACCTTGCCTCACATCTCAGGTCAGGGCAAGCCACATTGAACAAAGTTGTTCCCCAGAGCCTCCACATCAACATGGATCATGCCCCATACAATATCAGCTCTGATATTCGAACTGACAGGGACGGAATGAAAATGACGCATCTCTGCTCTAGCATAGGCTCTTAGTAAGTTGCCGCTTCCTTGGCTAGTACGGGCGGCAGATCGCTACTCGAAGAGCCTCCCGTTGGAAGCAATCACTTTTACAATGCCCCCTGGCAGAATGAAAATGCCATACCCATAATGTAGGAATCATGATAGATGTCTTGAAGCTGTTTTAGTGGGTTGTCTGTAGAATCAATTGCTATGTTGGTGTTGTGTATTCTGCTAATGTTGCTCATTGAATCTCTAACATGAAGTATACGGGTGCATCGCGAGAGTTGTCTTCAAGACGAAGAAAAGAACAAGATAGACCAGGGATCGTACCGAGCATCCTACCGGTCGTCCCACCGAACCCTAGGCGATGCAGATGAGGAAATTCAAAAGCTAAGATGTGGATATTTGGATACTGAGTGGTGGACTTGAACGTAGGCCCTTTGGGTGAAAGCTCCGCGATTCGCTTAGCTATCCCCTGTCAGATATCATCACTGTTCCCTCAAACCTCAGTCAGAACCATACAGGCATGTATCTTACTAACATTCATGGCTTCTTCTTCTTCTTCTTCTTCTTCTTCTTCTTCTCCACCTTCAAGTCTTCTTCGATCGTGGGGTGGGGACATCCCCACTGGGGGATCATCCTATCCTTGTGAATGAAGTGAGCAAGATCACATATAAAGTAGGCAATATCGTCACCTTCATCGAAACCTCATCAAGGCTTCCTTCAGTTCACTCTCCTCAAGTCTAGATCTAAGTGCAGGTCTTTGTGCCAGCACTATTGTCACTTCTATCACGGGATGGCTCCCTCACTTTGCCGTACTTTGGTCTTCGGACTCTGCGCAATTCATACTGCTTTCGCTCAATCTTACACTGAGAAATACCGTCCCCAGTACCACTTCACCCCCAAGGACAATTGGATGAACGATCCAAATGGCTTGATATACTACAATGGTGTCTACCACATGTTCTATCAGTACAACCCAGGCGGCAACACCTGGGGAGCCATGTCCTGGGGCCATGCGACCAGTCGCGATATGACGCACTGGAAGCATCAGCCGGTCGCGCTCCAGGCACGTGGCTTTCCGAACAACATCACCGAGATGTTCTTCTCTGGCACGGTAGTTGCAGATGAAAAGAACACGAGTGGTTTCGGCAGCCGTAAGAAGGCGCCCTTGGTTGCCATGTACACGTCTTATGTAAGTACACAACATTCGCTTCGCTGGCGACACTGACGATTCTCTTTCTACAGTACCCAATGGCTCAGAATCTACCAAGTGGAAAATCCGTACAAAAGGACCAGCAGGCCCAGTCGATTGCCTACAGTCTCGATGAAGGCATGACATGGACGACGTACGATGCCGCGAATCCAGTCATCCTTGACCCACCTAGTCAATACGCGGACCAGGTCAAAGAGTTCCGTGACCCCTCCGTATTCTGGCATGATGCGACCAACAAGTGGGTTGCAGTTATCTCCTTGGCCAAGCTCCACAAGCTGCTTGTCTACACTTCGTCAGATCTCAAAACATGGAAGCATGAGAGCGAGTTCGGCCCGGTGAATGCTGTGGACGGCGTGTGGGAATGCCCCAGCTTCTTCCCGCTTGCTGTTGACGGAAACAAGAGGAACGTGAAGTGGGTCGCCCAGATTGGGCTTAATCCTGGCGGACCCCCTGGTACGATTGGCTCCGGAACACAGTACGTGGTGGGAAGCTTCGACGGAAAGAAGTTCACCGCAGATGCCAACAACGTTTACCCAGCTCCAACTACGCCCAAGGACAGCGTCATTTTCCAGGATTTCGAAAAGGCTGGAACCTTCACTGACCTCGGCTGGAATGCTACTGGAGACTTCGTCGGGGCAGGGCCAGCCAATGGACCTATCAATGGACAGCAGACAGTGACCGGATTTTCTGGTGAACGTTTCGTCAACACATTCTTGAACGGAGATGCCACTACCGGAGTTCTCACATCCCCGTCTTTCAAAGTTACGCAAAAGTACATCAACTTCCTCATCGGCGGAGGTTACAACCCGGGTAAGACATGCGTTAACCTAAAGGTTGACGGCAAGGTCGTACGCACCGCCACCGGCACAAACAACGAAAAGCTCTCCTGGACCGGCTGGGACGTCAGCGCCTTTCAGGGTCTGAACGCCGTCATCGAGATTGTCGATTCCCTTACCGGCGGCTGGGGCCACGTCAACGTCGACGAGATTTCCTTCTCGAACACGCTCGCCGAAACGCAAAAGGCAAACTGGATGGACTACGGCCCAGACTTCTACGCGGCTCTATCCTTCAACGGACTTCCCTCCGAAGATCGAATCGACATCGCGTGGATGAACAACTGGCAGTATGGTCAGGCCATCCCTACCAGCCCCTGGAGAAGCGCCATGTCCGTTCCACGAACGCTCTCTCTGAAGACTATCAACAGAAAGACCACACTGGTGCAAGAGCCCATCGACAACTTGAAGTCCCTCGAGAAGTCGCGCAAGTACTCTCGATCTTGGAACTCTGTGCAGCAGGGCGACCAGGAATTGGATCTCTCTGGAAAGGCAATGGACATCACCTTGACTTTCTCCGACCGTTCTCCTGCTAGTGGGAAATCGCCACAGTTCGGTCTTGTTCTCCGGGCTTCCGCTGACTCGAAGCAACAGACGCGTGTCGGTTACGACTTTACGACCAAGCAGCTGTTCGTGGATCGGTCGGCCTCTGGTGAAGTTGGATTCGACAGCACATTCCCTGCTGTATTCTACGCACCGTTGTCCCCAGGCAATGACGGTACGGTCACGATACGCATTCTTGTCGACTGGTCCTCCGTTGAGGTCTTTGGAGGGAAGGGAGAGACCTCTCTGACTGCTCAGATCTTCCCGAGCGACGATGCGGTTCGCGCTCGCATCTTCTCGACGGATGGTAACACCAGGAACGTCAAGATCAGCGCGAGTCAGATTGGTTCCGCGTGGAACTAAGGGAGTGTTGCCTTGATGAGTAAACTGGAAAACCTCGAGGCTGCACCGCGATTGGAACGGGTCGAACTTGTACATATGTGGTTGGAAAGATGGGTCCTTCAATTGAATGTAAATATTTGCGGAGCAGCAGAGCTTAGAACTAGAACGTTGTAGATAGTCTGATTATGAAATTCATGTTCATGCCGAAAACCACTTCGCCTATGTTTCTTTCTACTCCATGGTGAGTTCTTGCTAGATACGACGAACATTCTCGTGAATCTGTTAATTGCATTTCATGAGTCACCAGTGCAACACTCCAAACGGGCCGGTCGAAGCCGTAATCACCATAGAGCTGGCTTCGATAGAGCCCCAAAGCCCTTCTCATTCATTTCAGAACCACGGCTGGCAGAAGATGCGGCCAGCCTAGCTCCCGCCAATGTCAGGAATCAGGATGCGAATTGCGAACTACAATAGGTGCGTTCAAGACTCTTCAACTACGGGGTAAGTGCAAGGCTCGGAATGATCCATCCTAGCTGCATCCTGTACAGGCTATCGACAGCGGCTCATCCTGCCTAAGTCAAAGAAAGTTAGACAGTACTCGACAGCTGCTAGGAACGAGGTTATGGGGAAATGCAGTTGGTGAACCGGGATGGTGGACTCACCTGATCGAAAGGAAACCACAATTGTGGGTTTTGCTTGCTTGGGGCAACCATGCCAGAATTTGGCATTGGCCACGCAACGAACGACAGACTGGATCGCATACATCTTGCTACTACTTCTGAATGGTACTCGCATGTTCATTGGCATCGTGGTGACTGAACGTACTTGGACCTCACGTGATACGCAGTCTGGTGATCTTTCTGCCAATGTTAAGCCTTCTCTTATTCTTCAAGCCCCATCCTTGACAGTGCATCAGAGGCTCTATTGCACGATGCTTCCTTCAATGAATCCATGAAGGCCGCGGCATATGATTCGATGCGCTCACCGCCACAAAGTTCGCAGCCATGAATCGAGATTCATGCAGAGAACTCAATTTACGAGGTCGACTTCTATTCGGATTCTAGCGCTTACCCCAAAGAACCTTTAGGCTATGCATCTCGACGTCGGAGGGTCGGCTGCGCAAGAAATCTCGGGAGGAATTTTGAGTTTGCTTGTGATGTGATCGACAGATATCTCTCCAATTGGAGGGATGGCTTGGGGTTGCACGGACCATGTGTGAAGGCTGAATAGTAATCGGAAAACATGGAGAAAGAGGAGCTCCACGGGGATGGATGGCACTAGTCCAGGAACAGTATGTAGCTTTTCCGGCCAATGAGACTCGTTCTCTTGTTCCCTTGGCATGCATGCGACGGACTGTCTCTTTTTCCGGCGTGAAGAAATGTTGATTGAAACCATCCGCAAACATTTTATACAAGCAAAAATCTATGACCTGCGAATACTTATTCTGCTAATATTAGCAGCTGACAACAGTGAAATCATCGAGTATCCAGCCCATCGAAGGAGGGGAGCGCACCTCGAGTGCGACCATAACGATGACGAGAAATCAGAACATTGAAAGTGGTTCATATCTTGACCATTTGGATACCCGCAATTCGGTTCATCGTAAAGATTCTATGGAAAGTTTTGCTCAAGAACCAAAGAACATGTCCGGTGCAGTGGCATGAGCTGTGGAGAGCTTCACTGGCCGCGGTATTGCTAGCAAAACACTCTCTAGCCAGAGATTGGCATTGCTCTTCTGATGCCTTTGATGGTCTTCTCTTCGACAGAGCTCATGGTGATTTCTTATCGTTTTAGCAGATTAAGGTAACCTGAAAGAAGTGGTACCATTGCTTGTCATTGATTGCTTCTACTATAATTGTAGGTAAAGGCGTGCAATCACTGCCGTATTATTTGGCGACTCTTGAAGGCGTAGGCATGGTCATAGGACTTAGATTCTCCTCGCCAGTGACTCCACGGTGATTTTTTCCCACCCCGCGATTCGCGATTTCTCAAATCTGGATTGAAGCCACGCCTTCGGACTGATCCACGGGCTTGTAGTAGCAAATGAGAAACGAGCAGATTCATGGCTACCGTCTTCATCCCCCGTCTCCTCTCGATAATGTAAGTTTCGATTGGGTGGCGATAGATCTTTAGTATATGTTCACGGCACCGAGGCTGCGCTGAAGTTGGGATCAGTATTGTCTTGACAGAAGAGACAGAGGCCAATTTCTGCGGAAGCAGGAAGGCAGATCCAATATTTAGGCGATAATGTGGAACTTTCTGCTGGCGCAAAGTCTGTGGTTGAGACAAAGTAGATTGGCATCTGCTTTTCAAGTTTGAGGTCATGCATGGCAAAAATCCAAGCGAAGGTTGGGAAATTGAAGCATCAATGTGACCTCCTTGCAACATGCCGACTCAGTATACCAGATGGTGTTAATGAAGGTTTGCGTCTTGTCATGGTGTCTTTTGTTATCGCCTTGACAACATGCTGTCGTGCTAGTTCGGTCACTGTTCTCAGAACGTCTTGGATTAATGATTTACAACCTCACTACCAGCCAGTATATCAGAAACCTACGCTGTAATCAAGTGTGTTCTTACGTTTTTCACCATATGTCAAACGTTCTATGGGCGCGCAGGCTGGGAAAGATTATCCCATTGATGCAGTCTGGACGAGTAAATGGAGTTTATCGGTGGTAACCAGAGCATCAAGTTCGCGCGCGTAATCTCCAAGTCCGCATGGAGAGCCAAGATGACTTGTGGTATGGCACTGATTTCTATGAAGATGCCCAACGACAAGCGTTGTGGGAACATGCATGTTACTGGCCAACCGACGATCCCATATTTGAATGCTCGACGTGGAAAATGAGTATAGCGAAAGTGAGTAAATAAACGCACGATATGGCGATTGCTGTACTATGCTTGTTAAAACGAGACACATCCACCATTTGACTTTCCAGTAAGCCAGTCTAGATCAACTGGAAAGTAAGTCTACATCTCAAGACGACAGAAGTGACGGAATGCGCGAAGTCTTTTTGAACTATTTAGATATCTTCAAGATGCCTTCAGTGCCCTCATTAAATGAAGACGAATCGTAGCTCCGCACTGCACAAATCCATTGGTGGTATGCAAAAGAAATATCGATCAAATAGCAAACAGATTAACAACCAAAATTAGATTTTTATTTTTATTTTACAGCTCCCAGCGCATCGCGCGAGCTCTTATCTCGTATTTTTTCCTGCCGTCCAGTTCCGGGGTATAATGAGGGTGAAGGGACAGTCTGTATGCCCCATGAATCAAGATCCTTTTCGCAAAGGTACAAATCCAGGCTCAAGCGCATTGCGCGAGCTCTATCTACGTCTTTTTAAGATAGACTTCCAAACCAAAGGAAGAAGAACGAAACTCCGAAATACCCATATGTACTATTGCGCCGGCCCGAACGAAGAAGTAACGGAAAAGAAAAATAAACACTGAGGTGATATGGCGGTGGAGATTCTACAAACCACCCTTCTCGACGTCACCGCTGACACGGGGCATGGGCGTCTTTCCGTTCCCAATGAAACTTCCCGAGTCGCTCGAAGCAGCGTCGGTGGTAACGGCGATATCCCCGCCCTTCTTCTTCGGCATGATCTTACTGATGATTCGGTCGTTGAGCCTCGAGGCGGGTCGGTAGATCATCACGAAGGGGCGACCGAGGGTTTTGGCGATAACTTCGAACCAACGATCAGGGAAACATCGAACGGCGCAGCCCCAGGGGATGCACATGATAGCTATGACTACGCTGATGGCCCATTGGTTGCCGTTGATGCGGACGATGCTGAAGGCCGCGCCGCCGACGTAGGCGATGGCGGTTTGGCAGCCGACCATGATAATGTTGAGACCGATAAAGTAGTAATTCTTGTGGATGTTGACGAATATGTTGAGTTTGTTATCCAAGCGGCGGTTGTTGTACTGGTTGAAAATTTGTAGCCAGACAAACATGTTAAAGATCATGGAACGCATTTCTTTCTCGGGGTAAGGTAGGAATTGGGGACCGGCGAAATGGAGGACAAAGGTGGCGACGACTTGGTAGATGGCTTGGCCGATGATCATCTTCCACATGGTGATGGAGATGATAGACGCACTACGAGGTGTGGGAGGTCGATCCAGGATTTCGTTCGTAGGGAAATCGGTGGAGAGCGACAGGGCAGCGAGGGAATCCATGAAAAGATTGATCCAGAGGAGCTGCACGGCGGTAAGAACAGAGCGCATTTCGGGATCCTGAATAGCAGTGATAAAGGCGACAACCATGGCTGTAATGTTGACAGTGATCTGGAACTGTAGGAACTTCTGTACTGCATCATTGACGGAGCGACCCCACCTAACATGGTTAGCATAAGCTTTTCTTGATACATTACGAGAAACACTTACATGAGAGCAGTCAAGATCGATGCGAAGTTGTCGTCCATGAGAATGATGCTAGATGCCTCCTTGGCTACTTCAGTACCGGCAATGCCCATAGAAAAGCCAATGTCGGCTGCCTTGAGAGCTGGACCATCGTTGGTACCATCGCCAGTAACAGCAACAATACCACCGAGCTTGCGAAGCCGGGTAACTAAAATTCGCTTGTCCTCCGGTGATGAACGAGCAAGAACTTGAAGACGGGGTAGAATTGCATCCATGTCCGGTTCACTAAGCTTCCTGAATTCGGGTCCTTCCATAACGATTCCGTCGGTGTAGATGCCACAGTCAGTAGCGATCGCTTTAGCCGTGATGCTATTGTCTCCAGTGACCATGCGAACAATTACACCCGCGTGTGAGCATTTCGCTACAGCCTCTGGTACGCCTGGTCGAATGGGATCCTGGATACCAACAACACCCACGAAAGTCATGCCACCCAGAAGGGCACCCAAGTCCGCCGCCACAGATGGATCCTCTGCACTCTCGGCACCCTGAGGTGGCCACTGAGCAAAATCTTTGTAGATGATTCCAATAGTTCGGAGCGATTGTTTAGCGTACGAGTCAATGACATCGGCAATGCGGCCAGTATTTGCAGTGTCCATGTGGGTTTCGCCAGTCGCCAGAAGGATCTTAGACGAGTATGCAAGCAGAATCTCGGAGGCACCCTTGATAAGAAGTCGGTAAGATCCGTTGGGGAGCTTCATGACTGCACCCATACATTTGCGTCCGGAGTCGAAAGGAAGCATTTGAACCACAGTTTGGGATGTACGTTCTTGGGATAAAGAGCCCATGCCTAGTACAGTTTTGGCAAATCCTAACAAGGCTGTTTCAGTCTTAGAACCGACGAAACCAAATTCTCCCCCGTCCCCTTCGAATGCGGTAGAGTTGATAGCAATAGATTCAATGATAAGCCGGGTTCGCTCGTTGGAGAGTCGCTGTGCAAATTCGGTCGACCGATTATCCGCTGCGCCAGGATTCTTATCGTCGAAAGACTCATCGCCAAATGTACCAGTAACGACTGTCATCTTGTTTTGTGTCAAAGTTCCGGTCTTGTCGGAGCAGACTGTAGTTGCATTTCCCATAGTTTCGCAAGACTTGAGAACTCGGACCAGGTTGTTCATCTTCACCATTTGGCCTGTGGCGAAAGCAAGTGATAGCGTGATTGCTAGGGGAAGACCCTCCGGAACGGCAACAACAATAATCGTAACGGAGACAATGAGAATGTCCATGAATTGTGAAGCCTTCTCGGTGGAGTTGAGGGTGCTTCCATTGCTCCATTGGGCGGCGAGACGGAACAGCAAGATGAGGAGTAGCATAAACGAGGCAGCAGATGCGAGTTTTGCAATAGCTTTTGCCAGTCCGTCCAGCTTGACCTGTAGAGGGGTCGGCTCCACCTCTTGCCGCATTGCCATAAGGATCTTGCCATAGCTTGAGTTGACTCCTACGGAAGTGATCATGTAGGTGCCTATGCCTTCAAGGACCTTGCTGCCTGAAATGATGAAAGGGTCAAGATCCTTGGGGTCATTGTGGCCTCGCTCGAGTAAACGAAGAACTTGTTCGCCATTGGTCTTCTTCATTTGATCAGACTCTCCTGTCGCGGAGGATTCATCGCACTTGACATTGTGGCCAGAGATGAAGATTCCATCTGCGGGGATAAGATCACCAGGCTCGATGTGTAGAATGTCACCAACGAGAATGTCGTAGACGGAGATGGTGAAAGACTTTCCAGAACGTACGACTTTGACATCGCGGGCTTCCTTTTTGGCATTGAGCTTGACGAAGGCGCGTTCCTTGTTGTAATCATTGACGGCACCAACCAACACGACAACAACAATCGAGACACAAATAGCACATCCTTCAATCCAGTCAACTGAGGGGGGTGCTCCAGGACCATGGTCAACCCCGAAGGTCTCGTATAATCCAAGAGCAAGCGAGATAACAGCAGCGGCACTAAGCAGAATCAGGACGTTCTCTCTGTAGTACGCTTGCCACATGATCTTCAGGAAGGAGACCGGTTTCTTCGCTGGCAGGGTGTTTGTGCTATAGACCCGCTTTCGGTCATAGAACGCCTCTTTGGAGTGCGTACCAGTGGCGGGATCGGCATCCGTAACGTCTACATGACGAACCTCCACGGGACGAGGGAGGCCAGAGCCACCAGTTCTATGAAGCTTCTTGTATTGATTGGTGACCTCCTCGAAAGAAACAGTACCGGCCAGTTCTGTTTCTTCAATGCTTAGGCCTGCGTCGACGTCTGTGCGTAGACCAGTCTCCAGGCCGTGAAGTCCTCCAAGGGCGATAAAGGCAGCAAGTGATTTAGGATTCAGCATCTTGTTTAGTTGCCCTGGTGAGAAGGCAAACTTGTTGTTGGGAACAACAAAGTCCTCCTCAGTGCCAGGATCAGCTTTGAGAGCATCATCATGCCGTTGTGACTCAAGCGTGTAGCTGCTCACTGCACTGTGTGTTGATGCAGCTGCGGATGTACCTGGCGGCGCAAGTGTAGCTTCGCTCGGTGCGCGACTGCGGGCAAATGGGGTCTTCCCCGAGGCGCTACTGAGCGCGCTAGGTGATCGAGAGTGTGCATTTGAAGACCTCAATGTCCGTTCTGGGACCAGAGTAGACGGCGAGGCGCCTTCGGTTAACGTCGATAAGGTGTCGTTGGTATTCGATCTTGCAGGAGTTCGGGGGATATCGATCTGGATTTCTGGGAGAGGTGGAAGCGGGCTACTATCTTCCCGGCCAGAGGTATCGTTTGATGATGAAGCTGCCATGATCAACAGGCAGGGGTGAGTTTTTGCAAATAATAATTAGATTTAAGGTGTCATGCAAGTCTTGATTGGAATTGACAGTGCTTGCGTTTTGATAGAAGACGAGCTCAACTCGATGCACATTGAAACATTTGACAAAAGACATCTTGAGATATATATGAGCTCTCTCAGTAATGTTTAGATGTATTCTCCAGATGAGGATCATGTTGAAGCTCAGGATGTGTATGATGCGGGTGCGGAGGCCAAGTCCGCTTTCCACTCCTTGGCCATTCTGGGCCAAGTCAGGTGGTGTCGTCGAGAAGCGAGAAAAATCGCCGAAATGTTCGAGGCGTTCAATTGAAGAGCAAGACTATTGTAACCAAGACTTGAGGAGGCTGTGCTCGCTGAGACGTGTATTTATCCAGTGCGGAGTCGCGCCGCCTTCACCGCGAAGTAGCCGTGACAATGTAAGTTGAAAGGGCGAATCACAGATGTATGAAACGTGGTTGAATCACGTAAGAGGTCTAGTAGGAAAGATTAAGAGCGAAAAGGCTTGGACAAAAAGCTTGGAGAAAATGCTCGTTAACTTGAGGCCTCGTTTGTTCGAGAGCCCCCTTATGGTAGTCTGCAAAACAGAATAGAAGTACTACTGTTAACATTCAGGCACCTGGCAATCATTGCTCCTGGGTGAAATCGTGAATACTGGCTGCAATAGTCTTCGAAACCTCGACGATGATTGAGTATTTGGTTAATTCGTGATATCAAACTCAACCCAACTCAAGGTTTGATCGCATGAAAATAGGACCTTTGGGCGACGATGCTGGACGTCTCGATCTCAGCTGGCCGTCATGCCATTTATCGTTCTTGAAGACGAACAGTAGCAGGACTTACGCTATCATGCAGGACGACATCCGTGTTTGTCAATGGCAAATTGAGATCAATCGGTTGCGACACTTAATAAACCGCCATTCTGAGATGCATACATCACGGCAGTCATATCATGTCGCTTGCGAGATGTATGGAAGATTGTCAATGGCATAATGAAGTAGCGGATCAGGAGAAACATGCGTATCAAGATAATTCGGGGAGTGCAGGCAGAAATTTTGTATCAAAAGACCAGATTCCTCCCTTAAGACGGATAATGACGACCACCAAATTTGGCAAGCAAAGCGTATTTCGTAGGAATCGGGGATCAAGAATACAAGCATGAGGAGTAACGGTGACGGGGTGAATAACAATGACGGTGATGTTGGAAGGGTGAAGAATCAATGCAGCGAAGGGGAGATCTCCGTGGCGGAGCGCGCCCGATCGGTACTGTATTAGCATTGGTGGTACTTGTATCACACATACCAGGTCGACGAGGCCGACGAGAATGCTTATCAGAGAGAAGCAAAGAGCATCGCACCGCGGAGTGGACTCAGTGGAGTAGAGATAGACATCGTCAGGTGGAGTCTTTTTAGGAGGAAGAGACGAAGGGGGACTCCACTTTATCGTCAAGACTTGCCGCCTGTGTGAACGCCGAGTGGGGGGATGTCATGCAGGCGCGGAGGTGCGGTCCGCGTTTAAGGCGGGATGAGCTTGGTGGTCACGCCTGGGAACAGGATAATGAAAGAACACGGTGGTGAATTGGGCAATTCTGGGAGGATTTCGACTGCCGAAGGGGCAATTGGAGACGGCGAGGGACGCGATTCGATGCGAAAGCCGGTGGAGGAGGCAAACGGCCTAATAAAAGAAAGAGTGGGCGTTTTGCGAATCATGAGTAGAATTGGGATGTGAGAGGCGGGACTGGCCAATTCTGGAAGCGCCCGTACGGATTACACGTCGCATCCACATGCGTTCGAAAGGCTGTCTGGGGTCATGACTTGATCACAGACGTCGCAGGAAGCCTTGGTGAGGTGTAAAACGTCGCAAGGTGATGGTGACGAAGTTCAGGCGTTGATGAGGCTTTTCAACGCGTGTGTGAGGTTGTGAGGTTTTAGTGGGGGAAGAAGATGTGAGAGGATGCGTTTCGCGCATTCCCCGATTAGGAACTCCGACAGGGGCTAGCCGAGCCCTGACTAATCCTTGTCCGTCAATCATCATCGCCCTTTCACTCCGCCACCCCTTCTTGTATTGTATTATCTCCATCATCTCTAATATTCATCTTGTCCCTTTCGAACTTCCCCTCCCCGGTTCGTCACCCGTTTGGAGACTGGTATGTTATCATTCCCCTGTCCTGTTACCTTCAAGAGCTCTATTTTGCCCTCCCCCAGTCCCGTCACAAGTCTAGTCTGCTTTTCTCTCCCATCTCTCGGACTGTAAAACAATCACAAAACCTCACTCTCGCCGCTTTCCTCACAACCTGCAGGCCTCCTCGCGCTTCGCAATCTTCTTTCCTCACGGCGCTTCCATCGCATTTATTTTAGTAGCTCTTCTCAGTGCACAAGTACTGCTCGGATCTCCCTCATTCCGGCGCGGGATCCCAGACGTTTCCGCTCTTTCTTACGTCGCTCTTCTTCTCCATCCAATTTCTTTTTGCGAGAACTCAAAAGTCTCCTTCCTCTTACCACAGATTCCATGTGTCCATTCTGTAGGTTCAGAAAAGCCAAGCTTCTAATTGTTACCAAAGATCGCGGTGCACTGACATTGGGTTTCCAGCTACATCATTGCCTACGGGTGATGGACCCAATCGCTACTCGCCCTCCGCTGTAAAGGACTGGAACCCACGGAGGAAGTCTGTCTCTAATGCATGCGAACGCTGTCGTAGGCGGAAGATACGTTGTGATGGCGACACGTAAGTGCCGAACCTCTTTCTGCGCTGTTGATGTTACTATTGCTACTGCTATTGCTATTTGTCCCATTGCGTTGTTCTTGTTGTATTGGTATTACGACTATGTTCTATATACCCTCCCCGGCCTATATTCGCCTTTTGCGGCCTTGGCTATCGCTCCCACTTAAGCAATCATCCACTAACTGGCCCCTCGTCTCTCTTAGACCCTGTGCGACTTGTAATCGCTTCTCATTACCATGTGTACGGTCACAGAAAACGAAAGAAGTAGTAGCATCGTTAGTGATCCCCAGAAACATGAATCACCACCACGTGATCCATGGCCCACGATCTCTTGATCATCTAGCTAACGTCCATACGGTGAACATCAAGCGGCTCTAGAGAGTCGAATACACCAGCTAGAATCACAATTAGCTGCCCATGTCAGTGCACCCATGCACGGCATGGAGACAATCGACGAGTCCATCATTTCTGCGGCTCCCTTCGATTGGCAGAGTCCACCGCCCCAATTGACTGTGAATACACAAATGCCGGCTCCATACGCTCCAGGACAGAACATGGATCTTAGCGGCAGTTTCTCAGCTGGTAGCCTCCCTTCTATCAGTTTGACTGAATGTGAGCCTTTCCCCAATGTGGCCTCGCCGTGTGATTCACCAGTACCTTCATTATATTCAGGTACCACATCGTCCGCGATGTCTCAGACTTTCTCTCCGCCCCCCATTCCACACACGGCACCGTCATGGGAGTTCATGGCCCAGCACGGCCTGAAACCACAACTCACCACAAGCGGCGATCCCTCCCGCCGCACATCTATCTCATCCACGTCCCGAGATAGTGACGACCCTGCCGTCTCTCCCTACCCAGACGTTGAAAGCGATCTCGATCTACAGCCTATTGGTCCTCCGCCAGCCCTACCGAGAGCCGGCATCTTCGCATCACACGGCGAGAGCACGCCACCTCACCAGTCACGGGCAACCTCCGTCTTCAGTGACAGAAGCCGAGCCATCTCCGCGATTCCATTCCCGAGCCGTTTTGAAGCCGAGACATTGACCGCAGAGTTTGTATCTCTACTCGACTCCATGAAGGATCAAAAGCTGTACACCATGACTCCTGCTTTGTTCGCCAAGCTTTGCGACACGGTATATCCCGATCCGTCAAATCGGACCTCTTCCGTGGAGACCCTTGTCTCCGTTCCCATGGCCCGCTTCCACGTCTTTCTTTCAATGGCAATTGGCATGAAGCATCGCATCAGAGACTCCTTGGAACGGACCAATGCCCTACTAGATCGATGCTACGAACTTGCCATGCAGCAAGCTTCTTCTTCCCTCTTTTGGCAAGAGCAAGGTGGCGTCGAAGCTGCCCAATTGTTATCCATCTTTGCATCCATCAAAAGCACATCAAACGCGGACCCGAAACCCCTCCAGTCTTCCTTTTCTTGGTAACATTCAAAGCGTGAATGTTACTACTATTCCACTATCAATCTGAGAATCGCATCTGGGAAACGAGCAAGGTGACACTTCTCCCTTTCCCACCGGTAGCAGTATCGAAAGAAACCACGATTCGAGCGAGCGATCATCCAGTGCGTTCTCCGCAAACAAACCCCTGCGCGCGCAGGAACATCGACGTAACACCCGTCAGACGCATCATTGCGTACCTTCCACCATCCTTTCTGTCTTTTGCCCCCGTCTGTACATTCTGCCTCCCATTTTTTTCACCCCTTCACCCTCGTTAGATATCCACATTGGCTTTTGGATTACACTGTATATAACTGCGCATCCGAAGCATGCCTGCATGACAGCACGCGGAACGAAATTCTGCCACCAGCATCATCATAGACATCGATAGCGACGTCTATATCAACGACCACCTCACGACATATATACCAAGTACTTGCAATATAAAACAACTTGGATACCTCCAATTTTTGTCTGACTACGTGATCATTTTAAACTATTGTTGTCCGAGGTGTTCTTCTCTGTCGATCCTGTGTTGAGAGCATATTTGGGCTACTGAGACGTCGCTGACTGTCTGTATGACGCATAAACCGTCGCATCTACGCACCGATCTCTGTCTCAGACGGTGGAGCAGTATCATATACAAACTTGGCATTGGCAGAACAGAATTATAAGAGCGTGTTGGTGTAGATCTTGAATTTGACTAGATAAATAAACAATACCTAGCTACAGCAAAAAAATAAAACCTTCAACAACATACCAAGCCTAGGCTCATTGCGCCAGCACCCGCTAGTGACATCCGCACAATCCCGTAAATTTGGCAAATAAAAATAATAGCCAACTCAATCATCAATTGAATGAATTGGCAGTGCAAAAAAAGGGCAAAAAGAATGTTGATCAGAGTGGGACTCGAACCCACGCCACTTTCGTGACCAGGAAGATACATCGTATCACTACGCTAAGGAAACCTTAACCTGGCGCCATAACCGCTCGGCCATCTGACCTGTTTGATTTATAGAATGACGTTGATTTAGTCAAATTATATTGCGCTTCAAAATAGCAAACTTGAATGTGGAGAAAAGATGTTTTTCGCGATCTTAGTGAAGAGTCAAAATCAAGGGTGTTGTGGGAAGAAAATCCTCGCTAAAATAAGGTCCTGCATAGCTTCCGCCCCACAGTTACCGCAACCAGTAGCCGGCAAGACACACTTACAAAACAGAGATATGCTCTCTCGGGATGAACCCTTAAATACAAATATTATTTTTCGTGAAATAATTGGGGGCAAGCAAATAGTAACATCATTGCAATCTAAACAAAGAGAGTTGCATGGGTGGCAGGTAAATATTTCTGTCTTTTGTTGTTGATTGAAGACGATGGAGAATAATGGGGCTGAAAGACATCCACTGTAACACTATGAAAGTTTCTACCTGATCGATTTTAACTACAGATATTGCTGACGTATACGAAGACTCGCTATATATTATCTAATGGGCGTTACATGCATGTAGGCTGCCAGAAGCTCAAGATGCCTGGGTTGCAGAGGTTGTCTCTCGTCTTGCGAACCAGTATAGCGTGCCAAGGTCAAATGCTGACATCTGACGTCGGGCTTGGGGTTGCTACTTCTGTCGAACGAGTCCAAGACTATTCCATCAATTGAAGATTATTTTCCGATGACATTTCTATCCAAAGAATCCAATTAGTTCTAATGGCGCTTCAAGCCCCTCGTACTCTCGCAGGCGCATCTCCCAACCTGGTGATCTCCAAAACGCGTAGCAAACGGCAAAAGACATTTACGGGATGTTGGACATGCCGGAGTCGCCATGTGAAGTGTGATGAACAGCGTCCAGAATGCCGAAGATGTATCAACGGAAAATTCGATTGCGCTGGCTATGGTGTTCGTTTGACTTGGGTTGAGTCGTCTGAGAAAGCATCAACATCTCGGCGGCGTCGGCAACCGCATAAACGGGTCGACCAGACTCGGCGCAACGACAACCTGACGGATGATGTTCTTTCTACTGTGCACAATGGAACTGGCTCGCCGGCCGAAAACCTACCAGGCCAACAATTCCGGGTGGTGAACGGCGAAAGTGATGATATATTAAGCTCCAGCTCGTACGATACAACATCATTTCAGGATGCAATATCTGGCTTGTCGAATCGACCGCAAAGTATTACTTATAAAGATGCTTCGGTTTTATTATCCAATTCTTCACAACCTCCTTCAACGCAGAATAACTTTACGGAGGACTATGCTTCTCAAGATTGGCCGGACGGGCCACTAGACAGCCTATATCCTCACCATTTTGGGCCCTTTGATAAGCATGATCTTCTCTATGAATCTTCTTTATCTTTTAATATGAGCTGGCCGTCACTGAATCTAAATACCACATCTACATCAGCCCAACAGCGGGGTCTCATTCACTATTGGGTCACGCACCTTTGTGACAAGCTGATGCCGGTCCGAAATTCTACGAACCCATTCCTTTCGGTGGTTTCACCCATGGCGCTCGAAGGTAGTCGCATGAAAGGCGACAAGCCTAGTAGCGCCGTCGCTCTTTTCCATGCTGTGTGCGCCGCCTCCGCTACCCACCAAGCGAACATCAGAACTGATTCCACCGAAATGAGCAACCTGGCACTCGAGCATACTCGCATTAGTTTTCATCATTTGTCTAGAAGCATTCATTTGGACGATATGGACAACCGCATGGCAAGCCTTGGGACACTATGCATCTGGCTACTTACGCATTTCATAAGCGGAACCCCGGGAGCATGGAGGGATCTCGTTAAAGTTGCACGTAACCTTCTGGCAAATACTCCTTCGGAGACGTGGAAGTCATCAATATCGGCTGAGCTAACGTATCAATGCTACGCTGGATTCATTCCTTTGATCCAATCCCAATATCTTGGCTACATAGAGTACCCAAGCCCAATTGGAGCGGTGAAAATGGACCAAGACATTATGAAGAACCAAGCCATTTCAAACCGGTCACTGGAGATGATTTCCTCTTATAATACGAGACTACTGCAGGGTGTAAGCATCGATGCGGAGGAGTTGGATCGTCTCGAGATAGAATTCACACTCTCTGTCCCCCCACTCGACGAAAATGCGGATTTGAAGACAACGAATGGCGCAATCATACATCACCACAGCTACCTCTTCCATTTCGCTTGTCTCATATACTTCAAGTGTACTTCTGGTCGACGAGGACCTGAAGATGAGATACAGGATCTTGTCGCAAAGTGCATGGATCACATCGAACATCTAAATTCCATCCAGAAGGGGGCAAATTCGCGGACGTGGGTGTATGCCGTGGTGGCGTTTGAGGCGCAGAGACCTGAGCTACGGGCCAGGGCGCGAGAAGCTTTCGAATACCGGAAATCGCTGGCGTTTGCGACATTCGACATGCTACTCCGGGCAGCCGAAGAGATATGGAGAATACGTGACGAGGCTCCTCCGGGGGAGGGTTTGGAGCCGTGGCCAAAGATTTTGGCTGGATTGCCTCAGTTCGATGTTCTTTGGTATTGACATTTCGCAAAATTACCTGGAAGTCAAGTGTTCGCAGTAAAATTGAAAATGTTCTTGCAAATGTTCTTGCTCTACTACATAAAGTGACACTATTGTCTTCTAAACGCAAGATAATTCCTTATTGATGGACAACCATTGTAGGCGTCTTGAAACATGAAACCAGTTTCTTATTGTTGGCGGTGAAGGTATTGTCTCTTCACACAATAGAGGCGAAACAGTCACAATGGCCCCACATGTTCACCATCACTACTATTCAGTCTCCCACAACAATACAGCATCGATTCGTCCTCAGACTGCGCAGTTCTATAAAGCAGCCTTCCTGTCTCGATATCTACCAGACTTTCCTTACGCTGGACGAAACAACCTTACTCACACGCAACCAACGGCACTCGAACTGGACTTACACACACACATATCAAATCATCCTCCCGGCCATTTTTTCGCCTACAAAGCTTTCTTCTTTTCTTCCATATCAACATACACCAAAGATCATGGCTGGCTCCAGATCCATCAACGCGCTGGCCGCTACCACCACCAGACTGCCTTCGAACACCCCAGAGTACGGGGATATCGGCGAAGATGAGATCATTGAATCCATCGAAACACCTCCAACCCGACCTTCAGAGGACGAAAGGTCCTCTCCCTCAATCACTCCACCATCGAGGGGCCCCGTTTGGTCGATCGAAAGCAACGAAGAAGAGGTCCGCCACAAAGTGGCCTCTGAACTCACAATCATTGCCCACGTGGCCCTCCAAGAGGTTGAACAAGAGGTGGCCACCCGGGACGTTCCCACAAACAATGAAGGCCTCGTTCAACTTTCGCTCCCAGTCATCAAAATCATCCAACAGCATTCTGGAGAGCCTCTCATCTCTTTCCAAGCACAAGTTCTGGTGCACAAAATCATCAAGAAGAGGCACCAAATCCTAGCGAACATGGACGTCGCTTTCACGTTCAACGGCACGGCCGAGGAGCTCCGTGCAGAAGATGGTGCCTTGATGGCACTATGCGATGGTTTGATCATGGAGGTGATGGTCAGCTCGCTGGAGTCCAGCGAGAACGCGGAAGGGATTGCATCCGAGCTGGTCTTGGATTTGTTCGGCTTTTGATCACGGGTACGAGCTCACGAGCTCTCGGGCGCGACGGACCAGTCATTTCGTATCAGAGATGGCTTCGATTCTTGATAGAGTTCTAGTTTAAACCGCCTGCTTCAATCAATCACGTATTTGAGGTCCTTCGCTTTTAAGGACCTTTGACTGCTTTGATCATGGAGATATATCAGACTATGGTGATGCATTGCAACTTAGGAGATACATAGATCAAACAAGTTTCCTTTTTGAAATTCGACATGATTGTGTGTAGTAAGTTAGTGTGGAGAAAGAACGCGTTGAGTGGACTATGGGAGAGTTTAGGCCAGTCAACAGTACAGTGACTGTGTTGCATGTTTTCCACGACACACATCTGTGAAAGAAGGATTTGCAATAGGAAAAGATCTTCCATCAAAACTCTACGGTCTCATTTCCTGCGGTGAAGTGAAAGTACAAAGATTTTCACTTTCACCACCGAAATGCAAGCGAACAGTTTCACTTCAGTGAATCGCCTCGTTTCGGGTCATATTCACATTCAATTTGACTATATATACCCCCGTTTCTCCCGGCTTGATCTTCGATGTCTACTTCATATCTACACACCTTTTCTCTTGCACAATTCACAACTCGTTCAGTACACACACACATCAACACACACACACGCTCCATTCCTGCTACTTCAAGATGGTTTCCAAGCGTTCATCCAACAAACCCTCCATCAATATCTCCGATTGCGCACCTGATTCGTACTTTGCCGCCTGGGGTGGCACTGGACACTTTTCTCCGGTGGACGATGAGTTTCTCAAAAGCCCAGTGAAGCTGGCCAACGGAGTCGTCCGCTATCCAAAATTCATGATCACTACGCCCGCCCGCGAGCCCACTAAGTACGACGACATGGAGTGCCGCGAGATCATGACGGATACACTCATCAAGAGGCTCCAAATTCTTGTCACCGCCATCGACGAGGACTTGATGTTCGAGGAACAGATCGACGGGCTACTAGCCGCTGGATACTCTATTGGACTACGCAAGATTCGTCTCACAAAGAACGATCCTATCTACGAGACTCTCGCCAATCCGAACCACATCCTCCCTCTTTCACTTCGCGTCCAAGATCTCATTCGCCACGTCATGCGCATCGACAACGTCCTCACCGCGATGAAGAAGGAGGGCACTCGTCCCGACGACCAAGTCTTTCGAATCGCCCGATCGCTGTACTGCGAGCGCTGGGGTGAAGCTCAGACCTTGCTTGCCGAACAGCTTCCAAAGGAGCATGCCATGGGCCGGGCAGCACAGGCGATGAACAACGCCATCAAGCAGAAATTCGAAGATGGATATCAGAGCTCTTCTGCAGGTGATGTAGATGGAGAGTGCGAAACGGACAGCGACCCGGATATCTCCATGGAAGACGCGCCTGTCTTCTATTGATGGATGTTCTGGCTACGCTCTGTGGCAGGAACCACAAGAGCACGCAGCTATCATTGGAACAAGCATAGGTGATTTGGTTTCAGTATTCAGATGCGACAGAGTCAGGCAAGTTTGATGGGATTTTGTGCTAGGAATCATCATGTTTCCTCCAACATTGTTGGACCAGTGCATGTACTTGATAAAAGCTCTGCCTCGCACTCTATCATCGTTTGACTACAACACAAGGTTGGCCAAGCACTAGATATTGGATCACAGAGATTTTCCCCACGGGTTATTCAATTCAAAATTACATACACTTTTCCGAACATCCAAGGTGAATGGAACACTGTATATATGCCCTAATCAACTATGCCCGGAGGCAGGAAGGAAACGTAGTCAAGTGGTGCAGGCTCAATGCCATTAGGTTTACCCAAGATCCTCAATGTATCACCTCTAGTGACGTTTACACCTTTGAAAGTGATTCTCGTAGCAGTATGACCATCCAGATAGATGGAGGGCGCGTGCCCCAACTTGTCTTCTAGATCGCCAGCCCACTTTCCAACGGTGCGGTTATTGATGGAGACCTCATAGTCTGCCTTCCCTCCGTAAAGATCGTAGTAATTCACTGCAAGATCGTAGGTACCGGACGCAAAGGTAATGTTTGCCGTTGCCGTACCGGTGGTAGTGTTCGATGTTGTCACGATCGCGTTGTAGCCTGATGCGGTGTGGAAGGGGTTTACTCCATACGTCTTGTAGCCATTCAAGATCATTTTCTCAGCTTCGATCCGATAAGAATGGTTGCCAACCCTCTTGGCCTGATCCGGGATCTCAGAAAGATTGTAGTAGAACTGGTTGATCGAGTCCCTCCACACGAGTGCGTGGCCCGCTTGATAGACCTGCTTGAAAAGAACTTCTTCGTATCGCTCCTTGTCGACTTTTCCTTTCAATGACTCCCAAAGCTTGACAAAGGTCTGGGCGACAGCAGCACCCTCGTAATGCGCGTCATAGAAATGTTGTATGACAGTCTTTCCAGATTTGAGAACTTGGGTGTACGGCACATGATGAAACCAAAGGAGCAAGTTATCAGGCGTTGTTTCGATGTTCTCGAACTGGCTAGCGATTTGTGGGGGATATTGCCCAGCATTCCCCGTTCCATTCTTGACTGTGCGATCCATGCCAATGGTGTGCTTGTTTGCACGCGTCCATTGTCCCCAGCCATTGTTATCCTGACTTGCTGGATTTGGTCCGTAATGAGTGTACAAAATATCGGTCAAGGTTTGTATACCGAGATTACCTGTGTAGTTCTCGTATACAGGCCACGATTTCATTGACATCTCTGTTATCACGTCGATAACTTTGGGGTCGGAGCTAAAAGTGAGTCGAATCCAATCTTGGAGTATGTCTTGAGGTTCTAGGCTAGGATTCCAGGCCAACATGCCGTATGCATAGAGATTCTAAGCTAATTAGCCAGGGAGAGCTTACAGAATTGTAATTGTACTTACAGACATGGCGAGGTGACTACCTAGCCAGTTGTTCTCGGAGCCAACGTTTACAACGCCAGCAAAACCTCCAAGTGGGCGTCCGAATCTCTCGCTCGAAACAATGTCCTTGACTTTAGATGGGCGGTCATCTGCGCGGAGGTCGTACTCTAAAATCTCTTTCCACAATGGACCAAGGTAAACCAGATGATCTTGGTGACCGAGATATTCCTGAGTGATTTGAAGCTCGATTGCGACATTCGTTTTTCGCAAAGTGGAGAACAGTGGCGACGGCGGTTCGCGCACCTGAAAATCGATGGGGCCATACTTGATCTGAACAACCACATTGTCATCAAACTTCCCATCGAGTGGCTTGAAGAAGTCAACCGCGGCGTTGGCTCGGTCGTTCTTCCAATTATCTGGACTAATGTGGTGATCGTACACAAAGGCTCGAAACATGACAATTCCACCATGGGGTTTAACAGCTTTGGCAAACAGATTGGCGCCATCCGCGAGTGTGCGATTGTATGTCAGGGGACCGGGTTGACCTTCACTATTGGCCTTCACAAGGTATCCAGCTAGGTCAGGAACGCTTGCATATAGAGCATCTGTGATGTTTGACCACCAAGAGATGACTTTTGGGTCAAGCGGATCAAAAGTATTCAAGCCACCTATTATTTGTGGCGACGCAAAGTTGAGAGAAATACCAAGTCTAACGCCGTATGGTCTGAAGGTGTTGGCAATGCTGCCCAAGCCTTGGATATTTTCCGGGCTTAGTAAACTAGCATTCGCGTTTACGTTGTTGATGACGATACCATTGATACCGACTGAAGCGAGCAGGCGAGCATAGTCGGTAAGACGAAATAAATTTGTGGCCCTGTGCCCGTCTTGGAAGAACAATGAAGTCCCAGCATAGCCGCGCTCGATGGTTCCATCTAAGTTGTCCCATTCATTTGACCAGCGGATAGGGGCATGCGGATTAGACACATGAGAAGTTGGAGCAAAGTTGCCTTGCCCAATACGTCGGAGGAAGTCGAATGCACCGTACAGAGCACCACGTTGATTCTGCCCGACGATTACAATATCGCGACCCTCTGTGCTCAGATAGTATCCATCCTCTTCAAGCTCTCCCTCTTCCTCAAAATCACCGTATACCAATTTATATGCTTCAGCCGTGCCGACTATGATGGCAGGAGAACCCGTTGCTGTTTCGTTGATGTCGACTCGTTTTCCCAAGATACCTCTGATGCCTTGTTGAAGTTCTCGGCCGGCAGTACTTACGGGTCCATTTCTTGTGGCATTCAAGAGAACAATTGAGGATGGTAGTGATGAATAATTCCCAGATGATGCGACTGGCGCATACCTTAACCATGCCCGGTAGCCATCCTCGGCTGCGACAATTCCTAAGAGAAGCCAGACAATGGTAACAAAACTGATCATGATGTAGTGTGCGGAGGAGAAAGGCCCTAGTGAAGAGAGGAAACAGAGGGCCGCCACCCCTGATATATACCTATTTCTCCTGGCAGCATATATACCGTAATTGGAGGAATATTAGAAGATATACAGACTCTCTACTGACGCTATTGATATGGCCGAGCGTGAGCCTTCATTGGTACCCTCAATTCAGCCTAATCTGACGCAGCTAGCTATATGATATTCCGAACATCCACCGAAAATGTATAGTAGCCGCAAACGGCAGTGAGCTCGCGGGAAAACATTTCCATGTCTCCAGCAGGCAAGAAGTACAACGAAAGATTGATGTTCTCCAGTGGTCGAAGATCGGGTCTGGGGTGCAGGCCACATTATGCGCTAACGACCTATTTGGCCTAGTGCACCATACAGGTGACAGTTGCTATCGATGGCAGGCTTTCTATACACACCTCGTCTTACATTAGTTCCCATGTTCTCAAGAACTCGTTACAATGCACTACGTGGTGTACGAAGTCAGTTGCGGAATGTCTCGAAAACAACTCGTGAGACCAGCAGAGTGACTCGTTTACCTCTTCCGCAGCCCCCACCTGCTAGGGTTCGATCTCACTGTTACACGGTATTCTCAAACGCGATACATACCTCTACAATTCATTGTGACAACCCCAAAGAGAATCTTGGAAATACTCCTGTAGACCCAAAATCACTTGTTTGCAAGCGATGCTGGGATTCTTGCTTCAATACGAAAAAATGGGAGGACGTCTGTTTAGGACACGTGCATAAGCAAGATGGAGTTCGTGACAAAGGCATCCATTATGTCGCATCCATTCGAGAGATAAAGCAATCATCCAGTGAAGATTGCGTCTTCTGCTCCTTTCTTTGGTCGTACCTTGATGAATGCGACGAGTCTGATAAAATGGATGTACGTTATCAGGCTAGACTCTATCATAACGAGTGGAATCCCGGCACAACGACACCTGAATTGTCTTCTTCGTGGTATTTTCAGCTCGATCCGTTAGACCCATCCTCAAGACTGGGCAGCTGGGCTCTGAGGTTGAGCTCTTATACGACTGCGGACGACAAAGCCTCCGCCTTCATCAACGCTAGACCCATCCGAGGAGATGTGTTCTCTGACGACGCAAAATCTCAAATGCGAAAATGGATTCACGAATGTTCGGAACACACTTGCTGTTCTCCACAGCAAGACGTCCAATTACCATCACGAGTCATAGATTTACGACCGAAAGAGGACCCGGAAACACCACGTCTAATCCAGACAACAACTGGAATGCAAGGCCAATATGCAATATTGGTATACTGTTGGGGGAATGATGCAAAGAATCTGCTCACATCTTCCAATATTTCTGAATATCTAAAAGGCATCGACATCAGTCAGCTACCTCAGACTATACAAGACGCCATCGAAGTTGCTCGGTCAATATCCGTCCCATACTTGTGGGTCGATGCGCTCTGTATCATGCAAGATTCAGCAGAGGACAAAGAGAAGGAGTTCGCAATGATGGAAGACATCTATAGGAACTCCTTAGTCGCAATCGTGGCTGCTTCGTCAGCCAGCGCATCTGAAGGCTTTCTAAAGAATCGACCAACTGTTTTGATGGGCCCAATGCCGTGTAATCTCACAGATCGCACATCATGGCCCATACCGTGTCGCCTCAGCGAGTCCGAGTTCGGCACAATGCATCTACAATGCCTGGACTGTTCGACAGATTACAGAGAAGATGCAGAGAACATCAACCAGCGAGCATGGGTAAGTGCTACCAACGAGTCTATCTCAACTGTAAAGAGCGGCATGGCTCACGTAACCTTCAGACTCTTCAGGAGCAGATACTACCGAAACGCTTCTTGATATTTTCTCGCCACACTCTCCAATGGCGATGCAGCCCAACCTTGGGCACGAAGAACTTCGGAGACTCCATTCATTTCGAATATGGCGCAGATGACGAAAGTTCTGCGACGAGTCTGCGCGAACTGAGTCGAGAACATCGTAACCGCTTCGACGCACTAGAACGATGGGTGAAAGTTGTCTACAAATCCACTAACCGAAAGTTGACTTTGCCTAGCGACAAGCTACCAGCTCTGGCGACACTTGCAAAGACCTACTCCCCCTACCTGGGTAACTACTACGCAGGGATGTGGGAATACAACTTGTTATGGCAGATGCGATGGACAACCTCAAAGTACGAGGCGCGTGAAGCTAAAGCGCCAAGCTCATATCGCGCGCCATCGTGGTCGTGGACATCGTTGGACAACATTTATTCATGCTCATTGGACTATATGGATGAATCCGAGCTTGATACCCGGACACCTAAATGTGAATTGGTCGAGGTGAACACAACACTTAAGGACTCTGAACGACCATTCGGAGAGGTGACAGATGGTCACATCATTTTGAAGGGGAAACTGCGGGACGGTTGGCTTATCCCGTCACCGCATTCTTATCGCGGGCCACGGACCGTTGTTTGGTTCAAGGATGACGATACGTCACTACAAAGCGCACAAGCAAAGTATAATGCGTGGGCCAGCCAAGAAGAGTATCTTGAGGTCGACAAATATGATGGGAAGGAGTGGATTGATGGCCCCACTCCATGGACGTGTGCGCTTCTGGATCTGAGAGGCGATCACGCTCCCCGGATAGTGACGTGCTTGCCATTGTTCGACGATTTTGGTTTGCTGCTCGAGAAGACGGAAAATGGAAGTTATAAACGCATAGGTTTCTTTGAAAAGTCCTATGATGTGAACTTTTGGGAACAGGAATTCGAGGATATCACTGACACATCAACCGTCAAAATCATCTGAGACGCGAAGCAGTAAGTAGGAGCAGTTTTTCATGTAAGATATTGTATCATTGAAGCTTCCCTGTGTGCTGTTACTTCCAACTCCATTTCCAATGTAATTACATTAGCATCTCCGAATCCAGCACAAAGTATTACACTCCACCATTGCTCCTCGTTCCAATTATACCCGACTCCCCTTGCAACAACTCGTGACGACAGACCGTTGCCTCAGATGCCCACTCAGTGCACTTCGATAGCGCACCGCAGACATATCATCAGCAAACAAGGAATTACTTCTGTTCCTTTCCATTTTTGTCAAGTCTCGCCATGTTGTACGCCTGAACCTGCTGAAACCTCCTCTGCATCAGCGTTCCCCCAGCCGGACTACCGATCCTCGGAAACATATGTGAGTTGTAAGCAGGCAAGGTCGGAGCCGGCGTGAACTCTCCAGTATTCATTCCCCTTCCACCCAGCCCGGCGAAGCCGCGTTCGACCGAGCCCGTCGATTGTACGGAGGCGGGTGACGCAAGCGGGGCATCAATTTTCTCGTTCGCCAGGGATTCGGTGGAGTTCTCGCGAGACAAGGTGACGGCGGCCCGGATGTTCTCCTTCGAGATGATGCGAGGTCCCATGAGGCTTTCCGCGGCTTCGGAGCGGAGTTGCTGGGAGCGAGAGCCATTGACGTGGCCTTTGATGCTGCTGTAACGCTTGGGGTTCTTGGGTGGGATTGGGGGTGGGGGAGTGTTTTCGTAGGCTGCGAGTATGCTGTCGCCGCGAGATGAAGACCGCTCTACTACGGGATGGTATCGGCGCGGAGTCTCTTTCCTGCCAGTGTGGCTTGGGCTTGGGATACGGGTTGCGCGCTTTCGAGGGTTTTCGAGCTGAATGGGTTCATTCAGAGGCGTGGGCGTGGGCGAGGTAAGTGAAGGACTGTCTCCATAACCGGTACCTTCATAGCTTGGGACGCGAGCTGTAGCGATGGTGTCACCTTTGTTGCCAATGCGACCTTTGTTCTGTGGAGTTGTCTGCTCTGGCTCCTTGCTGCCGCGTTGACTGTGTACACGAACTGGGCCAGAGCTAGGTGTGTGGTCTGTCTTAGCCAGCCAGTTCTGTGCCCTGGAGCCCTCGGGTTGGTCGGGCGACGAATATGGGGAAGCATATGCTGCAGGGTTTCCGTTGTATGGTTCAGTGCTCATTTTCTCAGTCCCCTTGGTAGATGAATAAGACTCGTATTCGAAAGGGTTGGACTCTCGAATGGTGGAGTAAAGCCCATCTGACTCCCGCCGCTTCATGTTCTTCCGTGGTGTTGCGTGAGATGAAGATGGCTTCAACTTAGAGGACTCCGCGCGCTCCGGCGAACCATCGTTGTAAGGCTGGTCACTTGTGTCGACACTGTTATGTGCGGCGTCCTTGGATTTCGCGGGTGATAGATCGAAATTGAATTTTCCGAGAGGCGAGCTTGGTGCCCTATGTTACGGTCAGTGAGAACGAAGTATATAAAAACAGGATATACTCACATGGCCTCATATCCGCCTTCGAGATCTTCCAAAGTCCTTCTATGATGCGCCCGCTCCCTCTGATCCTTCACCCAGTCCTTAAGGCTGACCTTCACATTTGGTCGCTCAACCATAAAACCATATTGCGGATATGCAAGCTTGAGCTCCCTCTCATCCTCTGCCCAGAAGGTCTTTGGGGGCTTCGACTTCCGGCGCAAGACCTTCGTGATTGGGTCGAGATCACTGGTACGCACAGTTTGGTTGCTGCTTGGCGCAGTGAGGTACGTCCGTCGAGCGGACGACTCCACATTACCAGTAGGAAAAGCTAGCGGGCTCGGTGAGAGACTTTCAACGAGCTTTGCGAAGCGGCCGTAGTGATAACGTCCGCGAACACTATAGTCATTGCGGACAGCATTTACGATCGGTAGTATGGCTTTCTCCCAGGCGCTGCACGGATCACGATATTCGAAATACTTGAAGCCGTAAGGATTCGACTTCTTGCCCACCTTGAAGGTCTGCAGAAGCCAGACGTAGAGAAGTTTCTCGTGCTCTTCGGCACGCCAGAGTGACTTGTTGATGACACCGTACTTGCTAGAGTCCGTAGTGAAGTCGACAGAGAAGGGATCGGAAAGCGGTTCGTAGCGCTTCTCGCCCTCGTCGAAGTAGGTGTAGAAGAGCAAAACATCTCGGTTAGTGACGTTACCTTTACCTTCGGCAGGTGGCATAACACCTTTCTGCAAGAGCAGGAAGGTATCACGAAAGCTAGTCCATGGGCGAAGGAACGCGTCAGTGTTGAGGAACCTTTCCTCAAGCTCAGAGAGGCTCTGCAGCTCAAGGATGGCCAGCGCATCACGCAGCTCGGGATCCATCTTGTCCTTGGTTGGGGATAGAAATTGCATGAACGTGGACGAAGTGGAATATCGGCGAGAGCTGGCTCTGCGCAAAGAGGTGAGAGAGCGACGCAATGGGTTGTCGATTAGGGCCGTAAGTCGCTTTGTGGATTTGGCCTGCGAGGGGCTTTCACTAAAAGTTGAAGACATTGTTAGCATTCATTTGTATAGCATAAAACTGATTCGTGGGTTGTGATTGACTTCACTCGAGCGGTGTCAAGTGTTGGGTGGGAGTCAGTGTTGTGGGTGAGGTTGTTGTAAACGTACGTGTGTTGTCACTAACAGTGAAGGCGTCGTGACAAAAATCACCTTCTACTAAAAATTTTGTTTTGTCCACGGGTATGTTGTGTTCTTAGCGCTGCTCTTCTATTGCAAGAATCACTTCACTATGAGAAGGGCAAACAGACATATATGCTCTCATTCGTCCACAACAGAGGCGCATTGAGTGATTCTTTTGCTACTATGGCAACATTCACTGCAATTCCGTTATCTCATCCATCTTCAGACACCTCGTAGACACAGCCTGGCACATAATATATGCTCTTGATGCCTGTGTCGTCTAGATATTTCTTCAGACAAAGTTGTTGATCACTGACCATCCTCCAGCATTTGTGGCATGGGTAGCAAATGGAAAGTAGACAGAGCAAGTAAAGCAGGACAGCCCAGTCCGAGTAGCAGGAAATCAGCAGTCAGATGTGTCGCATTAACCTGTAATTTCCAATCAATTTTGAACAACGAGGATCCCAAAGCAGATTTCTTGTCATTTATTCGTTGATAAAAATGGGTGTCAGTTAACCTAAATCTTTCGGCATAAAAATTACTCAAAACAGACACAACAAAACCTGGAAAGAAAGTCTATATGGACAAAACGTCACGTCTTGAACCACCATCATTAATTTCAACATTTCAATACTAAACCTAAGACACGTAAAATTATCATCGAATACATTTCGTATCGTCATCCAAAGATATCTAGAAGCCAATCCATTGCACATCGTATTAATCACATCAATCCTCCAATGACCAAATCGCAAACAGTGCCAAAATCACAACTCCCATTCTCTTCGCCACACAATAACTCAATACCCTAACAAGAGCTCTCAGAAAGACATCTCGCGAAGATAGCCCTTTCGCAGACATGTATTCACATTTTCGAGAACTTCCGCTCCAGCAACGTCCATGCTTCATCCAGAACGCTTGCCGGAAACGGCATACTTCCAACATATAGCTAGGTATAAGAAAATTAAGAACACGTGATGTTGGACCTACCTGAAGATCTAACTGACAGGTTGGATGCTGTGCGATTCTTATGGATGCAAGAGTGGGCACGTCAAAGCTGATAGCAAGACGATGGGATTCATGCGAGGAGAGCCAATAGTGAAAGGCGGAGCACAATAAGATGCAGCGTGAGTAAAAGGACTGGTGCTCTTAGACAAAGTTTTGGAACTTATATCAAATAATACTTTTGAAGACATCTCATCTTGTGGAACGAACAAAATGCGGGATGGTGCTGTGGGATGAACCATTGCGTTGCCCTACCAGAAGCGTGGTTTAGAGAACACGGTAAATTTAAGTTTGTGCCAATGCAATCAGAGTGGAATATTCTTATGTGTGAAAGGAACGACCGTGAGTGCATTGAAGTCAGTAAGACCAAAAGTCGGGACAGAATGCAATTCGCGATCGTATGCGAGTACCAATCGCTGCTGATAGTTATGCGTTCTATGCACGATAGTTAGATAACAATTGAGAACAGAGCCTACAAAGACGTCCGCATTATCTTACGTACCTACTTCCCAGAGGAAAGCGAAAAGAAAACAAAACATCGTTCATGCAGATAGCACGACTCGTTATCATTGTCATTCTATTTCCATTGCGCTAATTACTTCCCTCCAACAAGAAGCACAATCTTCGGGGTTTCCGTCGCATCTTATGCCTGCTTGACAATGGCGGCGGGCGGGTATCATGCATTGTGCTTCGGCGTGCGTCTGCAGGGTTTACTCACCGTTGCGCTGGTCTGCTGCTGGGCGAGAGCTTAACTCGCGTTGGGATGCATAGTCCGGTGAGAGAATTCCGGAATCTTGGTTACTAGGAGAGGGTTATGTAGCAAGATAACTTATTATTAGTTATTGGATCGCGATTGGAGATGTGAGAAATGGAAACTGGGAATTGAGACGTGAACGCAAGCGGATGACGACATTGCGCGATGGGACTTTTGAAGTCGCTATCTCAATCACGACTTCAATGGTCCTGTATGCGCGATGTGGTCATACGACGAGGCAGAAGAGTAAGTCGGTTAGAATGTGAGGACTACGTGCGTAAATGTCGTGATGCGCGAAGGAACAAGATGCTGTTACTGCTGATTGTTCCTACGCAATACACGGTTGTACTGTACCTGCTGTCAAGTGCCGCTTATTCAGTGTGGGTCAGGCCCGGGTCGGCGCCATTACCGACACTTGCGAGTAGTTACCTGCCCGTTCCCATACACAATCCGATTATTTCGATCGACGGAAACAAAAGGGGACGTGCAACCACCCACAATTGATAACCAGTATGGGGCAGTAGCCGTGCAGGGATGAGACGGGACTGATTGTTCCTTATGGAAAACGGGCTGGGCTGCTGGTTGGCCATCTCGCTCTCGAACTGACCAGCTACGACGGTAATAGTGTGTGGAAGGTTCGATGGGATGTGAGAGGCAGGCAAATTACTCTGTTCGGAGGCTGGCAGCATGTTAATGAGAACGAGATTGCGGACAGGCGACCGAGACTGGAGAATGGCTGTTCGTTGGTGGTTTGGGTTGGTGATGACCAGGGCAGCGAAGCCACAGACCAGGTACTCCAGGTAAACCCTACAGTTCAATCGTATTGAGTGATGAGGATTGAGGGGTTGCATAATTCCTGCTGTGCCACCGCAAAGAATGAAAAATATGCGTCAATGACGCTTGATGATGATGTGACGACTCACAAGAAGGAAGAAGAAAAGCCTCAAAGCGGAGGCAAAGTCGAGCTTGGTCACGGAGTACTGACTTGTTCCAATGCGCAACTGCTTGCTCTTTCGATAGTCGATAGTGGTGAGGAACTGTGCTGTGCTGTGCCCATCATTACAACCGTGCCTGATAGCCAGCCGACGTCCAGTTCCAATGTCTCCATAAGCCGGGCTGGCAGCGCTGCATTGGTATTGCTCTTCGTAATTCCTCCAGAATGCGATATCGAGCTGCCTACCCCGGAAAAAGGTGGCATTGCTTTCCAACTCTTTCCAATGACCGGCGTGCTTGGCGAATGGCGAACGAACCCCAGTACATACAACTTGCAAAGAGGTAATTTCACCATTTCCGTGCAGGTACACATACAATAAGCTCCAAGCACGTGAGATCGCACCCTGTCGAACATACGAGGTAGGGCCAAGATGGTTAAATCATCGATCCATAGCGCCGCACGGGACTGCAAATACGAGCACGAGCAAACTCCTTCTGTAGGTTGAGGCCGAGGTGTCTCCAAAGCTTGATACCGGTTCGGGAAGGAGACTTTCGCCCCCATCAGTCTACCAACCTGATCCTTACCAAATAACGGGATCAAGGCAGGGCTGGAATAATGATGCTGCAAGCCGTCCATGGGTAGCACCGTAGCACCAATGACGCGAGCCACTCTGCCAAAGGTACTCGATGCTACAAATACCTCGATGCCTGGTCCAGCTCCAGGGTTCAAGCTGTCCCTAAGCTCGCCTCAAGCTCCTTGCTTCTCCAAACACCCTACAAGTAATTTGTAGCTTGAGCTCAAGAAAAAGCTTCCATTGGCACTGTAAAAGTCCGTTGAAGCTTCAATCGTTCAATATGCGCTTTAGCTTGACCTTTGCGACGGCATTGGCCGCCTCTGGCGCCCTTGCGATCACCCCAGAGTAAGTTTCGAGCTTTGGTATCTTTGCGGAGGTCAAGCTTCAGAAGGAACAATATGTGCTGACAGGTCCTCAGGCAGCTGATCGGTGCCCCAAGGCGTGGTGCAGCAGTGCCCAGCCCCAATGGCAAGGTTGCTCTCTTCGACGAGTCCCAGTACTCTTTCGAAGAGGAAGGCAGGACTGTCGCCTGGAAGCTCCTCAACTTGGAGACTGGAGAGATCAAAGAGTCCGGTTTCAACACAAGCGAGATCAACGAGATCGTTTGGATTCCTGGCTCAGAGACTGGAATCGTTTACATCAACGGAACCAACGAGAACATTCCTGGAGGTGTGAGCATCTGGGTCGGAGACATCAACGATCCCTCAGGCAGGTAAGCATCCTCCTCTATGCCCGTCGTATGGCACAATCTGCGGGACGTTTATTGACAGAGGCACAGCGAACTCGTTGCTGAGCTGAACGCACCTTTCTCCGGTTTGAAGGTTGCAAACAGCACTTCCGGCGACTTGAAGTTCCTCGTCAACGCCCTCGCCTACCCCAATGGCACCGCCTTCAACCCAGAGTTTGCAGCAACCCCCAAGCACACTGGACGTCTCTACGAGAACATCTACCCCAGGCACTGGGACCACTGGTTGACCAAGGAGCGATACGCCGTTTTCGCTGGTACCCTCCAGTCCAAGTCCAAGTATAGCTTGGCCGACAACAGCCTCCGCAACATCCTTCAGGGCATTGAGTACACTGCTACCAGGCCCGAGACCCCCATCCAGCCCTTCGGTGGCAGCGGCGATTATGATATCTCTCCCGACGGTGAGACCTACGCCTTCATCACCAAGGCACCTCACCTGAACAAGGCCAACTACACCGCCAGCTACGTCTACGTCGGCCCTATTGACGGTTCTGCCAACGCTACCGCCTTCAACGGCCCCGACTCCGAGGCCTCCAAGGCTGGCCACAAGGGTGCTTCTGGCTCCCCAACCTTTTCCCCTGATAGCAAGAAGCTCGCCTACGTCCAGCAAGACGAGGACTACTACGAGTCCGACCGTTGGCAGTTGTACGTTGTCGACGTCAAGAACGACGGCGGCAAGGTCTCCGTCAGCAACCTCAAGGAGGCCTCCAAGTCCTGGGACAGGTCCGTGTCTGCCATCAAGTGGGCTCCCGACAGCAAGTCCATCTTCGTCGACGGCGAGGACTACGGCCGCGTTCGTGCTTTCAACTTCCCTCTCTCTGAGAAGGAGGACTTCCAGCCCAAGAACTTGACCGGCACCACCTCCATCACCGACTTCTTCGTCCTTCCCGACTCCTCCCTCCTCGTTTCCGCCTCCGCTGCTTGGACCTCAAGGGACTTCTACACTCTTTCCCCCAAGGGCGAGCAGAAGGTCCTTTTCTCCGCCACTGAGAAGGATGAGGAGCTCTCTGGTCTCGGTCCTCACACCTACTCCGAGTTCTTCTACAAGGGCGCTGCCGGCGTCGAGCTCCACGCGCTTGTCGTCAAGCCTTCCAACTTCAAGGAGGGCGAGAAGTACCCTCTTGCCTACGTTATCCACGGTGGACCTCAAGGTGCCAACAACAACGCCTGGAGCACCCGCTGGAACTACCAGGTCTGGGCTGACCAGGGCTACGTTGTCGTTGCCCCCAACCCAACTGGATCCACTGGATTCGGACAGAAGTTGACCGACGACATTCAGGGCGAGTGGGGATCCCTCCCCTACGAGGACGTTGTCTTCGGCTGGCAATACATCAAGAAGAACCTCGACTTTGTCGACACCGAGAACGGCATCTGCGCTGGTGCCAGTTACGGAGGTTTCATGACCAACTGGATCCAGAGCCACGAGCTCGGCCGCGAGTTCAAGGCTCTCGTCACCCACGACGGTATCTCCCAGACTCTCGGCGCCTACGCGTCCGAGGAGCTCTGGTTCATCCGCCACGACTTCAACGGCACCATCTACGACGAGGGCTCCACCTACAAGAAGTTCAACCCCTTCGACCACATTGCCAACTGGAGCACCCCGCAGTTCGTCATCCACAACACCCTCGACTACCGTCTCCCCGAGTCCGACGGCCTCGCCCTCTTCAACGTTCTCCAGTCCAAGGGCGTCCCATCGCGCTTCTTGAACTTCCCCGACGAGAACCACTGGGTCTTGAACCCCCAGAACTCGCTCTTCTGGCACCAGGAGATCTTCAACTGGATCAACCACTACTCCAAGGGCGAGCCTCTCGACACCGTCCCGATCGGCGAGTAGACAGGGCAAGGATGTGCGATGTGGGGCGAGGGTTCGACAGGGAAGATTCCGTACGGCATCCCAGTCTGTCGCTCCAGGCCCTACGGTCGATATCATGTCATGGAGAGCTTGAGAGTCTAGAAACATTAGTTTACAACACCCCATACCTTAATGATTAATGCAAAAAGCAGCCTTTGCACTCTTTGCAAGGTTGTCATGTCACAATGAACGAAAACGTTTCCCACCCGCAAGTGTCGTCCGTGTTCCGTGCAAAGTTCCCATCACAGTGGGTGTTAATGAAATGATCTGTCCAACTTGCATTCATCACCCATGGTCGCGTGGCATGTCAGCGCAAGGGTTTTTCGCCCCGTCGCAAGATCATATTGTTATGGCATGTCTGTATGTACGACGAGCGAGTACGATTCACATTCGTTACCCGGTGTTCGGGTCGCGGGTTCAAATGCTAGCAAGCAAGTAGCATGCGCGCCCTTGACTGCTAGGGACATGATGAGAGAAGCTACGGTAGAGGGAGTGGGATCATCTGCACAGCAAGGCTATGTTGGGTCAGACAGGGCATGGGGATAGTGATGGACAATGGGGAATGCAATGGCAATGGCAATCCGAGCGCGCGCACTGTGTCGCATAACGTCGCATCGATGATCCCGGGAATTGATAGGCCAGAAACGGGCTTAGCATTTTTATGAGGCGAGGTTGTTCACACGAGGATTCCCGTTGCCTTATTCCCTCGGGCAAAGAGCCGATGCCTTTGATGCCTTTTCGAGTCTGGCCTCGTTTCCTGTTATTTCCCAATGTCGGTTCAATATTCAGGAAGCTGGGCATTGGATTGTTGAAACGTAAAACCGGTAGCACGGCAACCCAACGAGGATTAACACATTAGTTTTTTTGTGGAGCCATGAGGAGAAACGAGATCGAAAATGGATTTATGGGTCCTTGCTGAGTGGGTTTGCTCGCGTGGATTTTGGACAAGAGAGAGGCAGAGCGATCCACAGATATGGGATTTCACATGGTCTGATGCTGGTTGGCAGCAAGGGCCAACGCCTAATTACACCTACTGCTTCCAGTAATTGAAGATAGCAGCAGTGCTTTTCACACGTGAGAGGAATGGATAAGTCGGTAGGGCTTGAACTTTTGGTCGATTCTGATGCCGATTTGTTTGCCACTGCTCCGTTGCAAGATCTTCGTTCTGTTTTGTTGAAGGATGTTGTGCCAAGAACGCTATACCCTACGGCACTACTACAACCTGAATGTAAGACATTTTGTCGTGTAATAGGATACAAGTAACAAGACACGGCGCAGAATGGGCGCACTCTGCTTGTTTGCGCCAGGTTACTTGCGAAAGGCTTGGTTGGACGATTCAGAAGTACGAATGCGCTTTAAGCACCGTCAACTTTAGGCGCGTCTTGGGAGGGGCATTTTGGCATGGCTGGTTCACAATAAGATTTGAACGCAAAGTGAGGACAAAACCTGCCATCAAGTCAAACGCCGCGCTCGTACAGTGCACCGGCGCATATACTCAAAAGGTGAGGAGATAAGCTTAGAACGGTCGCGCCGAGCAGAAAAAAAGGCCCAAAAGGCTGTTATGTGCTGTTCGAGAAGCTGGGCAGAAGGCGCCCCCCCGCTCCGCTGGCTACCAATTCCATTGTGAAAAAGAGAAATCCCCATCGATTGGAGCATCGCATTAAAGTGGCGGAGAGACCGTGACGGTGTATGTGCCGCAGATATCAACCTGCCTGATCGGACATAGCGGCAGATGGCACCGTCGAATAGGAGAGTCCCAGAGAATTGAGGTGGACATGGTGGAGAGAGGAACCAGACAAAGCGACTGGTGCGCCGTTATGGCAGGGTGGAGTACGCCCAGCGTTGGCGGAGAATCGTGCCAAGTGAGCAAATGAGCACTTCCGCGCCCGCCAAGGTCGGTGAAAGCTGTTCCAAGACGGACGTTTACCAGATTGATGAGCTATTTGTTGAAAACAATGCAGTAGAATTGCTCGTGTGATGATGGAGCCAGTGATGGAGACAGAGCCTTTTGCGAAGATGTTAAATCGGCGTCCCTTTGCGAGCAGAGTAGAGTCGTGTGTATCGGGTGGTCGCACGAAAGGCTGGAAGTGGGTGGATTGTAGAACAATATTGCCCTCTTCCCCTCTTTTCCCTACGAATGGCTCCCTCTCGTGTAAGACTGCAAGTATGCAAGTGGCACTGCCGTGGGACGATACGATGTGGTGGTGTTCGATGTCCGCAGATAAGGTCCTGACCAGGCTGGGGTCGCGGTTGGTGCCGTCTGAATGGCTATCTAATACGACCTCTGCCCTTGCGAATATCTGAGATCCGCGACGTCGCCAAGCTGAGAAGCAACATCCACTCCCTTGGCCATAATTCTTTCCACGTCTTAGTCCGCCTTGGGAACTCGATAACGAAGCAAGAAAAGGCAAGCCAATTGATCACTGGAAACGCCCGAACCACAGTTAGTCTGCGCATACCATCGCAGACGATACTCACCTGCTGTAAACAGCTATCACGGCGTGACCGTCGCCCAGCTTGCTTTGCCGCTTTCCATAGTCCAAGCACTCCTTTGCAGGCATTTGATCGCGCTTCAGCTGCACCCCTGCGAGCCCCCTCGGATCAGTGTGCTCTGCCTTTGTGAAACCCTGTCTACCACTCCCCAGATTATATTAATCTTCGTCGCCCGCACGTCTTCGCGGTCGACTGTCGTTCGCTCACAGCTGCACTTTGTCCACCTTTACACAGTGTACCTTGTTCACCATGGCCGCTGCTGCTGCTCAGAACGCGCCTGACATGGCCATGAGCCATGAGCCCAAGGTGGCCACTCCGCTCTTTGAAGTCGATGAGAAGAAAGCTCTTGATGCACAACGCAGCACGAGTTCAATCTCTCACGATCAACCTCCGGTTGAGTTCGAGGCGGACATGATCGGTGAGGAGCCGACCGAGGAGGATTTGAGAACACTTCGCCGTGTTTCTGGCAAGATCCCATGGGTCGCCTACACCATTGCATTCGTCGAGTTGTGCGAGCGTTTTGGATACTACGGTTGCCAGGTCCTCTGTAAGTCTTTATCACCCACAGTAACCCTCATCTTGGGACAGCAGAACTCATATCAGCAGACACCAACTTTATCCAGCACCCACTTCCTGCCGGACAGCCCACTGGGCGCGACCCCAGAGAGGATGGCCAGCCTGGTGCTCTAGATATGGGCCAGCGTGCCTCCTTCGGTATTGGTACCTTCAACTCTTTCTGGGCCTACTCGACCCCAATTCTTGGTGCTATCATCGCCGATGAGTACTTGGGACGTTTCAACACCATCTTCATTTCCATCGCTGCCGCCATTGTCGGCCACATCTTCCTCATCGTCTCCGCTCTCCCAAGCGTTCTCGCTAGCGGCAAGGCCATCGCTCCTTTCATGCTTGGTGTCATTACTCTCGGTTTCGGCACTGGCGCATTCAAGGCCAACATCTCCCCTCTCATTGCTGAGCAGTACAAGCAGACCAAGCTCCGTGTCGTCATTGATGAGAAGACTGGTGAGCGTGTCATTTCCGACCCCAGCATCACCCTTTCCCGTATCTTCTTGTACTTCTACATGATGATCAACATCGGTTCGCTCACCGGTCAAATCTCCATGGTCTTCGTCGAGAAGTACATCGGATTCTGGTGCTCATTCCTGTTGCCCACTATCCTCTTCTGCTGCTGCCCCATCGTGCTCTGGTTCTGCCGACACAAGTACCACAAGAGCCCTCCAACTGGCTCCGTGTTGATCCGTGCTATCAAGCTCTGGTCACTCGCACAGAAGGGCAAATGGTCCGTCAACCCCGTGCAAACCCGCAAGAACTTCAAGAACGACCGTTTCTGGGAGGATGTCAAGCCAAGCCACTTGGGCGCAAACAAGCCCGCCTGGATGAAGTTCGACGATGCTTGGGTCGACCAGGTCGCTCGTGGTCTCCGTGCCTGCTCTTGCTTTACCTGGATTCCTCTGTACTGTAAGTTCCCGATGTCGCTCCCATGTCCAATCATGGCTCAACTAACGCTCTCCAGGGCTCTGCTACAACCAGATGAACAACAACCTTACCTCCCAGGCCGCTACCATGACCCGTAACGGTGTCCCCAACGATGTCATCACCAACCTTAACCCCATCTCCCTCGTTATCTTCATCCCGCTCGTTGACAACTTCCTCTACCCCGGTCTCCGCAAGGCTGGTATTCGCTTTACCCCCATCAAGCGTATCACTGCAGGTTTCTTCCTCGCCTCCATGGCCATGGTCGGTGCCTCCGTGATCCAGCATTACATCTATGCCACCGGAAAGTGCGGCAAGTACATGAACTCCTGCAAGGAGGGCGACACCAAGATCGCGGCCCCCATCAACGTTTGGGTCCAAGCTGTTCCCTACGTTCTCGTTGGTTTCTCTGAGATTTTCGCTTCCATCACTGGTCTTGAGTACGCTTTCACCAAGGCACCCAAGAACATGCGTTCTCTCGTCACCTCGTACTGGCATTTCATGTCCGCCTTCTCCAACGCCATTGGACAGGCTCTTGTCTCCCTCTCCGAGGATCCTCTCCTCGTCTGGAACTACGCCGTTGTTGCTATTCTTGCCTCCATCGGCGGTGTCTTGTTCTGGTTCCACCAGCGTGACAGTGACGCGAAGGAGGACGCTATGAACATGTTGCCCGATTCCAACTACGTTGGTCGTGACAAGCACGAGGGCGTCGCCGACGAGACTGACGCTTCTCACCGCGCTTAGGTGCATTCCATCATCTGTTATCAGCTCAAATACCCCCTTTACTGTAGTCAGCGTGAGCCTAGAAGCGCTGGTAGACTTATAGTTCCAGTTTGCCTTCTGGTGAGCCTGTTTCTTGCATAGTTATGCGTAATGTGGAGATCACGGTCGGTTATGAGGCATGAGGTAGCGTAGCTTCCATTAGTCGATGACGAGACCGAATATATCATTCATTTAACAACTCCAATTTGCCATCTATCTCTTGAAGTGATGAAAAGAGCGTACAGCTTGCGATGAAGACGATGTTCAATGACTGTTTAGAAAAGTGAAAAACAAGTTGATCATACTTGAGGTTAAAGAAGGAAGGAAGCCTGAAAGGTCCCACCCGCCCGCGAAAAAGAGTGCTATGACCCAAAAAGGGCATAAATCTATGTTCGGATTAGATAAGCGGGAATCTCGCGTCGCTTGTCTCGACGTCGACTTAAGCTTCCGCCCTATCCCATGGACTTTCGCTCACCCCCGTTCCACCGCCGAGATCGGAGGCTGAAAGATGGCGTTGATACAAGCTTCATCTTAGGGTTCGTCGCGTGTGGGATGGCGTTTGAATCGTGCAGCAGCGGGTGCGGTGCGGTGCGGTGCCACCAACGGCGGATCTCCGAACGGGTACTCCCAGTAGCGACTGATAAGGTTGTTGTTGGCGACAGGTACCGGGGCGCGCTGCTTGGATAAATGTTGACAAGACGATAGCCTCGAATCACGGCGTGGCATTGCACGGCATGGCATGGCATTGTGCATGGGAGTCACGGTCCGACTTTTGCTTCGCACGTCTAGGCACCCGCTCCAGTGGATGACATGCAAGATCGGAATGTATCACTACAATGGCATCATTAGGTGAAAGAAGCTAAATGTTTATTGTACAGAGCGGTCTAAGACGTATTCCGACGTATCTTCCTGTTCCCGCAAATATGATTATATATTCGTCCACAGCTTCTTGGCCGTCTTTGATCTCTCTGTCCCATCGATTGCATGTTTATTTCACTCCTATCGGCAGGATAAAATCTCGCCCATCGCCCTCACATGCGCTCCACTCCAGATAGACAGCCATCAACTATTCAAGGAATCAATAGCATTACCGAAGAATTGGATGCTGTCGCTTATCAAGCCAGGTCAGCCTCTATCACCTTGTTTACCTAGGTTGCCGCGAAACGCGATTTACCGTCTCATAATCGAGCATCGGACAGCCAGAATCCGACTTCAACACCAACCTTTCATCAACAACTTGACGTACATAGGCTATTGGCCTGCTAAATAAGGCACCCTCCAGGCATCCCTTGGGAATCCTCGTGCCTAAATTGTCCGAATCCAAGTCACGAGGTGCAATCGACTTTTATGTCCCTCGATTACAGAATGAGAGGATACGTTCACGCGCCATCGCGGCCCGCGCTGTTCACCTATTCGTCATAGCACCGATCACTCTGAAGATTAACATGCTTCACAGAGTACCACTAACACAGCGGACTCGGCCAGCAAACCTGAAAGATGGCAAGGATAAGTGCAAGTTAAAACAACGAACCCAGTTCAAGCACACAACTGACTTCCTTCAGCAGACTTAACCAAGAAGGGCATCGTAAAGGTCGGGTGGTATTGTTCGATGCATTCATCCTTTGAAACCCTTTCTACGTAGGTACATAAATTATTTCGCTGCAGGCAGAGATGATAGTTTTTGAACGATTCAATAGCGCATTATGGTTTCAATCATGCCCGATATAAACAGCTATTGATCGTTCATCGCTGGTGTAAATACATTTACACGTAACAAACCATGTCATACGCGGCTCATGACTGTTGAGTCTTGAGGTTGGATCTGCGGTGATCTCGATTGGTCCAGCGCGCCAGGCTCCAGTACCACCACGACTACCTAAAACATGACTCAACCCACCAACGCAACCGCAACTCAACTTCAAGGCACTATCCTCAGGCATCACTTAAGAATACTCGCCAGCGTAGATGTCCATATATCATGCTTCACGCCGAATTGTCCTTTCTCCAAGCTGTTCATGTTCACCGTTGTGTTCACCTTTCCCCTCACCCTCCTATCTTCTTCAATCATGCGTTCACTCTTCCCCTGGTGAACCTTTCATCTTCACCAATGCCCGAATATATAAGTCTCATCGATTCCATCTCATTCCTATCGAAACCAATCCCCTAACTCCAACTTTCTTCGACAAAGCCATCATTGCACTCAAGCCACTTACTCCTTTCTTCCATCATGAACTCTCACGACCTCCAAGGCGCGGCCCCTTCGCCAACGAAGCCTACATCAGCAACTAAGCCTTCTCCAAATCGGAACCCCAGCGCAAAGGTCCTCACTGCTGACGAGCTTCTCTCTACTCTGTCATCCCTGATTCCCGACCATGTCTCCTCCTTCCCCGAGGCGGCAAGTTTCACTTTCCGCGAGGACGAAGTAACATCCACCACCGAACTAGCCGTCGCAACACGCACCACCAAATCCGCCTCTCACACAGTTTGGGTTTCGGTCCCGTATTCATCTTGCTTATCCTACACCTGCGAAGGCCGGTCACTCAAGCTTAAGGACTTCGTCAACGTCAATTTCCGGGACGAGTTCGCGTTCGTGCTAGAGCAAGTTGCCGATGATGGCAAGACAGCAGTCAAAGGAAGAGGCAGGAAGAAGGCTAACGAGGACAATGTCGTCATTGGTCCTTGGGACGATGAGATGAGGGCTTTGGCCATGTGGGTGTTTGTCCATTGTGGAAAGAGCCAGGGATTTGTGGACTTTGGGGCCAGGGGCGTCGATGCGCTTGTCAGAGTGTTGAAGAGGGTGGATGTGGTTGAGAAGAAGAAGGATGGAGTCGATCAGACAACAGGGCCCTTAAAGAGGCCGCATGACGTTGAGAAAGACACTGAAGACATCAACGACATTTGGGAGCATATCAAAAGCTCATTGAGTAATGGAGATGTGGAAGATATTCTGCAGGAAGTCATTTCTCAGACGGTCATCGACGCCGTGCAGAAGATTGGTGTCGAACAGTTCGTTCCTGTAAAGCGCCTATTCACCGACTTTCTTGAAGGTACACAGAATCATGAGAACGGTATGTGCTATGCATATTTTGGCGATTACTGTGTCGGATATTAACAACAGTAAAGACCCGGTTGCGAAGTGCTCCAAGACAGATTGAAGGATTTCAATATGGTAAGTATCTTCGACCGCGCTATGCGTACTTTCTTCTGCCCGACGTCTGCCCGACGTTTTTCCCATTTGCTTGCTTGCTTGTTTGTTTGGAGGATGGCGAATGGAGGTTTTTCGACCGCTTCGCTAGTTACAGCTGATAAAAAAGCGGCGACGTTGCAATAAGCAATGCATCGGGTGCTTTAGTTCATGGCGTGGGTTAAATTGCATTTCGCATTCAGGCGACTGTTTTGGGAGTTCATGGGTTATCAAGCTGGCAAGCTGGCATGTAGCGTAATGACGCAAGCCCAAGGCACAATCCTCTTATTGGGATGAACCAGAATCAACAGTAGGCGGAGTTGATCGTACGGATTTCATCGTACCTCAGAACAATTCAATCAAATCTTTTGAAAGACAGCTATATGCGTTCAATATACGTGAACAACCAGCACTGCCTATTTGAACGCGACTTGAACATACTCCTCAATATCCTTCCACAAAGCCTCTGGCTTCTCCAACGCCGCAAAATGCCCACCGCTCTCATGAGCCTTGAACACCACCAACCTCGTCGACGTCTCTGCCCACGACCTCGGAATCGGCGCAAGCTCCTTCGGGAAATACGAATACCCCGTCGGCTTGTCCACATACAGATGCTTCTGCCCATGGAAGTACCCACCATCTCTCGACGCATAGTCCTCCCTATACGTATAGATCGAGCTGGGGAAGCTCTCACAGAGCCAGTACAGCGTGATGTCCGCAAGAACAGTGCGCAGCGGCAAGTCCTCGTCCGTCCACTCTAGGAACTTCTCGCCGATCCACGCGAGTTGGGCGATGGGAGACGAGGAAAGTACGTGTCCGATTGTCGCGGGGCGGGTGCCATGTTCGCGGCCGTAGGCGCTGCCTGTCTGTTTGAACTGCTCGCAGCGCTCAAGGCCGATTTGTTCCTGCGGGGTGATGGAGTCGGGGGAGATCCCCGGGGGAGACACTTGCATGTGCATGAAGTTGAGGTGCATGCCTTTGCATTCGGGGTAGGTTGCTGCGATTATGCGGGATACGAAGGAGCCGATGTCGCCGCCTTGGACGAGGTAGCCGGAGGTGCCGAAGCCGAGGGAGAGGGCGAGCTTGTGCATGATGCGTGCGGTGTCGTAGACGGTCCAGTTTTTGGATATGGGGAGGTCTTTGGAGAGGGTGTAGCCTGGGAGTGAGGGCGCGATGATGTGGTATGGGAGGTCAGATGGGGTGTACTTTTCGCGGAGGAGAGACATTATAGGGAGGAACTCTAAGAAGGATCCTGGCCATCCATGGAAGAACACGATTGGGGTGGCATCTTTTCGTTCCGAGAAGAGGGCGGTGAAATGGATGTCCAATGTGGTGCCATCGTCATCTGTGATGTTGGTCTTGAAGTTGGGAAACGAATTGATATGCTCTTCTTCTTTTCGCCTATAACAATGATCAGTATCTATTATAATTAATTACAGTACAGGATCGTGTAATCTCACCAATCAAATGAGTTCTCCCAGTACTCTTTCGCGTCCAACATCCATTTTCGTGTGACACCGAATCGACGGTCTTCTTGTTGATTCTCATACGTCTCTCTTGCGACAGGTGACAGTCGCAGCAAGGTCTTAAAGTCCTGCAATTTCTGTTCATCTACATGCAGCCCGAACGGTGTCGGTTGCTGAGTCGCATTCGCTGGGATTGTACTAAAGTCTTTGGCAGATGCCATGGTGATCGAGCTTAGAATAAAGAAGTACTCAAGAATCTAGAATTCGGGCAATACAATTGATGACGGCGGGAGCGTTATCGAGGAGAAATTGGTTTCTACGCTGGATCTAACATATGTTTTTATATTCGCCTTTGTGTCGCATGTAAACACAATGATGTAGCGCTTAGAAATGCATCGGAGACTTGATGAAGTCGTAGCGAGTCAGCGCGATGACGTATCAAGCTCCTTACACGCGTGTACAGTCCCAAACAATTTAAGGTGATCGCCATACACCTACTTTGTACAGCATATATACGCCTAAGACTGGAATGCGATAATAAATGTTTCAGGTAGAAGTCGTTTATAAGTAATATATGGAACTACAAGTTTCATTATTGAATAGAGTCTCGCTACATCATTTGACAGACAATTTGCATTCTAATGCAACACTATAAGATAAAGTAACAGATGGCGGGCACAACAACACAGTCTTGAGGCAAGCAAAACGCGTTACAAATAAAAAGCTGAAGTATACAACGACCAAGCAGGTCTCTACATCCATTAATACTGTAGCTCTTTGCCAAAATCAACAGACAGGTGGTTGGTCAAGACTTCTGTATGGCAACTTTCTTGCTGCCTAGTCCAAAAAGCAATTTCTCGTCAAACGGCTGGGCACGTGAGATAAGAGGACATGCATTGTACTTCAGACGCGCACATTGCATTTTTTTATTGCTTTGCATACACACATACGCTCCGTATACTGAAGCCTATCAGAACAAACTATTCTTGTTTTCCAAGCGGTCACCAGCGTTAATCTACCGGTATGAAACATTTCATGTCCGCTTACACTTCAGCAATCCAAACCTACAACACATGTCTGCAACTGATGTCACCATTCTCCGGTTTACCAAACCTAGGAACTACTCTCCAGTAGTAATCAGTAGTACAAGAGCAGGGTCAGTACAGAACAAATAGTAACTTATCAATGCAGATACAGATTGTACCAAGCGTGCAACATCATGCCTTACGGATTCTCCAAATCTGCCCTTGGGGCTCTGGCCGAAATGGTTCGAAAGAACCCGGAGTCTATAGGAAGGCTTGTTTTCTACGATTCAGTACTGTCCGTTACCGCCGTTGAAACTCAAGACCTCTGTTTCAATGTGTATAGAAATAGGCAAGACCCCTATACGGCGACTGGTGTTGTCCTGGCCAAGAGTCCGTCGATAGGTGGTGTAACCCAAGAAACGTTCAAAGCACTTGGAGCCTACACCGGAGAGCATTCGATGACTGAAAAGAAGGTCATGTTTAGGTTGGGACCCGACTTCGATCCTGACAGTGTTGCACGAGCCATCGAAAACGAAGAGATTAATAGTAATGAGACAGTAATTGAGGCGGTGGCGAAGTCAGCAGCAGCAGGGACAGAAGCAGGGACAGTAGCAGGGACAGCATCAGGGGCGGAAGCCGGTAAAGCGGCTGGAGAAGCGGCTGGGACAGTCGCTGGATTAATAGCGGGCCAAGAAGTTGGATCGGTAGGGTCTGGAGAGGCAGCCGGAGCAGCGGCTGGAAGAGCAGCTGGAAAAGTACTTGGGTCAAAAACCGGAGCAGAAGCCGGAAAGTGGGCTGGAAAGGTGGCTGGGGCAGCAGCTGGAAGTTACAATCAATGGACCTGGTGTGAATGGGACAGGAAATACTATCGAACAAGAGAGGCAGGCGTTGGTGAAGAACTTGGGACAGAAGCTGGAGCTATAGCTGGAGGAGAAGCCGGGGCAGCAGCTGGGGCAGTCGCTGGAGCGGTAGCTGGGTCAGTAGCTGGGGCAATGGCTGGGGAAACAGCTGGAGCAACGGCTGGGGCAAAGGCAGCTAAGGTAACCGAGGAAGAATCTAAAAGGAAGAATCCATGGATTTGGAGTGACTCGTACGGGAGATACTATCTTGTAAGAGGCGATGGAACGTGTATCTGGGAGAACGGGGAGTGTGTGAGCGAGGAGCATTTATATAGCGAGCAACATCGCAAGTATTATCACGTTAAACCAGACGGGACCTACGTGTAGCAGTAGGCTGGTATTTACCACTTCGCCATGCTGTCTTGAGGAGGTCCGGCGCGAAAATATATCATTCCTTCTCGACACACCACAGCACAGTGATATGTATTCGAGCCTTGTTCGGGGCCATCACTTTCCATCTTAGCTTGTTTCTCATGGGAGTAAGCCGTTGGTAGTGACTTATCCAACGTTCCTAGGTTCGCGTCATATGATGTATCAAGTTGATTCGGGGCAGATTGTCGTTACAGTGATGCTTGAGTAGAGTAAGAGAAGAAGCCGTGAAATCTCGTAGGTAATGGTCCTCTAATATTAACCTCCTAAGCATTTCAGCAGCTCAATACCTAGCAACGCCAAAGTCAGAAATCACTCTTCTACAGATGTAGGATCAGGCTAGATCAGTGCATGATCTTGCTCCAGCAACGCGATCGAAAAGCAATTTAATCTTCGTAGTGTCAGATCTCCACATTGGATAGGCAAGAATTATATGTAAAGGACATTCCAGGAATGGGTTTTTAAGAATGTATTCTGTTAAAATTGCTTGAGTTACCTGTACCATCTTCTTTCTGCTTGAGCGAGATAGTAGTAGCTCGGCCTGAGCTCGTCAAGAATGCGAGGAAACTCATCCATTGCATAGTAACTTTCTTGTAGTTACAACGTAGAGACGTCTTCATATACGTAAGGAAGTCAGAGATGACGTCGGAGGTTACCATCTTCCGATCCAGCAAGTCTGGTCAATTCAGCCGAATTGAAGCCTCCTGAGAGATTCTGAGCTATTACATGTATTGATATAAAACCAATCAACGAGATAATAAAATTGAATTGTATGCGGGAAAATTGGCACACGATCGACTTCCATCCTTTTGGCAGTACTCGTACTAAGGCTTGTCATATCCTTCGTATTAATAGAGCAGCAGCACATTTCGCAGCATCACATCTGAAAAGGTCTCAAGACAGCATGGCCAACCGGCAGCGGTTCGCTACGGAAGTGATTCCAACTAAATTTCTAATGTTTCTAATTTCTACAACAGTGTTTGTTGTTGGTATATGTGGAGGGTATCTCATATCAATAATCGTTCGAAAAGGAAAAATATGTGTGTCTAAATCGTCTAATCATCTGCTTTCAGATAGGTGTATTACCCCAGCTAGGCCCCGATCGCGTCCCCTACTCGTTGTAGCGCAAAGCCTTGCCTCTATTGAGGGTGGTTCCTGTTCTTCTTCTCCATGATTTACTCCATCTCAATGGTACCTGGAGGCTTGCTGGTGACTGCGAGTTGTTAGTGTTGGTGAATTTTATGATATCTCGAGCAAAGACACTTACTGTCGTAGACGACACGGCAGACACCGTCAACCTCGTTTACGATCCTCCTGCTAACCCTCTTCAAGAACTCGCCGTCAAAGGGGAACCAATCCGCAGTCATGAAATCGGAAGTCTCGACGGCACGGAGCGCAATGACTTGGTCATGGACACGCTTGTCGCCCATAACTCCGACAGCCTTAACAGGCAGCAAAGCAGCGAAAGCCTGGCTGATCTTGCGGTAAAGACCGGCATCCTTGATCTCCTGAATGAAAATATTGTCTGCCTCCCTTGCGATTCGGACTTGCTCGGCGGTGACCTCGCCAAGGATACGGATGGCGATACCTGGGCCAGGGAAGGGGTGGCGCCAGACAAGATCCTCGGGTATGCCCAGGTTGGTACCGAGCTCACGGACTTCGTCCTTGAAGAGCTCTCGAAGGGGCTCGATGAGCTTGAGCTTCATAGAGGCAGGGAGTCCTCCGACGTTGTGGTGGGTCTTGATGGTGGCAGAGGGGCCCTTGAAAGAGATAGACTCGATGACATCGGGGTAGAGGGTGCCCTGAAGCAGCCACTCGACTTCGCCCTCATTCGCTGAGCCGTGAGCTGCATCGGCAATCTTCTTGGCTTCCGCCTGGAAGACTTCGATGAAGGTGTTGCCAATGACCTTCCTCTTCTTCTCAGGGTCATCAGTGATGCCCTTGAGCCTTCCAAGGAAGAGCTCAGATGCATCAACAACGGTCAGGTTGATTCCAAGACCGGCAGTCAAAGTCTCCTTGACCTGCTTGGCCTCGTTGAGTCGCAAGACGCCATTGTCAACAAGCACAGCGTGGAACCTGTCACCAATGGCCTCCTTCATCAATTTGGCCGCAACAGTGGAATCAACTCCACCGCTAACAGCACCAATGACCTGTCCGGTCTCTCCGACCAAAGCCCTGATGCGAGCGATCTCTTGGTCGACGAATTGGCTCATGGTCCAGTTTGTCTTCGCCTCGCAAATATCGACGGCAAAGTTCTTGAGGATGACCTTGCCCTTGGGAGTGTGTGTAACCTCAGGATGGAACTGAATTCCATACATCTTCTTCTCCGTGTGTGCGATACCAGCGAATGGCGCATTGCTGGTGGTCGCAACTGTGATGAAGCCCTTGGGAATGGAACTGAGCTTATCACCGTGGCTCATCCATACCTCCATGTTGTCCTCGAGGCCCTGGAAGAGCTTGTCCACATGGCCACCAGCCTCTCCATCTCCATGTCGGTCGACCTTGAGGTATGCGTGACCGTACTCCCTCTTCTCGCCAGCAACAACACCCTTGTTGTCGAGTTTCCAGGCGATCTCCTGGAGTCCATAACAGATACCGAGGATAGGGACGTTGAGTTCGAAAACGGCGGGATCAACGTGAGGTGCTCCGTCCCAGTACACGGAGTACGGGCCACCGGAAAGGATAACACCCTTGGGCTTCCAGGTCAAGTCGGCGATCTTCTGTGTGCATGGTAGCATCTCAGAGTAGACATTGAGCTCACGGAGACGGCGGGTAATCAGATGAGTGTATTGCGACCCGAAGTCGAGCACCAGGATGGTGTCGAAGGTCTGGTGAGGAGGGATGGGGTCGCTGCCGTCGGTGGCCATTTTTGGAGATGTAGATCAATTGAGGATTGAGAAAAGGAAAAGTTACGAAGTGAAGGACCAGATAAGAGAGAAGAAGAAGAGGACGAAGGAAAATTTCGAGGGCGACGTAGGGTATTAAGAAAAAAGTGAGGGAGGGGTGGGGATAGTGAGTCCCTAGAAGAGAAAATTTTGGTGGGGGATTAAAGATTGGTTATCGATAAGAATGGGAAGAATGTTAGTGGCGGCGTTCCTACCATTATTTTTCTCCGCCCTAAAACTTGCCCGCATTCAACTCTTCCGGAAACAGCATAGAATACTACTATCACCTACTAAGAGCTGTCGACACTCGTCAATTACTTCACATTCAGTAGACTTGACCAAATTCCTCACTGCACAAGCTCCACATCGACTCAGACAACATGGTGAAGCGCAAATCCGATCTGGGCGAGCTTCCCGATGCGCCTCAGGTATCTGGCAAGGGAAAGCGCAAGAACGAGGAGTCTGACAGCGACGAGGTATGCTTCTGGAAAAGAGTCTGTAGAGCCTTTATATGCTAATGATCTTCCAGGATATGGAAGATCTCGTCAATGTCGACTTCGAATGGTTCGATCCCCAGCCCGCAGTCGACTTCCACGGCCTCAAGAATCTTCTCCGCCAACTCCTCGACATCGACGCACAACTCTTCGATCTTTCCGCTCTCGCCGACCTCATCCTCTCACAGCCTCTCCTCGGATCTACCGTCAAGGTTGACGGCAACGAAAGCGACCCCTTCGCATTCCTTACAGTTCTCAACCTAGAAACACACAAAGTACTCCTCGCCAACCACCAAACCCAATCCACGATCTAACTAACACCTCCCAGGACAAACCCGTGATCCAAGACCTCCGAAACTACCTCGCCAAAAGCTCTTCCACAAACGCCTCACTAGCCCCCATCAAAGACCTCCTCTCCTCCGACACCCCCGCCCAAATCGGCCTCATCCTCACCGACCGCCTCCTCAACATGCCGCACGAGATCGTACCGCCAATGTACAAGATGCTGCTCGAGGAGATCCAATGGGCGCTTGACGAGAAGGAGCCCTACGCCTTCACACACTACCTCATCCTCTCGAAGACGTACACTGAAATCGCGTCGGAACTCCCCTCCGGAGACGAGCCGCCGAGCAAGAAGAAGAAGGCTGCCGGGTCGGCGGCGGGAAGCGAGACGTTTTATTTCCATCCCGAGGACGAAGTGCTGCATAAGCATGCAGTTGGTTGGGGAAGCTACGATTATCAGAGTCCGGCGGATGAGGGCGCAAGCGATAGTAAGAGGGCGTTCCAGGAGCTGGGGATCAAGCCCCAGGGCCATTTGACATTGATTGAGGCGGAGAAATTCAAAGAGGCGGTTGAGGGATTGAAGGCGTTCTTGACTGGAGAGTAGATTTGTTGATACCAATTGAATGAGAGTGGCTCGGTTGTAGAATCTGAATGTGCTATGATATTATATATAACGAATGCTTCCACGGTCGATAGTGCATGTGGTACGACGTGTGATGGAGGTGTAAATCAATGAGTATTACCAAGAGCATGAATGATAAGCGAGAAAATGCGATACATTCCTACTGCAGACAGCCGAATCTATCAAGCATAGGCACCAACCAGAAGACAAGGAAATTTGTTAATGCTTCACCCTATCAAATACATTTACTCTTCATCATCCGCGGCCACACGCCCAGGTCTTTTGTCTAAATGTACAGGAACCAAACGATCTAGCCGATGACCACCTTGTCCTCCTCGGGGAAGTCGTACTCGGGCACCTCGAGGTTGAGAGGTGCGGGTCCCTTTCTTATACGGCCAGAGATATCGTAGTGGGATCCGTGGCAGGGGCAGAACCAGCCGCCGAAGTCGCCGGCCTCGCCGATGGGCACACAACCAAGATGGGTGCAGACACCTGTTTTTTGTTAGTGTCGAAATCCGAGATATGATTGTAGAATTCATGGCTCGTGTGCAAAGATATCAGACATACCCAACATGATCAACCATTCGGGCTTCTTCACACGGTCACCGTCAGACTGGGGGTCACGCAGCGACTCCCACTTTGTGTCCTCAGCCTCCTTGATCTCGTCCGCGGTACGGTGGCGGATGAAAACGGGCTTGCCTCGCCACTTGATGATGACCTGTATACGGTTTTAGCATTCCTCTCGTCCGGTGAATCGTTGAATGGATTGGAATTCGTACGTTCTTGCCCTCGGGGATGGCAGCGAGATCGATCTCAACCTTGGCCTGGGCCAAAACATCGGCGGAAGCGGACATGTTCACGAGGAAATCTGATGCGCGAATTTGTTAGCTGGGCCATTGTCCATCGAAGTATGCCTCCAATCCATCGCAAAATTGACCAATTGCTCTCCAGACAGAGCACAAGACTCGGTATTGTCGATTCCGGTATTTTTGGCAGCTTCGCGGAGCTGGATGGGGTTGGCCACCTACCCTGAACAGTCGCCTTTGCACCCAAACTTGTGAGAGCACCCATTGTTCCGACCATGAAGTAGCTGAAAACCTTTGGCGCAGTCTCGCCGCCAGACTTATTCCTGTACGCAGCGAAGGAGGGCATCTTGGGGCTGCTTCCTGCGCCCTTGAAGGGGCTATCGAAGGATGAGGAGGGAGAGTGGACTTCGGAGACGGAGCGGCTCTGGGTTGTAGAGGCGGCGGCAGCCCGCGCGACGGGCAATTGGTGTGCCGTCCATTGGCGGGCAATCGCACGGGTCGTGTGGGCGAGAGCGGGCATCGTGGTGGGTGGAGGTGGGTGGTGGTCGTGATGAGAGAGTAGTCGTGAGGTTGAGGATGAAAAGGTTCCTTCGCTGGACGAGCCTGATGATCAACCGAGCGCTGATTGGCTGGCGGGCCTTAGTCGGGGAACGCCGGGTCGACCCATTTCTTGTTACAACAACCGACATAGTTCCGTCATCATCAACAGCATCACCAGCATCAAACATTAGCCCATAGCTATGCTCTCGCGACTTCATTGCTCTAATAATAAGTATCTCTAATACTCTCTCCATACCTAGTAGCAATTCTCACATTCACTATTCCGTGTTTGGCTTCCATTCTTGTGAAAGCTTGGCGTTTGCCTTGTCTCGGGGCAAGGGCTGAAAGGGCTAACTACCTATCCATTGAATCGACTGAGCTGAACATACTTCGCCTTCTTCATATTTATGAGTCTTCCAAATTTTGGTCTAGAAAGTCATTTGTCTTTGCTGCACTAGATAAACTATCATAAAGCATCTCTCCCTCGCAGCTTTCCAGCCACCACAACCCCCGGAAGCAACTTGCATCTTCAACCACTAAGAGACGTACAGCATCAATGGCTTCAAAATCACCTCCACAATCTTCCCTTCTGGCTTTTGGCTTTCAACGCGGCCCCTCTACGAAGAATGGTCCAAAGAACGCGGAAGCAGTCCCCAATGATACAGCCGAGTCCCATGGCGATGAAGCCGAAGTACGATCCACTGACAAAACCATTGAGGACCCTGTGCCACATGAGGTCGAATCAGAGACTACAGTCATACCCGAAATCAAGCCGGGATCACCTACATTATCCTCGTCATCTCACCAGACTCTAACACTTGATCTGCATATTGGCGACATGTTCGCCGCGCCTCCCAATACAGTCCTCATTCACGCCTGCAACACACAAGGCTCGTGGGGTGCTGGCATTGCGGCAGCATTCCGTATCAAGTACCCGGAAGCCTATAAAGTCTATCGTAGCCACTGCCTTCGCTCGCGTGAACCACAACGTGCACTCACAAGCACTTGCTTGCTCATTCCACCATGCGAGACGAGGCCCGGCGCAAGGAAGCATTGGATCGCATGTCTGTTCACAAGTGCCAGGTATGGAAAGGCAAAGGACAAGCCGGATGTCATCCTACAGAATACGGGACCAAGCATGCGGGATCTATTGGAGCAAATTAAGCGACAAGAGGCTGCTGGTAAGGTCATTGCGGGGTTGCGGATGTGCAAGATCAACAGTGCAAAGTTCGGTGTGCCGTGGCACAGAACGGTCAACGTGCTCGAGAGCATTGATGTCAAAGGGAGCGAGAGGAATACTGTCGAGGTGTGGGCGCGAGAGGAGGACTAATTTTCGATCCGATGTTGCTGTGTACAATTCACCTAATTAGGTATCGAGCACAATTGGATATAAATACATCTGGCTATGTTGAGAATGGGCGAATTGGTGTTCATTTTCCAGTAGTATATCTGGTATATTCAATCAAGTTTATGATGAGGCGACGCTACATCACATGCTACTTGCCATCCATGCATTGTCATCCAAACGCCAGCCCAAAAGAAATTCAGAACTCCATGCTATGCAATGCACAAACAAGATTCATCTGTGACGGATTCATTTCGTCCCATTACGTCTCTCTGCCACTGGGCTGGAATCGTTTCCCCGAGGCCCTCGCATCTCAACCTCAATCTGCATAGCCACAGGATCCATCTCTTCGTCATCCGACACCTCCCTTCGTTCCTCGTCCACCTCCATCGCCTCCGAAACCTCCGTTTCACCCTCCTTCTCCGCATGTCCATTCTGCTTTGGCTCTTGCCCCTCCTCTCCTGCATCCTTCTCATTCCCGTTCGTCGTCGGCGGCGTCGTCGACGTCGCATTCAACAACGCCTGGATGCCCTTGACCCCGCCCCCATTTTCCCTCCTATCGCCATCCGCCCTCCCCTTCCCCTTCCCCCTCGCCTCCTGCTTCTTCTTGAACTCTCCGTACGTCGTCGTCTTCGGCACGACGTCGACAAGGAACTCAAGGTTGTCCGTCTTCGCGACCGCAGCCGCGACGTCGCGATACTGGATGTTGCGGCGGGGCTTGCGCTCCGCCTTGACGACGTTGTGCGAGGTCGTGGCGAGGTGCTGGATGAAGAGCTCGGTCGCGAGCGCGATGGCGAAGGCGGCGTTCTTGGAGACGTGCGTGCGTTCTGGGTCGGCGTTTATGATCTTTTGGATGCGGGAGACTGGTGTTGATGTTAGGAGGGTTGGGGGAGGTTGAGAGGTCCAGCGGACGAAGGGGGTAGAGAGAGGGGGGACGTACGAGGTAATGAGGTCTGTCCACTTGCTTCGTTTGCGGCGGAGCTCGGTGCGCTGTTGGTATTTGGCATTTTGGGTGGGCGTTGGTGATGTGGGGAGTCGCGCAACTTGCGAGAGTAGATGCTATGTCCGGAGTCGCTTTTCTCGGGTTCTTGAGTGTTTTGGTTGAAGCGACAGATAGTGACAGGTCCGATTATCGATATACAGGCGCGAAAGTGTGGAAATGGAGTAATTCGACGCGTGGTGGTATGCGGATATCTTTTTACGCGCGAAATTGTAGTAATATCGGGAGCATGTAGTATTAGACTGTTAGTGTACCCTTCGGTCCCTACCCTTGTACCCCTGCCCCTGGTAACCCAAGTTGATCTGGAGAACATTTCTATTGGATGAGCGGCTTAGCCATGCCAAGCCTGTCGACTACATCTCCCGATTTGTATACATCAACAACACCTTTGTCCGTCTCATTTCACGCACTTTTCATCCCCACAGAACTATGGGAATATTGATTTTGACTCCTGTTCTACAGTTAGCCAGTTTCCGAAGATAGAGCGTTCCTGAAAACAGGTCCTCAGTCGCTTGGAGATATAACTAGATAGCCTATAGGAAGAAAAGAGAAATCCCAAACATGCACAAAAGATTCAAAGATTAATGAAAGATCCAATACTTCCTACTCACTTGATGGACAGAACAGGATTAAGACCAGATACGAAATTAGTAGGATCATGTCGATTCAATCGAACTCTGTATTCACACGCATTCAGTTTGAGTATAAGCAGTGATGTTAGGAAAGATTGATTTGGTGTTTTGCTCTTGAGGCTAGGCTCATGCACTCAGCCTCAAGTTATTGATCGCCCAAAAGTCGAAAGCTAGAAGAGTTTACATTGTTGTAGTGCCGTCATGTTCCATAATGGAACTACCGCAACAACAATGTTGTAAACTTCGCAGCTAACGGTTCTCGTCGAAGATTTGAGGGCAAGTGGCTCAAGGTCTTCCTCTCCCACACTGTCGTAAAGATTTATGGTAACCTTGGCCACAGGAGCCTTGCCGTTGGTCGCTGCATGCTTGCGGACATTTTTGTCCCCAGCATTCGCATTGGAGCGAAAAACGACTTCCTGCCGTCCATCGGGAAGCCTAGGCCCTGCCTCAGCCCGAAAGTTCGATTTCTCGTCGTTCTTCGGGGTCTTGGTCGGGAATAGACGCGTTCCCGGCTTGGGGGGCTCATCGTTGAGTTTCTCCTTGATCTTTGCCGTTGTGAAGCTTTTGAGGTATTCGATGAAGGTTTTCCGGGAGACTTGAGAATTGGAACCCATATTTGCTGGTTTCCTATGTTCAGTTAATAAATAAGTAACAAATGAGCACACGGGCACTCACTACATACCAACAAATATGAACTTAGGGGAAGGGTTCGAGCACTTGGTGTAGTTGTCTCTTGAGAAAGTGGGAACTGTCGAAGAGTGGAGGGATCAATGGGGTCGATACAGTTCTCGAAATAACTGCGGAATTGAGGGCTTAAGTATGGCAGCCCATTGCCAGTTTCCAGCGCCATTGTGTCACGGGTCAGTGCGCAAAGGTAATTCTCAGTGAAGTAGAATAGCGGTCACTTTGTGGCAAACTCAGTCTCATTCTATGTTAATTCGTGCTCAGATAGGGTCACGCGTTAACTGATCATAGGCCAGTGCGTAAAAGTAATTCTCAATGAAGTAGAATAGCGGTCAATTTGTGGCAGACTCAGTCTCATTATGTGGTTACTCGCGCTCAGATAGGGTCACGTATCAATCGATCATGGGTTAGTGCGCAAACGTAATTCTCAGTGAAGTAGAATAGCGGTCATTTCGTGCCAACTTCAGTTCCACTATGTGGTTATTCGCGCTCAGATAGGGTCACGTAGATATCCATTGATCATGGGTTAGTGTGTAAACGTAATTCCCAGTGAAGTAGGATAACGGCTATTTTGGTGTAATCTCAGTCTCCAGCGGCATTGTGTCCCAAACTCATGTTAAGTTAGGATCAGGCAACAGTTGGCTATAGTTGGGTTGGAGAGCAAACACGTCTCTAGGTGAGGGAGCATACAGTCATAGCGGCGGAAAATTTGCCTCTGTCACTGGTCATTCAGAATCAGGCAACACAATCGCAGGTCGGTGCGCAAACACAACTGTAAGTGAAGTAGCAATATCACATGGTCCCGCCAAGGCGCTTGCCTTTCACATAAATGAGGTAGCTTCCGACTTCGAGTACGGAACCATACCCCACCACACTCCTCTCGCGAACTCCAGTTCTGTCATATTTCTAGCTTTCCTGCCAGATTGAATGCAAACTGTGCGCAAGCTCAAGTCACCCCTCTCATCTAACAGCGTCTCCCACCTTCACACATCATGGCTCCGGAATGCCCAAAGCAAGCAGACCCTCTGTTCTTTTATACGAGTGGCCGATGGCTATGGAATGAAGACAAGCAGCTTCAAGAAAGATTTCGATATTTCCTCGTGCCCGAACTCCAGGAAGCAGGTCGTCATGCAGTAGGCGCATCTCGATGCCTCGCTATAACGAAGATAGGCGAAGGTAACCTCAACAAGGCCTATCGTTTGGAAATGGATGATGGGCAGATTGTCGTCGGCAAAATTCCACACCCCAATGCCGGTCCGTCATTCTTTACGACTGCTTCAGAGGTAGCAACAATGGAGTACGCACGAAGTGTCCTGGGTCTACCCGTACCAAAGGTGCTTGCGTGGAGCGCGTCTGATAATAACCCAGTGGGGGCAGAATACATCATCATGGAGGAAGCGAAAGGGACTCAACTCAACAGAGTCTGGGATGATCTACCACTGAAGTTCAGATGCGACATTCTTCGTCAGGTTGTGGATATTGAAAGCAGATTGCTTTCCGTATCTTTCCAACAGTACGCTCATTATCTTTCCTTGATACGTCAAATACAGATGGCTAACACGTTTCTCTAGGATCGGATCACTATACTTCAAAGACAGCAACGTGCCCGGATGTATGCCTGCTGCTCCCACAGCTGGTTCGCAGAAAATCGTCGACCAGATCTCGTCACGATTTTGTCTCGGTCCCATCGCTCGTCGGGAGTTCTGGGAAAATGAACGTGCTCACATGAGTCAACACCAAGGGCCTTGTATGTTCCCCTAATAATACCTGGTATCAATCAAGCTCACAACTTCAGGGACTTCAGCGTCAGAGTATATGGTATCTGTTGCTCAACGCGAAATGGAATGGATAAACTTATACGGCTCCTCTCAGCTAGATAGCAGCCTGGACGTGTCCAAACAGTTTCAGTTCATCAGTTCCAACCAGAACTCTCCCGACGTGCATATATCTGCATTGGAGAGATACATTTCGGCAGTCCCGCACTTAATCCCTCGAGATCCAACGATGACCTGTCCCAGGTTCTGGCACCCCGACTTCCACGCTGGAAATATATTCATTGATGAACAAAACCGAATCTCCAGTATCATTGACTGGTAAGGCTCTTGGACCACACCGGTATTTCTAGACGCCAGGCCACCATTGATGCTAGACTATAGTGTCGAAAGGAGGCTGTTCTTTCCTGACAACTTCAAGACTCTCAATGAAGACGAGAAAAATGAAATCAGATACCAAGTGTCGCAGTCGATTCTCATCAATAGCTACGAAACAGCCACTGCCAAAATAAACCCGGTGATACATCAAAAATTGCATCATCCAGCAGGAAAAACTCTCAAGCAACTTGAGACATTTGCCGGCGGTAGTTGGGATAACTGCATCTTCCCACTAATCGAGTGCTTACTCCACGTCAAGAGGTAAGTTTCCTGTGATCATTACATTATATCCTCTGTTCCAATAAATAACTGGATATCATAGGAATTGGGAGGTATTCAACCAAGACGAGCCATGTCCATATCAGTTCTCAGACGAAGAGCTCCATAAGCACTACGACGAAGTTGAGCAGTGGAATGCTAGTCGAGATTATTGGGGGGCGCTCGACGGTATTCTCGACGATGAGGGTTACACACAGAATGATACTTACAAGCTGGCGCTGGAGGCAGTGACGGATATGCGACGAACACAAAAGGAGTCGCAATCCGACTCCGACTCTGATTCCGACTTCTACTTCAAGTCATCGTCGAATGCCCATCAACCTTCAAGTAATCTTCTCGTTAGATGTGCACGACGCATGCGGGACTCGGCCTCTTGGCTCATTGGAGTGTCTGTATCAATTGTATCTTGCGTCTCAATCCCCCGGCGTCCACGACATATTGTGGTGCAGCAGGCTAGGTGAGGCTACTCGGGGATCGCGTATGGAGGGAAGGGAACTAGGCAGAGCATGTATAGATAGATCAGGGCAACCGAAAGAGAGCAAGGCATCATCCACCTACCTATAAAGACCTATCCACAGTGTCGAGTGTCTATCTATCCTACCTCTCCTCAGGTCGTGTTTGTGATGCCTCCTGCTATAGAGGCGTTTATACGCAATAATATTCAACAGTGAAAAACTAGTAAATGAACTCATTCACCAGCTCCTCTCGAGCCATCAATATCAAGAGTATCTAATATGCTGGGCAGGATGATCTGGACATCCCCCTGGATGAACCAGTCGCATTCACTCGCCATATCGTCATCCCGAATCGTGTCAATGATAGCCAGAGCTGCACCGCATTCATGTACAGTCGCCACCCATTCTGCGGCTGGAAAGACTTGTAAGCTTGTCCCAGCAGCGATCACCATATCAACAGACTCCTCAGAAATCCACCTATCAACACTATCTGGCGCGTCAGCTGCGAGCGTTTCGCCAAACCAAACAACCGCCGGACGTAACATATTTCTACATCTTGGGCAATGTGGTAGGTCTGATAAGATTGGTGTATGAGGCTGGTCACTGGTGCTGTTCAATAAGAGTAAGAATGGAAGGTCGCCTGGCTTCTCAACGTTGATATGATAGTCACACATGGTACATCGAACTGTTCTCAGCGAGCCATGGATGGACAATAGTTGAGACGGAGGATATTCCGTAAGCTCGAGAAGCCCTGCAGTAATCTCAGCGCACTTTCCAGATGAGAGGGATTTAGAGTCAAAACAGTACCATCAACGTTCTGGTTGACCGTCAACCATCCTTCATATCGCTGAGCAAGAGCCGCCAACGCATGATGCGCTGCATTCGGTTCAGCAGCTAACGACGCGAGTAATCTCTCACCGTAGAACTTCCAAACGGTGATAGGATCCTCTTGGAATCTCTCCGGCGATGCAAGATCTTTTAGATTGTTGTTGTTCCAGAGACCATCTGTTCCTCGCCAGGTGGATAGGCCTGATGGTGCGCTAAGTCCAGCACCGACAACACAGAGGATTCGTGACGACGCTCTGAGATATCGTGAAAATGTTGACCAGGCCGGACCGGAGTTGTCGCCAGCATCTTCCATATCTTATCTGAATTGAATCACAATTTGTCACTTGTCTTTTGAGATATATGTGTCGTATGGCGTCGCTATGGCTACAGAGGCACAGAGGGCGATGGTGTGAGCGTTGGGTACAAATGATCTAGCCGAATTAGGAAGGCCGTGCTTCTAGAGTCGGTGCCGTCATTGTTTTGGGTTCATCAGCCAACGACACTCTAACACAAACAATCCAATGTACATCATCTATTTCTATCTATCTAGTAATATCTAACTGCATACTTTGTGCAGCTTCAGGTGCCTTTAACAGCACTTAACAACATCTCGTCCAACAGCTCGTGGCTCACTGCGACTCATCCAGTAACCACTCTGTAATCTCTCAATCACAATGATTTTCGTAAAGCATATAGCATGGCTTGCCTTTGCAGCTCCAATATCTTTAGCTTCTCAGATTCCCATGCAAGATACCCCGCAACCTGAAGGGTTCCAAGTCTTCCAGAGCCAATTCTCAGAACATCACTCCATCCGGATACAAGAGCAACAGAGCGAAAAGCTATGCGATGCACACTCCAAGCAGTATACCGGGTGGCTTGATGTCGGTCCTAAACATCTCTTCTTCTGGTTCTACGAATCACAATCCTCGCCTTCGGAGGATCCATTGGTTCTATGGCTTACCGGTGGACCGGGAGGTTCGTCCATGATCGGTTCCCTGCAGGAATTGGGACCTTGTCTCATCAATGAGCACGGCAATGGAACCGTTTATAATGAGTACGGCTGGAGTAAAAATGCGAATATCATTTTTGTGGATCAACCCGCTGGCGTCGGATTTTCGTACCTCGATGAGGACACACCACTTCCGGACAACAGTTTCACGGCTGCTGAGGACTTGCATCATTTCCTACAGTTGTTCGTGAGCGAAATCTTCCCAAAGTTGAAGGATCGAGATTTCCATATCACTGGAGAAAGCTATGCAGTAAGTTTAGCAGTTAAGAAATAGAACCTTCTTATTGATGATGATGCTAGGGTCACTATGTGCCAACACTCGGCGCCCAAATTGTCGCTCAAAACGCTCTGTATCCCAAGCGTCCCCAAGTGAACCTACAATCAATCTTTGTTGGCAATGGTTATGTCTCTCCCATGGACACTGCCTTCGGTTACTGGGAAACACTTTGCTCGACCAACCCTGGTGTTAAGTCGCCCATCTTCAACCAAACTCGATGTGACATCATGGCAGCCAACCTACCCCGTTGCATGGACCTCGCCCGCCTTTGCTATTCCCACCCTGACCCAGCTATATGTATCGTCGCAGAATCTGTGTGCTGGGATGGCGTTATTGTACATTACGACGGCGAGTCAGGGGCCGGAGGACGTAATCGATTCAACATTGAGGAACCCTGCTACACCAAAGACGATCTATGCTACCCAGAATACCCAAGAATCCAGGAATACCTGAATCTCCCGTGGGTATGGGATGCTCTCCACGTTCCAAGCGCGGTTAAAAACTACACTATTTTATCTGAGGAAATCGCGATTGCCTTCTCCCTCACCAACGATGGAGGTATCAGCACACAACCCCAGGTCCTGTATCTCCTAGAGAATGGCATCGATGTTCTCTTCTACCAGGGCAACCTAGACCTCGCCTGTAACACGGCAGGAAACCTCCAGTGGGCAAATACCATGCCCTGGAAGGGCCAGCCAGCGTTTGTGGCTCAATCTAAGAGGGTTTGGAAGGACGGCGATGAGGAGGTGGGCTGGTTCAAGGAGGTGAAGACGAGTGTTAAGGAGAACGAGGAGGAAGTCACATTTGCATTTGCAACGGTGAATGGCGCAGGACATATGGTACCGTATGATAAACCTAAGCAGGCTTTAGCTTTGGTTGATAGGTGGTTGAATAAGAGGAGCTACGCTTAAGCTATTCTGTTTGATAATGGTTCAAACAATTAGATAACCATTTATTTTGGGATGTAGAGTCTAATACAACTAGTATTTTACTCCGCATTCTCTGGTTGACCCTGGTGTTGTTGGCTTTCAATGATTTTGATGATGTTTTCATTACACTTCCTTGTATGCACTAAGTTGTACAAAAGGTTGGCACGTCGAGCCGACCCCATGCTAGTATTTTATGCCTACAACAGTGTCTTAGCAAGGTTTATTGCAAGCAGTTAAGATTGTTTACGGGCTACAGTACATTCTTAAGTAGGCACTTTAGGTATGAAAATACATGAAGTTAGCAGGTGGCCAGCCAGACGTGTAATATGCAATTAGTTATAGTAACAAGCTTTTAGCAAAGGAAGGTCAAGATGTTGGAAACGAATTAAACTGTATGCAAACCGTACCAAATCAATCATGGAAGTGTAATAATTAAATAAATCAGGCATGATCATCCACGTATAAGTTGGTCAAGGAAGTCCGTATCAAGCACTTCGTATCCTTGTGGCGGCGCCACAGACGCCAAGAGATGCGGACCTCCGACGTGCTTCAAGGTATTATCATCACTCCCCACACAACTTCCCCAACCTAGACCTTTAGCCTCACGATGCCATGATTCGAAGCTCCTCTTCCCGATCGCGATCGCGACCCGTAGCCGCCCGATCCTCCTCTTTCGCCCCCTCCCTCAGGCGCCGCAATACCTCTGTTTCCATCACATCCGACCCCGAAGCAGAGCGCGCCGCCGAGGCCGCAACCACACAGCAACATGCGCTCCAAGAAGAGATCGCAGAGATAAAACGATACGAAGACTTCACAACGATAGATTGGGTACAAGACGCCGCCCGGGAACAACTCCGCCGCCGAGCCCGACGCAAAGAAAGGGCGGGATACTGGAAACGCAATAGCCATGCGCGGTGGTCGAGAGGCGGATGGAGGAGAAGGATAGCGGAGGCGTACGATGCCGGCCAGGCTTGGATCGTAGTCACACTTGTTGGAGCAGCGATTGGACTGAATGCGGCGTTCCTGAATATCATCACAGAATGGTTGAGCGACATCAAGCTCGGGCACTGCGAGACGGCATTTTATTTGAATGAGAGCTTTTGTTGTTGGGGTGCTGACGATGGTATGTTGTCTAAAACACAAGGTCCTCACTTGAAGGAGATTATGGTCCACTGACAGAGCGCAGGTTGTCCGGAGTGGAAAAGATGGAGTGGCTTCGAGCCGTTGAATTACCTATTCTACATCCTGTTCGCTGCCTTATTCTCATTGACCGCAGCTACGCTGGTCAAATCGTTCGCACCGTACGCCGCCGGATCCGGAATATCGGAAATCAAGTGTATTATCGCGGGTTTTGTCATGAAGGGTTTCTTGGGAGCTTGGACGCTGGCAATTAAATCGATTGGATTGCCGCTTGCCATCGCCTCCGGACTTTCGGTCGGAAAGGAGGGACCTAGTGTGCATTATGCTGTGTGCACTGGTAATGTCATCTCGCGCTTCTTCGACAAGTACCGTAGAAACGCTGCAAAGACGAGGGAGATCCTCAGTGCGAGTGCAGCAGCAGGTGTGGGAGTTGCATTCGGCAGCCCTATCGGCGGTGTGCTATTCTCCCTCGAGGAGATGTCCAACCACTTTCCACTGAAGACTATGTGGCGAAGCTACTTCTGCGCTCTCGTTGCGACCGCAGTTTTAGCAGCGATGAACCCTTTTAGGACTGGTCAATTGGTCATGTTCGAGGTCAAGTATGACCGCGACTGGCATTTCTTCGAGACACTATTCTACATCATCATCGGCATTTTCGGGGGCCTCTATGGCGCTTTCGTCATCAAGTGGAACTTGCGCGTTCAGTCGTTCCGTAAGAAGTACCTGGCGCAATACCCAATCATCGAATCTGTCACTTTAGCCGTTGTAACGGCCATCATCTGCTATCCGAACATGTTCCTCAGAATCGACATGACCGAGAGTATGGAGGTTCTTTTCGCTGAGTGTGAGGGCGGAAATAGTTATGACGCGCTCTGCGAGTGAGTGTCAAATCAAGTATAAATAGTGGTCCTTCACAACTGACACACATGCAGGCCCAAGAACCGATGGCACGTGATTCTATCATTGCTCATCGCGACAATCCTCAGGACTTTCTTGGTTATCATTTCATACGGATGCAAAGTACCTGCTGGTATTTTCGTGCCGTCCATGGCCATTGGAGCTTTGTTCGGGAGAATGCTTGGTATCTTTGTACAGTCTCTCCAAGAGTCTTTTCCAGGAGCAGCACTATTCGCATCTTGCGGGCCTGATGGGCCATGCATTACACCCGGAACCTATGCTTTCCTTGGGGCGGCTGCTGCGCTCTCAGGCATCATGCACATCTCAGTGTCGGTTGTGGTCATCATGTTCGAGATCACTGGGGCTCTGACCTACATCTTGCCGACTATGATTGTGGTTGGCGTCACTAAAGTCGTCAGCGAACGCTTTGGTCATGGAGGCATCGCAGATAGGGCTATCTGGTTCAACGGCTTTCCCTTCCTCGACAACAAGGAAGAACACACGTTTGGCGTTCCAGTATCTCAGGTGATGGTCTCGCGCGTCGTATCGCTCCCAGCCACAGGCATAGACCTTCGTTCTCTTGAACGTCTCATGAGCGATAATCAGTACCAAGGCTACCCCATCGTAGACGATGCCGCCTCCAAAATCCTTGTCGGCTACATCGGCCGAACCGAACTGCAGTACGCCCTTGAACGAGCAAAGAGAGATCAGATGGCTCCGGCCCACGCAAAATGCACTTTCACATCAACCGGTCTAGCCCAAGAGACCCCTTCATCCCAAGCCCCTTCAGTAACTTTCGACACGATGTCAGCCACCTCCCACCAAGTCCAGATCGACCTCTCCAAATTCATCGACCCGACACCTCTCGCCGTTCACCCCCGCCTGCCGCTAGAAACCGTGATGGAGCTCTTCAAGAAGATGGGCCCACGCGTCATCCTCATAGAATATCGCGGTCGTCTCACCGGTCTAGTAACTGTGAAGGACTGCCTAAAGTACCAGTTCAAAGTTGAGGCGAACGACAATCCCCACCAGACAAATGCCATCAATTCGCAACAGGAGAAGATCTGGACCATCATGCACAAGACTGCCTTGTGGATTGATGGAAAGTTGAACATCTTGCGGAGGAAGATTGGCATAGGTAGGGGGGACATCATGTTACAAAGTCCGACGAGCGTGCAGAGTGGTGACAGGGAGCGAGATAGATTACGGGATGATGATGATGCCGCAGAGGTGGAATTGCAGGATCGAGGGAGGAATGACTAAACATCTGACGGAACTGGCATAATGTAATAGATCTATTATTCTTTCATTCTACAGATGATCTACCATCCAGATGCCCTGATCCACACGTCTTTGATCTGCGAGGGATTCTCGTTGTCGCTCGAGTCTGTGACCAAGTACCACCCATACATGGCACCCGTCACGCACGCGTGGTTAGGATATATCCGCACCGTATCACCCACCTCGAGAGGAATTTTGTCGTCTGCGGGAGTACCATCGCCATTGCCACCATGCCACGAAAGCACCGCGTGTTCCTGGCTGATCCTCTCAACAATCAAGCGTCTCTCTGATGGTCCTTTGGCAGCATACGATCCACGACTAACCACACCCCATCCCGGATAGCCCTGGCAAGGCTCTCTGCCCAGCCCCAGCGTTCCCACAGCCACGAGCGCCTCAGGCTTCTCCCTCTCACCATCATTATACACACTGATAACCTCCGCCACGACTGAAACCGCCAACTCGTCCTCATGATCCCCAAGATGCGCCCTCGACCTCGTCGCCCACTGCTGCATATCCAACACCGAATACACCCCCGCATGCAACTCCAACCTCGTCCTCACCTCCAACCCAGGAACCCCCTCCCCCAACCTCCGCAACGCCTCCCTCAAACCCCTCGTCTCCTCCGTCACCCCCACCCTCCCGTCCTCAAAATTCTCAATCGCCGTAACCTGCGGCGACGCGCCCACACTCACCGTCAGCTCCCGCACGCCCTCCAACGCCCCCGCATTCCCCCTCAACGCATCCACGCACCCGTCGATCTCCCCCGCAAGGCTATCCATCGCCTCCTTCACACTCGACCCCGCATAGCTCAAACTACTATGCGAATACAACCCCAGAAACACCGCCTTCCCCTCCCTCGCCAGCGCAACAATCCCGCTCAGCAAGCCCCCCTTGTCCAAGTCTTTTGGCGGGAGGCCCGCGCGATGGTACCCCGTGTCGACCTTGAGGTACACGCCCACGGCGTGGTTGGTGAGGGAGTGGAAGTGGGTGATGGAGGGGAGTTGGGCGGGGTGGTCGAGCATGATGGAGATGGAGCCTGGGCCGAGGAGGGTGGCGAGGGAGGCGAGGCGGGGGACTTGAGAGGAGGGGATCGGGATGCCGTAGAGGATGTTGAAGGGGCGGGAGGTGGTGAGGTAGGTTTGGAGCAGGGGGAGGAGGTGCTGGATTTCGGAGAGGGTGGAGACGACAAGGTTGGCTGGGGTGGTGGGGGAGGTGCCGAGTTGGAGTTGCGTGAGTTGGGTTGTCTGTGGGGGGTTGTTAGGAATTTGATATGGTTGTGATGGGTGGGATGACAGGGGCGGACCTTGTGCGTCTTGACGTGTGCGCGGAACCCTACGCCCATGGCCTTCGTGGCGCTGAGCATCGAGTCGCAGTGTCGGCGGGCCTTGGAGATGTCGAGGGTTACGGCTGGTTTGGGCACATCGTGGAGGGTTTTGCCGACGTAGAAGTCCTTGAGGTCGGACGCTGAGGGTGTTTGGCGTTGAGGAATGGTGGTGATGGTAGACATGATTTCGTTTGGTCGTTTTTATTTTCTTTGAATTTCCTTGCTCTTTCTTGGTGTTCTTCTTTGGGTTTCTTTTTTTTTTTTTAAAATTTTTCGGATTGGATTGCGTGTAATGAATTCCGTTGGGCAAACGTTGAATATCTCTTTTACAATCTTTTGTTGCTTGAATTGAACCTCGCGATATCTACACTCCGGATATTTCCAATGCGGACAGGCAGGAAGGAAATCGCATGTATGATCTTGCGACCTCAGAACACGTTCGTTCTGCAGCTAAATAGTGTTTTTAAGTTATGTGTAAGTGTGATTGTGAGATGTAGCCGACGGGAAACTTTTCGAAGACGAAGGGTCGGAGGATGACTAGGCGGGTGGGGATAACTAATATGATGGAATGAAGTCCGGCGGAGATTCTTAGTCCGATGACGTAGGAAAATGTTTATAGCAGGGTCACGAAGTAATACATTTAGTGGATAGCTTCTAGGAAATGAGGTGTTCTGTAAAACTAGATACACGTTAGACTGTTAGCATTGGAGTAACTATGTATCATATCGTAGCATATGTTCTCCGTAAAGGCATACACAGTCCTCTCGTAGTCTATTTGTGTTTCATGGAGTAAGTAAGGGCGGGCCAGTGTGCACGTCTGTGATTGGCTCTTGTCAAGCCTTCTCGTCTATAACCCAATTCGGCAAGTGTTTAATTAGACGGGGAGTTCGTTAATTCAAGCTGTAACAGGTTGGGGTTCAAATCAGTGAAAATAGTGAGTTGAAATTGGGACATATAGTAATGAATCATAATGCACATATATATGACAGCCTTATGCACACACCATACTCACAAAAGGTATAATGGACGTGTTATTGCACGTGGATTGGTAGCCGAACCAGGTGCAGGCAGATTTAGCCGCGTACTCACGTGATCCTATGCTGCCCCTCGAATCGGACCTTCCCGCTGTTGTGAGCTGTCAGTTGGTGTCCAACTTTGTTGTCAACAGATTCTCTGTAGGTAAATAAAAGACTTGATCTGTGAATACGAGTATGTTTCTAAACAAACTGTGATGAAACAGATGGAAATGATCTAGAAGGATTGTTCCTTTCTTTTTTCGAAGATCTAAACGGGTTAAACCTTTATCTCCCTCCCTCCCGAACGGCAGATCTAATCCATCCCATCTACCCCTTGTAGGTTCGGCTGTTGCCAAGAACGCGGCAAGTTGGGTGCACGGCCGCGAATCGCGTCGACAACTTTCCGCTCGCTCGTGAGACCCTTTATCAAAGTCAACATCAACATCAACACCAACGCCATAATCTGCGCCCTGGTGTACCTTACCGCTCCTTTCGCCCTTCATACGTCGCTAATACGTACCCCTTTCTCTGGTCCGGCACTCCAAGAGATAGGAAATACATGTTTCCCCCAGCAAACCACAACTAAATAATAATCATGGAGGGTCCGTTGGCCCCAGGGGCCGCCAACGGCAGCATACGCACACCAAGCCCCACACCACCAGCTATAGATCCCCAGATTATCGTCGACTACCTTGAGAAAGTCCTCGACGTCAATCTGGGAGCTTCTGAACAGGATCTTCGAGCTCCCGGCAGCTTGCTCTCCCCTTCGAAGCTTCACGACACCCTGCAGCGCTGCACACGATTCGCCTTGGAGACACAGACGGTCATATACGTGCTGAAGGATCGGGTCGATGAAGCGCCTTTGGATGGCCTGGATGCGCCGAACGGTAAGCAGACTGCTGCTGGAATCAGAGTTCCGAACCATGCAGATACTGACGAGAAATCGATAGGTGCATCGCCTCACTTTACATACACTCTTTCTTCCGAACTTGCATTTTCGTCCACTTGCACCGCATACCTTGTAATTACGAAGCGCCCGATACCCATAGACCCTGCGATACCCCTCAGCGCTCAAGTTCAAATTGTTACTCTTCCTGGATATACACTTTCTAATAACAACGCTTCTACCCAAGACCCTGCCCCTTACGAGGCCATCCATACCATTCTCCAATACTCCCTCGAGGCCTACTTCGATGGATTTACCAAGAGCCAGCGAAGCCAGACGGGCACATACAGCAAGGGTGACAACGATGCCAGAACAGGTGTTTCGGCGGCCAAGAAGAAGATGGCGGAATTGGCCCTGAGTCTCCAGCACCTTCAGCAGAATGTTGAAATCCCGGAGCTTCTCTTGCCACTCCATCCAGTCATTCAGAATGCGCTCGATACCGCGGCGGAGAAGAACGTCAAGCCTGTACCCGAGCTTCTTCCCGCCCCGGTGCTCGCCGACAGCAGCTTTCTTAATGGTCTTCAGTCCACTGTTAATGGGTGGATCAAGTCTATTCAGAACATCACCAAGACCTCCCGAGACGCGCACAGCGGAACCGCCACGCAGGAAATAAACTTTTGGCTTTCGATGGAGTCTAGGCTGGAGGATATCGAGGCGCAACTGAGCAGTCCCGGTGTCAAACTCACTTTGGATGTCCTCAAGAATGCCAAACGTTTCCAAGCCACTGTCAGTTTCAGCGCCGATACTGGATTGAAGGAGACCACGGATTTAGTGCAAAAATACAACCAGCTCATGCGCGACTTCCCCTTGGACGAGCTCCTTTCCGCGACCTCCCTCCAAAAGGTCCAGGAGGCTATCCAGCAGATCTTCAGCCATATGAACAAGAAATTGCGCATTTGCCCTTACCCTGTCCGTCGTGCGCTGCCACTTGTTGAAGCGATTTCCGCTGATCTGGATTCCCGGCTGCACGCTCTTCTATCTGGCCGCACCTTGATGCATATGGAGTATCCAGAGTTCCAGGCTTTGATGGACGTTGCCGAAGGCATTTGGCGAACATGGGAGGAAAATGTCAAAGAGTTTACTAATGTTGCCCGTGAAGTGACCAGACGCAGAAACGAAAAATTCATTCCCATCAAAATCGCCGCTCGCCACCGCGAAACCGAAGAGCGCCTCAAATACATCACCACCTTCCGCAAGAACCACGAACAGCTTCAGCGAACTATCGTCAACGTTCTTGGTTCGCAAACGTCTCTTTCGGCATTGTCTGATGGATCTTCGAAAGAGGCAGTCATCGTTGAGGAGATTGGTGATGTGGACGCAGTTGAGGAGGTTGCACAGGCATACGGAGCTTTGAAAGACGTGGATGTTTTGGACGTAACTCAAGAAGGCACACAATTGTTCGAGCAGGCCGAGCAAAAGTACAACGAGCGAACTTCGAGAGTAGAGAACTCCATTATTGCCAGGCTCAGAGACCGCCTTGGAACGGCAAAGACTGCCAACGAGATGTTCCGCGTTTTCTCGAAGTTCAACCCACTTTTCGTCCGCCCGAAGATTCGAGGAGCCATCTCAGAGTACCAGACTCAGCTTATTGAGAATGTCAAGCAGGACATTTCTGCCCTCCACGAGCGCTTCAAGCGACAGTACGGCAACTCCGAAGCGCACGCCATGGCGCAGCTCCGCGATTTCCCTCCCGTCTCCGGCGCCGTCATCTGGGCACGTCAGATTGAAACCCAGCTCGAGAACTACATGGGCAAGGTGGAGGATATTCTTGGGAAAGACTGGGCCTTGCATGCGGAAGGACAGAAGCTTCAGGCTGAATCTAGCATGTTCAAGAAGAAGCTTGACACTCGGCCCATCTTTGAGTCATGGTTACAGGAGGTTGCGCGACGAAAGCTTTCGATCTCGGGACGTCTCTTTGCCATCAACAAGAACCGTGCGGCCGGCAATGTTTTGGAGCTCAATGTCAATTTCGATGCTCAGGTTATTGCCCTCTTCAAGGAAGTTCGCAACTTGACGTGGCGCGGATATCAAGTGCCACATGGAATCAATAACATCTCGAAGGAGGCGAAACGGGTGTATCCCTATGCTGTCAGCCTAATGGAGAGTGTGCGGACATACACCCAGACTGTGCGGTCGATCAATGAGATGACAGGAGTATCACTCCTGCTTAACGGTTATCTCAATGATGTCCAAAGCCTCGTTGGAAAGGGCGTGCCTCTCAAGTGGGAATCTTTCGTTCATGCCTACGATCTCCATATTCGCCAATCTACATTCCCTACGGGCTCAGCAGGAAACGTCCGGAGCGAAAGCAAGCACGTCCAATTTGTTCGAGAGTTTGCTGCGGCAACATCCCTTCTCCAGACCAAGGTTGCTACACTCGTCACTATCAACGCCAGTGTTGAGAAAGCCTTGAAAGATCTCGAGACCTGCCCCTACACCACAGAGGCCTTCCGACAAAACCTTGAGGTCATTCAGCGTTCCGTGGATCAGCTTAATCTTGAGAACTATTCCAATCTTTCGTCCTGGGTCTCCGTCATGAACGCGCGCATCGAAGTTATACTACTAGTGCGCCTGTCCCGCGCGATCTCTCAATGGATCGAAGTCTTCACGAATGATGAAGACCAGGAAGAAGACCGACGGCCCGTCAGCCAACCAGCGCCTGCAGAACATTCTGAAGAGAAGCCCACGTTGTCCAAGATCCGATTGGACATCACTATGAAGAATCAAGTCATTTTCCTCAGCCCACCAATCGAATTTGCTCGCGCAAACTGGCTCGAACAGCTCCAGCAATGGTTGGCTGTCATCTGCACTCTGCAAAAGGTGAAGGCTTCGCGTTATGAGATGCGCATCGAAGCTGCCGAAGATGCATCATTGACTCAATTCTCGGATCTCCCCAGCCGTTGCACGGACTCGCTCATGCAGGTCTATGGAGCCGTCGAAGGCAAGATCCGAGAGATCTCCACTTATGTCGATGAGTGGCTGCAGTTCCAGTCTCTTTGGGATCTTCAATCAGAGAAAGTTTACGAGATCCTTGGTGAGGATCTTTCTCGTTGGCTGCAACTTCTCCAAGAAATTCGCAAAGCCCGTCAAACTTTCGACAACTCTGATATCAGCCGTCGCTTCGGATACGTCACGGTCGACTACGAGCAGGTGCAGGTCAAGGTTAACGCCAAGTACGATCAATGGCAACAGGAAATCTTGCTCAAGTTCGCCAGCAGGCTCGGTCAGCGTATGTCCGAACTTTACGTCGAGATCGAGAAAGCACGTAAAGATTTGGAAATCCAGACTCTCGAAGCTTCTTCCACTGCCCATGCAGTCTCCTTCATCACCACCGTCCAACAATGTAGGAGAAAGGTTGAAACGTGGAGGCCGGAGGTGGAAACCTTCCGCCAGGGTCAGGCTGCACTCGGTCGCCAGCGATACCACTTCCCATCTGACTGGCTGCACATTGACCAGATCGATCACGAGTGGCTCACATTGAACGAGGTTCTTGAGCGCAAGACCAAGATCGCGAATGATCAACAAGATGCTCTGCGCGCTAAGATTCTCGCTGAAGACAAGATTGTTAACCAGAAGATTGCCGATATTACTGCACAGTGGTCACAGGAGAAGCCTGTCGCCGGAAGCATTGCTCCTAAAGATGCTTCAGCAACATTGGCGACATTCGATTCAAAGCTCAACCAGCTCCAAACCGAATCAGAGAACATCTCTAAAGCGAAGGAAGCCCTTGAACTACCACCTTCACCCGACAATGGTCTTTCAGCTCTCCTCGAAGAAGTGCAAGACTTCAAGTCCGTTTGGGCCTCGTTGACCACTATCTGGGACAGCATCGACACTCTCAGAGACACCCTTTGGACCAGCATTCAGCCTCGAAAACTACGTGGCCATTTGGACAACTTGATCAAGATGACAAAGGACATGCCCAGCCGCATGCGACAATACGCGGCGTTCGAATACGTACAGAACACCTTGAAGCAACTTCTTAAAGTGAACCCCCTACTTGGCGAACTTCGATCGGATGCTTTCCGAGAGCGCCACTGGGTCCGAATCTTCAAGCAGCTTAAGCCCAACAAACGCTACTCCGCCACTTCTATGACCCTCGGCGACGTCTGGGACCTCCAACTAGGACCAAGTGAGGTCATCATTCGAGACGTCATTACTCAAGCGCAGGGTGAGATGGCATTGGAAGAGTTCTTGAAGCAAGTTCGTGACACTTGGCAAAACTATGTACTTGAGCTTGTCAACTACCAGAACAAGTGTCGCCTTATCCGTGGCTGGGATGACCTCTTCGCTAAGTGCAGCGAGAACCTCAATTCGTTACAAGCTATGCGACACTCGCCATACTACAAGGAGTTCGAGGAAGAAGCCTCCGCCTGGGAGGAGAAGCTCAATCGTGTCCACGTTCTCTTCGATGTCTGGATCGATGTCCAGCGCCAATGGGTCTATCTCGAGGGTGTATTCACTGGCAACGCTGATATCAAGCATTTGCTGCCCATGGAATCTTCCCGCTTCCAGAACATCAATTCCGAGTTCCTTTCTGTCATGAAGAAGGTTTCGAGACAACCTTTCGTTCTCGAAGTTCTAAATATCTCCGGCGTGCAGAAGTCCCTGGAACGTCTTGCTGAGCTGTTGAATAAGATCCAGAAGGCTTTGGGAGAATATCTCGAGCGGGAGCGTGTTTCATTCCCTCGCTTCTATTTCGTCGGTGACGAGGACTTGCTTGAAATCATTGGTAACAGCAACGACACACTTCGCATCGCCAAGCACTTGAGGAAAATGTTTGCTGGTATTTCCGGATTGATCACCGATGAAGATGGTATCATCCAGGGTTTTACCTCCAAGGAGGGCGAGGAGGTCATGCTCCGTAAAGAAGTCAATCTCGTCAAGACTCCAAGAATCAACGAATGGCTCGGCGCCCTCGAACTGAACATGAAGACAACGCTTGCCGAGTTGACTATCGAGGCTTATCAAGAATTCCAAGAACTTATGGCCGCCGATGCCATGGATTCGGAGGCGTTCAATGCATACATCGCAAAATACCCCGCGCAAATCGTTGTCCTTGGAACTCAAGTTGCCTGGACACACTCCGTCGAGAAGTCTTTGGCTGAGGGAGGAGCATCTCTGCCGCAGCTCTATGAGAAACAAGTGAATACCCTAAGAATGCTTGCGACCGCAGTTCTGGGCGACCTCGGACCAATTGAGCGAAAGAAATGCGAGGCTTTGATCACCGAGTTTGTCCACCAACGCGATCTCATTCAGAAGCTAGAGAAGGCCGAAGCACAATCAACGACACATCCCCTCTGGCTGCTCTCTATGCGTTACGTCTATGAGCCGGAAAGGGACTTGCTGCAGCGCATCAAGATCAAGATGGCTAACTCCACTCTTGATTACGGTTTCGAATACCTTGGAGTCGCAGAGCGCCTCGTTCGAACACCATTGACCGATCGCTGTTTCCTCACTCTCACACAAGCACTCTGCCAACGACTTGGAGGATCTCCCTATGGACCTGCCGGTACCGGAAAGACCGAATCTGTCAAGGCTCTGGGTCTTCAGCTTGGTCGCTTCACTCTCGTTTTCTGTTGCGACGACACCTTCGATTTCCAGGCCATGGGACGTATCTTCCTCGGTATCTGTCAGGTCGGTGCTTGGGGTTGTTTCGATGAGTTCAATCGTCTTGAAGAGCGTATCCTTTCAGCCGTGTCTCAGCAAGTTCAGAACATCCAACTTGGTCTCAGGAAGGGTGCTGAAGACGAGAATTCGCAGATTGAATTGATCGGTCGCCAACTCAGAGTCAATGGCAACACCGGTATTTTCATCACCATGAACCCTGGATATGCTGGTCGTTCCAACTTGCCCGACAATTTGAAGAAGCTCTTCCGAAGCGTGGCTATGTCCAAGCCCGACAAGGAGCTCATTGCCGAAGTCATGCTGTACTCCCAGGGTTTCGGACGCGCGAAGGAACTGTCTAAGCAAGTCGTGCCCTTCTTCGACAAGTGTTCTGCTGGTCTTTCAAAGCAAGCTCATTACGACTTCGGTCTTCGTGCCTTGAAGAGTGTCTTGGTCAGCTCCGGTGGACTGAAGCGTGCTCGCATTGCATCGACTGATTCTGCTTCCGAAGCAGACGAGCAGATCATGGAACCTCAAATCATCGTGCAGAGTCTGCGCGAGACTATCTCTCCCAAGTTGATCCGAGCCGACGCCGAAGTCATGAAGACAATTGAAGGCGAGGCTTTCCCTGGCGTGGAGTACGTTCCTGCCCCCCTTGACAAGCTTCAAGATGCGATCCGTAAATCTGCAGAGGAGTCCAAGTTCGTCGTTACGGACGCTTGGATGACCAAGATCCTACAGCTCTACCAGATTCAAAACCTGCACCACGGTGTTATGATGGTCGGTTCTTCTGGCTCTGGTAAATCCGCCGCGTGGAAGACTCTGCTTTCAGCTCTCCAGGCAGTCGAAGGTGTCGAGGGCGTCTGCCACGTCATTGATCCGAAGGTCATGTCCAAGGAGGAATTGTACGGTAGTTTGGACAGCACTACCCGTGAATGGACCGACGGTCTCTTCACCAGCATTCTGCGTAAGATTGTCGACAACCTACGTGGCGAGGATAGCAAGCGTCACTGGATCGTATTCGATGGTGATGTCGATCCGGAATGGGTTGAGAACTTGAACAGTGTACTCGACGACAACAAACTTCTGACGCTACCCAATGGTGAGCGTCTCAACCTCCCACCGAACGTGCGCATCATGTTCGAAGTCGAGACTCTTAAATATGCCACGCTCGCTACCGTCTCTCGTTGCGGTATGGTCTGGTTCAGCGACGACACTGTAGAGGTCGACATGATGATTGCCAACTACATCCAGAACCTCCGAACAGTGCCTTTCGACGACATCGAGGATGATTCGGTTGCGCCCGGCCAGCTTTCCCAGAAGACCCTCCAGGTCCAAGGTCTCATCGCCGAGTTCTTGCAAATAAAGCTCACTCAAGACCGCTTCATCGAGAAAGCGCTTAGTCTGGCAAGAAAGTTCCAGCATATCATGGAGTACACCGATATCCGTGCTCTCAACACGCTCTTCTCGCTATTGAACAAGGCATGCCGCAATGTGCTTGAGTACAACGTTCAGCACCAGGATTTCCCTCTCGAGGACGAGAAGATGGAGGCTTACCTATCCAAGAAACTTCTTGTTGCTTTGGTTTGGGCACTTGTCGGCGACTGCCCTCTATCCGAACGCAAGAAGTTTGGTGACCAGATCGTGGGCCTTACGGATGTCGAGCTCCCACCATTGACCGAGAGCTCCTCTCTCATCGACTACGACGTAAAGCCTGACAAAGCAGACTGGTCTCTCTGGCAGAATGAGGTACCGAACATGGAAGTCAACACTCACTCTATCATCCAAACCGATGTGGTCATTCCCACCCTCGACACTGTGCGTCACGAGGATGTTCTATACTCTTGGCTCGCCGAGCACAAGCCTCTCTTGCTCTGTGGTCCCCCTGGTTCCGGTAAAACTATGACTTTGTTCAGCGCTCTCCGCAAGCTTCCTAATATGCAAGTCGTCGGCCTCAATTTCTCCAGCGCGACAACCCCAGATCTGCTCATCAAGACATTCGAGCAGTACTGCGAGTACAAGAAGACTCTCAACGGCGTGCAGCTCACGCCTACCCAGATCGGTCGATGGCTCATTATTTTCTGCGATGAAATCAACTTGCCCGCCCCAGATCACTACGGTACACAACGCGCCATCTCGTTCTTACGCCAACTTGTGGAACAGAACGGATTCTGGAGGACTTCTGACAAGACTTGGGTCACCTTGGACCGCATTCAGTTCGTTGGTGCTTGTAACCCTCCCACTGACGCTGGTCGTACTCCGATGGCATTGCGATTCCTCCGCCATTCGCCATTGATCATGGTCGATTACCCTGGAGAGCAGTCTCTATTGCAAATCTACGGTACCTTCAACTCCGCTGTGCTCAAGATCATCCCGACATTGCGAGGTTATTCAGATGCGTTGACCAAGGCGATGGTACAACTTTACTTGGAATCACAGAAACGATTCACTCCGGATATTCAGCCACACTACGTGTATTCCCCACGTGAATTGACAAGATGGGTGCGTGGTGTGTACGAAGCACTGAGGCCACTTGAGACGTTGCCTGTTGAGGGCTTGGTCCGCATCTGGGCCCATGAAGCCCTGCGCCTGTTCCAGGATCGTCTCATTGCCGAAGAGGAGCGCAAGTGGACCGAAGAGTGCGTCAATCGTGTGGCACTCGAGCACTTCCCTACCATCGACCAAGACAAGGCGCTCGGTGGCCCCATTCTCTTCTCTAACTGGCTTTCCAAGAACTATGTGCCAGTTGAGCGCGACCAGCTGCGAGATTTCGTCAAGGCTCGTCTCCGTACCTTCTGCGAAGAAGAAGTCGATGTGCCGCTTATCCTTTTCAACGACGTTCTCGAGCATGTTCTCCGCATTGATCGTGTCTTCCGCCAACCTCAAGGTCATCTTATCCTCATTGGTGTCAGTGGTAGTGGCAAGACAACTCTGTCTCGTTTCGTTGCTTGGATGAACGGTCTAAAGGTGTACCAGATCAAGGTGCACGGAAAATACTCTGGCGAGGACTTCGATGAGGATCTGAGGAACGTCCTCCGACGATGCGGTTGCAAGGGAGAGAAGATCTGCTTCATTATGGACGAAGCTAATGTTCTCGACTCTGGTTTCTTGGAACGCATGAACACACTGCTTGCCAATGCCGAAGTCCCTGGTCTTTTCGAAGGCGACGAATATGCGTCTTTGATGACGGCGATTAAGGAAGGTGCGCAGCGACAAGGCACAATCCTGGACTCGCAAGAAGAGCTCTACAAATGGTTCACTGAGCAGATTGTTAAGAACCTCCACGTTGTCTTCACCATGAATCCTCCAGAGGAAGGCCTCTCCTCCAAGGCTGCAACCAGTCCTGCCTTGTTCAATCGTTGTGTGCTCAACTGGTTTGGAGACTGGTCAGACCAGGCTCTCTACCAGGTCGGTTCTGAGTTGACAACATCCGTGGATCTTGATCGCCCCAACTACAGCGCTCCTGATAGTATCCCTGTCGCGTACCGCGGATTGAGCCTGCCGCCAACACATCGTGAGTCGGTTGTGAATGCTATGGTCTACGTCCACCATTCGTTGCACGCGTTCAATGCCCGCTTGCTCAAGCAGCAAAACAAGAAGACTTACCTCACGCCCCGTCACTTCTTGGACTTCGTCGCGCAATACGTCAAGCTGTACAACGAGAAGCGGGAGGATCTTGAGGAACAGCAACGCCATCTCAACGTTGGTCTTGAGAAGCTTCGCGAGACTGTCGAGAAGGTCAGGGATCTTCGTGTCAGTTTGGCCGACAAGAAGACACAGCTTGAAAAGAAGGACGCAGAGGCCAACGAGAAGCTGCAGCGTATGTTGAAGGACCAGCAAGCGGCTGAGCAGAAGAAGACCAACTCGCTCCAGATCCAGGAGCAGCTCGCCGTTGCTGAGAAGGAGATTGCATCTCGCAGGGATGTCGTCATGCACGATCTCGCAGCCGCCGAACCCGCCGTGCTCGAGGCCCAGAAGAGTGTCCAGAACATCAAGCGTCAACATCTCACTGAAGTCCGTTCTATGCAGAACCCGCCTTCTGGTGTCAAGTTGGCTCTAGAGGCTGTTTGCACGCTCCTTGGTCACAAGATCGATAGTTGGAAGACCATTGTTTCCATCATCAGGCGTGATGACTTCATCGCCAGCATCGTGCAGTTTAATAACGAGAGGCAGATGACGGCCGCTCTTCGGAAGAGAATGCGCAATGATTATCTTTCGAAGGAGGACTTCACTTTCGAGAAGGTCAACCGTGCATCCAAGGCTTGCGGTCCCCTCGTCCAGTGGGCCGAAGCCCAGGTCAACTACTCCGACATCCTTGACCGTGTCGGACCACTCCGCGCTGAAGTCGATGAGCTCGAGAGCAAGGCGCAGGCCACCAAGGACCAGGCCAAGGAGACTGAGATTGAGATCTTGAATTTGGAGGAGAGCATTGCGCGCTACAAGGACGAGTACGCGGCTTTGATCAGAGAGACTGAGGCCATCAAGTCGCAGATGACGACTGTGCAGTTCAAGGTCGATCGCAGTGTCCGTCTTTTGGACAGTCTTTCGTCCGAGCGAGGACGTTGGGAGGAGAGTAGCAAGTCTTTCGATTCTCAGATCGACACTATCGTTGGTGACGTGCTGGTTGCTGCGGCTTTCATGGCATATGGCGGTTACTACGACCAGCAGTACAGGAAGACCATGACTGAAGACTGGTATCACCACCTCTCGCTTTCTGGTATCAGTTTCAAGACGCCAAATCCGATCACCGAGTATCTCTCTACTGCCGACGAGAGATTGTCGTGGCAACACAATTCTCTGCCTGTGGATGACCTCTGCACGGAGAACGCCATCGTCTTAAAGAGATTCAACCGCTACCCCTTGATCATCGATCCTTCCGGCCGCGTGACCGACTTCTTGCAGAACGAATGCAAGGATCGCCGACTCACGGTTACCAGCTTCCTAGACGACTCTTTCACCAAGCAGCTCGAGAGTTCGTTGCGTTTCGGAAACCCAATTTTGATCCAGGATGCCGAACATCTGGACCCGATCCTCAACCACGTTCTCAACAAAGAGTACCAGAAGACTGGTGGTCGTGTGCTCATCCAGCTCGGAAAGCAGGAAATCGATTTCTCCCCGTCGTTCAAGCTTTACCTCTCTACACGCGACCCGTCGGCCAATTTTGCGCCTGATATCTGCAGTCGAACTACGTTTGTCAATTTCACGGTTACACAGAGCAGTCTGCAGACTCAAACGCTCAATGAGGTGCTCAAGTCCGAACGTCCGGACGTCGATGACCGACGATCGAACCTCATCAAAATGCAAGGAGAGTTCAGCGTGCATCTACGACAATTGGAGAAGCGTCTTCTTCAAGCGCTTAACGAGTCTCGTGGCAACATTCTCGATGACGATCGTGTCATTGAGACACTCGAGACCTTGAAGAAGGAAGCTGCCGAAATTTCAGCCAAGGTGTCCGAAACTGCTGGCGTCATGACGGAGGTCGAGAACATCACCAAGGAATACACGGTCATTGCCCGATCGTGCTCGGCCATCTTCGCCGTCTTGGAGCAGCTGCATCATCTCAACCACTTCTACCAGTTCTCGCTGCAGTACTTCACGCAGATCTTCGACACCGTGCTTCGCAAGGTGCAGAAGTCGGGCACGACTGGCCATGCTGCGCGCATTGAGCAGATCCTTAGCGAGCTCTTCGTTGATACTTATCGTCGTACTTCGCTCTCACTACTTCAGAAGGACCGTGTCACGCTTGCGATGCTCTTGGTTCAGGCGGCTCCTTACAAGATGGATAAGACGCTCATTGACACTATCCTGGACAAGGATCTCGAGGCTGTTGATGTCTCGACCCAGACTGAGCGGAAGGACGAGGCTATGGCGCGTGCAGCTAAATTGCCAATTTTCAAGACTGACCTCGAGAAGGTTGATGGTGCTGCCTGGGATGCGTTCCTGGCTGAGGAGCTTGCAGAGCGACACGTGCCTCAGGCCTGGCCTGAAGATCTGCCCAAGTTCGATCAGCATCTTCGATCGCTCGTTTTGGTCAAGCTGTTCCGTGTGGATCGCTTTGTGCCTGCTGTTGAGCGATTTGTCACTGAGGTCTTCGGCAAGGGTCTCACGGATGTCAATGGAGATTTAGGCGATATCGTCAAGCAGGTTACTGCAATCACCCCTGTCGCGCTCAGCTCCAGCCCTGGTTTCGATGCCAGTTACAAGGTCGACAATCTCGTTGAGCGGGAACACGCAACCTGCACGAACATTGCCATGGGTTCCAACGAAGGAGTGGCAACTGCGGACAAGGCCATCAGCAATGCCGCTACCACGGGCAGCTGGGTGCTCGTCAAGAATGTGCATCTCGCACCTCAATGGCTGCAGTCGCTTGAGAAGAGGTTGGAAGCGCTCAAGCCAAACCCCGACTTCCGACTCTTCTTGTCCATGGAGTCAAGCCCCAAGATCCCGGTCAACCTTCTCCGTGCGTCTCGTGTACTGTCTTACGAACAACCTGCTGGTATCCGTGCCAACATGAAGGATTCGCTGTCGTCGTTGTCGGAGAAGGCTACGAAGCCGCCTGTCGAGAAGGGTCGTATCTACTTGTTACTTTCCTTCCTTCACGCCGTTGTGCAAGAGCGTCTTCGATACGCGCCAAGTTTGGGATGGAAGGGCTTCTGGGAGTTCAACGATAGTGATGTAAGTTTCCAATGGTTCACCGTTTCTATTTGACTAGATGACTAATGTGGTATATAGTACGAATGCTGCAGCTACATCATCGACACCTGGGTCGACACCGTCTCCCAAGGCCGCACCAACGTGCGGCCCGACAACATCCCCTGGGAGATGATCCGCACCCTCATGACGGAAATGTACGGCGGCAAGATCGACGACGAGTCCGACTTCCGCACGCTCCGCTCCCTCGTCGAGTCCTGCATGACGCCCGCGGCCTTCGAAGACAACTTCAAGGTCGTCCAGGACACGGAGCACAGCGCCGGCCTCGAACTCCCCGCCACGACGGGCTGGCGCGAGTTCATGGGCTGGGTCAACGACCTGCCCGAGCGCGAACCCCCGACCTACCTGGGGCTGCCGGCCAACGCCGAGAAGTTGCTGCTCGTGGGCCAGGCCAAGGAGATGTGTGCGAATTTGGAGAGGGTGCTCAGGATGCTGGATGAGGGGGAGCATGTCATGGCTGAGGCGGCGGAGGTCGAGGTTGAAGCGCCTCAGAGTTAAATGGACAAACAAACCATTTCGTTCTTTTTTTCTTGTTTACTTGAGAGGTTGATGGGTTGAGATTGATGGGTTGAGATTGATGGGTTGAGATTGATGGGTTGAGATTGATGGGTTGAGATTGATGGGT